AATACAATTTCGACTACGAGTTCAACAAAAAATTGGCGTCACTCAAAGATGCCGTCACCGCCCTAAGCGCCACGGAATTCGGCCAAGGCGTAAATCCCAAGCTGCTCAACGTTGTGAAACGCGGCATGACGGACTGGTGCAAGCAGTTAGGGTACGCCTATGTGAACGTGTACGACGATGAGAAATTTGAGGAGGAGTTGAGGACGGTAAATTTGTTCTCACCCCGGAAAAGAACCGAGCCGGTATACGAGTTGAACGACTATGGACGGAAGTTGTCGAAAGTCCTTCTCACTTGCGTTTCCACATTGTTCCATGACATTGAAAAGCTACGAACGCAATGTAAAGATGACGCTGCGTGGAAAGGAATGCAAATTCACCTACGCGAGAAAAATAATAAAGAGAATCCACTCGGCGAATTTTTTGACAACTGCGGATTTATTGTTTCGAAAGATTATAATGGCTATGAAGGCGAATTGCTTAATAAGCCGGAGTGCACGGGTAAATATATTTATGATAGCCTCTACCTCAATTCAAAAGGCTTATTACCAGGTCAGTTCAGGGGTCCGTTTACATATCTTTACCGTTATCTTCATAAGTATAATGAAGTATGCCACATAGCTACATTCACCGCAAAGAGACATCCATGTTCCGTGAACGAAATGCTACAATGGTTAAGCGGTCTCCCGCATAACAATGTTTTTGAACAACTTAAGAAACACATTAAAACACTGTGCGACAAACCCGATGACCAAAAGGATATCGAATATTCACAGATTCATTCCGATAAGCTAACATTCCATGCGTATCCTGAAACATTAACGGCAGCCGATTTGCGTTTGACATTAAGTGACATCTGCTCAGATTCACGTAATATACTCACTTCTATCCTGGGCAACGGCGACGCCTATACGACATACGCCTGCGACCTCTCTAACAATTCCTCGGTTTTACATTACCCCTCTAATCCATCCGCGTGCCTCGACATGTTGCTTGACATCCTGCGTAGAATATTCCCTCCACTTAAATTTCTGCTGAACCAGTGTAACAATGCGTCATCCGACTGCGGTTGGTTGCAGTGCAGATACGGTAAAGACATTCGCCCTTCCAAATCGCTGTGCAATGAGCACACCAAAAGCAAAATTGATTGCGAACCCACTTCACCGTTAATGTCTTATCTCACAGACGGTCTTCTCGGTCACCTACCTCACACTCTAACATCTATTGGCTGTAGAGCTGTGTGCATAAATTGTCCTACCGGCAAACCAGGAATGCCGTGTCTGACACCTCTTGGATTCAGAGGTTTCTCAGGCAGTACACGTAGAGGCAAAGACCTATGTAACGTGCTAGGCAAATTGTTGACCAATGTACATATCAAAGCCCTGCTCAGCCTCGGCACCAAAACGCCGGCCACCTTATCCGAGCATTTCGGTTTTGTTTCCTCTCTCGTTAACGGTTGGCATAATCGCACAAACATTGATAAAGACGGTGTTCAAAAATCCTTCGAGGACGCCATCACCAAACTATCCATTGCGCTGTACGAAAAACCTGCAGAACTTACAGATGCGCTTCGTGATGCATACGGTTCTGAATCTGTTAGTCATTCGAGTTGCCAGCATTCGCATCTGTTGAATCTTACAGATTTTGACACCTGTAACAGAAATGGGCTGCACTGCGCTCCGTATATTACGTCGCTCTGCGGAGATTATTACACTTATCTACCAGTCAAGAATTCTAACACTTACCTCTCCTGGGCCATATACCTCCCATGGACATTTTGGATCTACTCAGCAATCTCTATACTGCTTTCTGCGCTATCAACTGTCAGGATTGGGGATGCCGTGGATGTCTCAGAGGAGACAAGTGCAAGAGTGGCAAGCATGGTGTCGTCGAGGATGAGAAGAAAGCAGACGCCGTGTGTCAGTGTGATTCAATAGTCCAGTGCAAAGGAGTATCATCAACATTCTACCAGTATGGTTTCACATTCGGCGAGGCGTCGACGTTGAATAGTGGTAGCGCAGCGAAGAAGTGTTCCGATTTCTGCAGTCAGTTGAGGAATGTGCTGCACTCCAAATATTTCCAAAAGCTGTTCAAGGAGTGCGACAATTTCCTGAAAGAAATAAGATGGCCATTTATGCTAACGTTGTTAGCCCTCTGGTCGCTGTCGCTCCTGTACCTGGCGCACATCGCCGTCGTTCGCCTCGACGTCCTGAGGATACGCTCCCACCTGAGATCACCCTCAAGCCACCGCATCGCCGCCCAGTCGCTACTCGCCGCCGCACGCGTCAGGGCACTCGCCAACGTCAAGTACTTCTCACCATAATCGTGCCTTCACTCACCCACTCAACCACTCACCCACTCAACCACTCAACCACTCACCCACTCAACCACTCACCCACTCAACCACTCAACCACCCACTCACTCAACCACCCACCCACTCAACCACTCACTCAACCACCCACCCACTCACCCACTCAACCACTCACCCACTCAACCACCCACTCACTCAACTACTCACTCACCCACTCAACCACCCACTCACTCAACTACTCACTCAACTACTCACCCACCCACTCACCTAATCACCCACTCACCCACTCACCCACTCACTCAACCACTCACTCAACCACCCACCCACTCACCACCTCCTTCACTGGTCGCTTCGCTCCCTCCCTCACCCCCTTCATCACCTCCTCCGTCGGCGTCCCTCACCCAAAACCTCGTTTTCCACTTCCTCCCTCCATCTCCGAAACCGCCTTACCTCAACCCATCTTCCCCCTTCGTCGCCCTCTCTCGCCCCTTCACTTCCCTCACCCTCTCCACCCACCTCACTCGCTGCCTCCTCCACCTAAAATCGCCTTTCCCCAAATTCCCCCAAATCGCCCTGAAAATGTGCCTAAAATAATCCTTCAATATTTCTCAACTTCTTCTCCTATCTCTTATTAGCCCTCTGGTCGCTGTCGCTCCTGTACCTGGCGCACATCGCCGTCGTTCGCCTCGACGTCCTGAGGATACGCTCCCACCTGAGATCACCCTCAAGCCACCGCATCGCCGCCCAGTCGCTACTCGCCGCCGCACGCGTCAGGGCACTCGCCAACGTCAAGTACTTCTCACCATAATCGTGCCTTCACTCACCCACTCAACCACTCACCCACTCAACCACTCAACCACTCACCCACTCAACCACTCACCCACTCAACCACTCAACCACCCACTCACTCAACCACCCACCCACTCAACCACTCACTCAACCACCCACCCACTCACCCACTCAACCACTCACCCACTCAACCACTCAACCACTCAACCACCCACTCACTCACTCACATACTCAACCACTCAACCACCCACTCACTCACTCACATACTCAACCACTCACCTCTCTTTCACTGGTCGCTTCGCTCCCTGCCTCACCCCCTCCATCACCTCCTCCGTCGGCGTCCTTCACCCAAAACCTCGTTTTCCACTTCCTCCCTCCATCTCCGAAACCGCCTTACCTCAACCCATCTTCCCCCTTCGTCGCCCTCTCTCGCCCCTTCACTTCCCTCACCCTGTCCACCCACCTCCCTCGCTGCCTCGCTGCCTCCTTCACCTAAAATCGCCTTTCCCCAAATTCCCCCAAATCGCCCTAAAATGTGCCTAAAATAATCCTTCAACATTTCTCAACTTCTTCTCCTATCTCTTATTAGCCCTCTGGTCGCTGTCGCTCCTGTACCTGCTGCACATCGCCGTCGTCCGCCTCGACGTCCTGAGGATACGCTCCCACCTGAGATCACCCTCAAGCCACCGCATCGCCGCGCAGTCCCTCCTCGCAGCGGCACGCGTCAAGGCACTCGCCAACGTCAAGTACTTCTCACCATAATCGTGCCTTCACGTGTGATCTGTGTATCACCCACTCAACCACTCACTCAACCACTCACCCACCCACTCACCCACCCACTCACCCACTCACTCACTCAACCACTCACTCAACCACCCACTCAACCACCAACTCAACCACTCAACCACCCACCTACTCCTTCACTGGTCGCTGCGCTCCCTCCCTCATCCCTCCATCACCTCCTCCGTCGGCGTCCTTCACCCAAAGTCCTCATTTTCCGCTTTCTCCCTCCACCCCTTAAATCGCCTCTCCTCAACCAATCTTCCTCCTTCATCGCCCTCTTTCGCCCCTTCACCTCCCTCACCCTGTCCACCCATCTCCCTCACCCCTCGCTGCCTCCTTGACCTAAAATCGCCTTTCCCCAAATTCCCCCAAATCGCCCTAAAATGTGCCTAAAATAATCCTTCAACATTTATCAACTTCTTCTCCTACCTGTTGTTAGCCCTCTGGTCGCTGTCGCTCCTCTACCTGGCGCACATCGCCGTCGTCCGCCTCGACGTCCTGAGGATACGCTCCCACCTGAGATCACCCGCAAGCCACCGCATCGCCGCGCAGTCCCTCCTCGCCGCCGCACGCGTCAAGGCACTCGCCAACGTCAAGTACTTCTCACCATAATCGTGCCTTCACGTGTGATCTGTGTATCACCCACTCACTCACGTACTCAACCACCCACCCACCCACTCACTCACCTCTCCTTCACTGGTCGCTTCGCTCCCTGCCTCCCTCCTCCATCACCTCCTCCGTCGGCGTCCTTCACCCATAACCTCATTTTCCACCTTCCCCCTCCTCCCCCCAAACCGCCTCGTCTCCACCCATCTTCCTCCTTCATTGCCCTCTTTCGCCTCTTCACCTCCCTCACCCTGTCCACCAACCTCCCTCGCTGCCTCCGTCACCTAAAATCGCCTTTTCCCAAATTCCCCAAATCGCCCTTCAAATGTGCCTAAAATAATCCTTCAACATTTCTCAACTTCTTCTCCTATCTCTTATTAGCCCTCTGGTCGCTGTCGCTCCTGTACCTGCTGCACATCGCCGTCGTCCGCCTCGACGTCCTGAGGATACGCTCCCACCTGAGATCACCCTCAAGCCACCGCATCGCCGCGCAGTCCCTCCTCGCAGCGGCACGCGTCAAGGCACTCGCCAACGTCAAGTACTTCTCACCATAATCGTGCCTTCACGTGTGATCTGTGTATCACCCACTCAACCACTCACTCAACCACTCACCCACCCACTCACCCACCCACTCACCCACTCACTCACTCACCCACCCACTCAACCACTCACTCAACCACCCACCCACTCACCCACTCAACCACTCACCCACTCAACCACTCAACCACTCAACCACCCACTCACTCAACCACTCAACCACTCAACCACTCAACCACTCACCCACCCACTCACTCACCCACTCAACCACCCACTCACCCACCCACTCAACCACCCACTCAACCACCACTCAACCACCCACCAACCAACCACCCACTCAACCACTCCAACCCACCCACTCACTCACTCACACACTCAACCACTCAACCAAACCCACTCACCTCACTCACACCACTCAACCACTCAACCCTCTCTTTCACTGGTCGCTTCGCTCCCTGCCTCACCCCCTCCATCACCTCCTCCGTCGGCGTCCTTCACCCAAAACCTCGTTTTCCACTTCCTCCCTCCATCTCCGAAACCGCCTTACCTCAACCCATCTTCCCCCTTCGTCGCCCTCTCTCGCCCCTTCACTTCCCTCACCCTCTCCACCCACCTCACTCGCTGCCTCCTCCACCTAAAATCGCCTTTCCCCAAATTCCCCCAAATCGCCCTGAAAATGTGCCTAAAATAATCCTTCAACATTTCTCAACTTCTTCTCCCCACCTCCCTTACTAGCCCTCTGGTCCTCTCGCTCCTCTACCCTGCTGCACATCACCGTCGTCCGCCTCGACGTCCTGAGGATACGCTCCCACCTGAGATCACCCTCAAGCCACCGCATCGCCGCCCAGTCCCTCCTCGCCGCCGCACGCGTCAAGGCACTCCCCAACGTCAAGTACTTCTCGCCATAATCGTGCCTTCACGTGTGATCTGTGTATCACTCACCCACTCAACCACCCACTCAACCACCCACTCAACCACCCACCCACTCAACCACTCAACCACTCACCTAATCACCACTCCAACCACTCAACCACCCACCAACCTCCACCGTCACCAACTCAACCACTCAACCACCCCACTCAACTCACCCACTCAACCCAACTCACCTCCCACTCACTGGTCGCTCTCAACTCCCTGCCTCCCTCCTTCCATCACCTCCTCCGTCGGCGTCCCTCACCCAAACTCCTCAATTTCCACCTTCCCCCTCCACCTCCGAAATCGCCTTACCTCAACCCCTCTTCCTCCTCCGTCGCCCTCTTTCGCCCCTTCACCTCCCTCACCCTGTCCACCCACCTCCCTCGCTGCCTCCTTGACCTAAAATCGGCTTTCTCAAAAAATTCTAAAATTGTCCAAAAGTGTCCCATTTCACCTCCTCTAATCGCCCTCTAACTCTTTTTCCACTTTCTTCTATCACCTTTCTTGCCCTCCCTTCTCGGCCTCCTTCGTCGGCCTCCATCGACTGGTTGATCCAGGTTAGGCATGGGAATGGTGATGGTCTTACCAACTTGGCCAATGCTTTGAAAAAGTTGATTGGTGATGCTATTACGAAGGCTAATACTAGCCTTACTGAACGTCAAAACCAACTTAAATGTCCTGCTAAGCTCTTTCCTTCTGAGTCTGCTGACTCCTCTGGTCAGCCTCTTAACTACTGTGATCACTTGACTAGCCAAATTAAGAAGCTTAAAAATTCTAACAACCCTAATGAAAATAAGCTTAATAAACTTCAATATGACTTAAGCAGCCACCAAAGTGAAGTGCACAACAATACGTCCAAAAGGGACAGTGCGTTGAAGGACATCCACTCCAGGATGGTGTCTCTTGCTGAGCTCAGTGGGAAGCTTGGCCAATTTATTGGCCAAAGTGACGAAGTTACTACAGCAATTAATGATGGTATTGACGCAATTATTGACAGTGATGATGACTTCAAAAGCCTTAAAAACTCTCCGTCTTCGACTGCGCTGTCTCCCCCTGCCGTGTCTGCTGGGCTTATAAAGTCCGATGAGCTTGAGCAGAAAATTAAGAGTTATGAAGCTCTTAAAAAGCCTCTTGAAGAACGTCAAAATGACAAAATTTCTCCCCTCTCCTCTGAAGATTCTCGGCTTTTATCCTCTCATCAGTCCAAGTTGCAGTCTCTTCAGAGGCTGAAGAGCCTTAATGACTCCTTGAATTCACTTAGTAAACAAAGTGATGATGCTTGTAAAAACCTTTTAAATAACCTCTGCACAGGCCTCGAAAAATTTCTCGGCTACGAGAAGGGGAATTACACCGGAGAAGGAATTGTGTACTCGGACCTTGACAGGCTCTGCGACGGGGTGATGGCGTTCTTGCATTCCGTGCTTCAAGATGTCCACGATAAACAGCCTTACAAAGTAGGAAAAGATTACTTAAATGAGAACGTTGTTAAGCTTGTTGAACGTTATTTGTGCCAAGGTCATGATGGTTTTAAGAGAGTCATTGTCAATGTGGCCGCCGGTGTCGGGAGGTATAATAGGGAAGTGGAGCGTTCTAATGAGAGCGTCAAGACAATTATAACTGGGATGCAGGAGAATATGAAGAGTCTTCAAAACGAGGTGAGTGGAATTTTAAAGGATCATTCTGATGCAGGTGACGATCAAGATTTTTCCAAGGCGGTGAAGAAGGTGGACGACTCATTAGCTGAGTGTCTCCGCCATGCGGACACTTTCGAGAATCAACTACACAACTCACATAATAACATTTTAGACCTTAACCCTAATATACGTGATAGAATTCTCAAAGCTAAAAGTTGTATTGTGCATGAGCGTAGTAGGCTGAACAAGTTGTACACCAAAAAATGGGAGGACTTGTTCAGCATGGAAGCGAAAATCGGTGAGGTGCTCGAACATCTTAGATCACATGTGAAAGGAGAAATTGATGATAAAATCAACAAGTTGGTTGGTGAGTTGAAAAAATTGGTTCAAGACATTGTAGAAAAACTTAGGCATATTAATATTACGCTGATGGAGTATGTTATGGAATTGAACAAGTGGATGCATGAGACTAAAGGCTTTATCGATGGTGTAATGCAGAAAGAGGTAAATAGAATTGTGAAAAAAGAAGTTGGCGATGGTAATATCTTTGACATTAACCAAAAGGCAAAGGAATTAGGGGAAAAGGGTGAAGAAATTTATCAGCATTTAAAGTGGGCAAAGGAGCGTGTGGAGAACTTTAATAAGGACGCTCAGGCGAAATTAAACCTTTTGAATGAAGCGCTCAAATTGGATTTGAATGAGGTGAAGAATGCGATAAACTCAGGGATTAGAGAGTACATTAATGGCAAATTGTTGAATGATATCAAAATCAAAGTTGGAAATATCAAGGGAAATTCAAATAGTGGACTGGTTCAGACGTTGGAAGAGATAAAGAAGTGGGCTGAAACGTTCAATGGGAAGCAGGTAATCGGGGAGAAAGTCGACCAGTGGGTGAAAGGGATTTTGGCGAATAATGCCGTGGTGAAAGGCACGTGGGAGAAGTACGTTCAGTATGTGCAGCAGCATCAGAGCACGTTTAAGGTTCAGGAATATGGTAACTTGGATGGAAATGGAGTACGTGAAGAGCTTATTGGTGTAATCGTAGACCAAATTAAAGAAGCGTTCAACAAAGGTAGACTCATCATAATATACGAACCCTTCCATGTCGACGAGAATGAAGGCATTGCAGAGACTGTTAAAAAGATGAAGCAAGTCTGCGATGGCTTTGCCAAGCAGCTTGAGGACAAACTTAAGGACCAAGGAGTGGCTTTAGACATTGCCAGGGAGATAGCGCAGAAGATTGAGCAAGAAGTTACATCCCCCTCTCCTACTCTTCCTCCCACCCCCAAAAAATCGCCACTCACAAACGTCGTCTACTACACTCTATACCAACTGCTTGGCGCTGCCAGGCAAAATTCTGCCGATTTTGAATGGCTTATTGGTATCAACTCAAAGGACGCCAACATCAAGAACGTGGACAAAGCGCTAGAAGTAGCCACCGGTCTCGACAGGGATCTTAGAACGGCAACTGAGCCGGGAATTCCAGGCAGCATCGTCGAGCCGGGGAAGGCGTTTACTCTTACTGACAAGGTTGATGGCCGGATACTTGGAATACTGGAGGAGAAGTTGCCTGGTGTTGGTGGTACTTCAGGTAGTCAAGTTGACCTAGAAGCATCAAAGTTGTTTGCGGGCTACGTTGGCGGTGGTCCCGGAAAGCCAGGGAAGAAAAGGCTACTCGAGGAGGCCATCGATGAAATTAAGAATGACGTGACGGAAGCATTTAATACTTATGTTAAGGATAAATACGTTAAGAGCAAAGAAGCCCTTGAGAAAGATCCGGAGAATAAAGGTGAGCTTCACGATTTATACACACAAATCACGGCCAAGCTTTACAAACTGATAGATGAATTTGCAGAGACCGGTATAGGCGTAAAGCAGACAATGGAGCTTTTGAAGAGTGGTAAAATTAACACCGATTTCAATCGAATCAAGAACGACATTAAAAATCTGCGTAAGGTCAAATTGGTTGGTGCTATACAAGATACAGAACATGTTCTAAAGTATGCCGAAACCTTACGTGTACAAACAATCTCCGACCTTAAAAACTACGTTGACTCCAAAGTAAAGGACGCTAAAAAGGCTCTCACCCAGCACGCCCGCAAAGATTACGTCTCAACCATCCAGTTGATGCTCAAGCAATTTGCAGACAAAGTGAGGAGCGAATTGTATGAGCTCCCCGAGGCAATAGAAAATGACAAGCTCATCGGATTCAAAGGCTTCATGAAAGCATTCCAGGGTTTCGAAAATGGAGAAGAAAATATTAAAAGGCTTCAAGACGTTAAAGAGGAAAATGATGTCAAATACATATCGTCCGGCTTCCTTGGTTTCTTCGCTGCACTCAATCATTATCTCGGCAAAGAGATCAAAAGGTCCCATGAACAGAATAATCTCCAGAAAAATCCAAATCCGTTGGACCCTGAAACTGTCTACACCACTCGGCTTACCAATGCATTCACTGCACTCAGCAACCTACTTCAGCACATCACTAAGACAAATAAATACGACCACAGTCTTCCTGGTCTGCTTGATAAGCTGTCCGAAGCTGTGAACAAGTTAATTCCAAAGGACTTCGAAAATCCTAACACGCCAATATTAGATGCTATTAGAAGCGGTTTTGCCAAATTCGTCGACGAGCTCAGAAAAGTTTATATCAGTAAGTACGACGGCGCTGATGCAATCGATGTCTGGGTGGAGCCTGATACAACCAAAAAGCCTTTGGCAGACGATTCCTCCGTTGATAATACGATTCTGACCGATGACGGGAGGAACGGCGCGAAGGTGTTTTGCACAATCATTAAGATTATTTGCGATGATTTAACTGAGCTGCATAAGCAGTGTAGCACGGGTGCTGCGTGGTGGGGACGCACAATATACGAATCGAATGGCGCAAAAGGGAATCCCCTGGGAGACTTTTTGCGGTCCCGAGGCTACAGGGTTCCCACCAGCAAAACAAACCAGGACGGTGAATTGCAACGTTCTCCCAAAATGAATGGGAGGCATATACATCACCACCTTAATGTGTACATTCCAGATGCCTACTATAATCAGCATCTCAAAGAGTGTAAACCAAACGACAGACGTACGCACTTCAATGTTGTAGACATTATTAGGTGTATGTTCACTCACGTAAATGAATTTTACGACGTTTGTCACCTGCCCGCTCCATCCTCTAAGAAGCATCCTACTTCCATCTATGACATGCTCACTTGGTTGTGTGGCCTGACGTACAATCCGGTGTATGACGCAATAAAATTAGACGGTTTCGCTCAGCTATTTGATAAGCCTGAGAAACCGGCGTCCGAGGACAGCGACAGTACTGAGCCTGTCCTCCTAGTGGAAGATGACGCTTCCTTGCCAGCATATCCGGAAACCATCACAGCAATGGGACTATCGGACACCCTGTCAGCAGTATGCCACCATGCATATGAAACGCTCACTGCAATCCTTGGTCACGGTCACTCAGGCGGAATATATGCGTGTGAATTTAATATTAACGCGCAGGGCTTCGTATATCCCGCTGACTTCAACACTTTAATCTGTATGATATTTAACATCCTAAAACTTTTACACCAACAATTATATTTCTTATACACGCAGTGTTGTTACAGCACCAAGCTTGGCGGCTGGCTTGATTGCCATTACGGCAGGCACGTAGGTGGGTCGAATTGGAACTGCAACGATTTCCAGTGCCCTAAGCAAGACTGTGACCAAAAGCACAACCAAACGTGTAACCAAACAGCTGACCAAAAGGCCATCCAAACACCTGACCAACATTACGATTGCGGTGTTAAATCACCGCTACAATCGTTCCTTGAGGACGGCCTTGTCGGCTTCTTGCCGCATCCTGTGACATCAACCAGAGGCAAACTTGAGTGCCCAGTGAAAAGTCACTTCAGCATCCCCTGCAAAGCGCCCATGGGCTTTACTGATATTAGCCAAATAGCGTCTCATGTGAAAAACGGCCAGTATCTAAAACGCGCACTTTCCGAATATTGTGGCACTGCATCATCTCCACTCACTAAGCTGTGCAGTCAGCTCAATTGCCTCCTGCCTACCGCTCCTAAATCACTTGGCGATATGTTCGCGTTCTACTTTAGTTTCCTGAATGACTGGTGCGGTAAGAATCCAGAACTCATGAAGCACAGGGAGATTGCGTATAACTTAGCCGTGAAAGAAGCTAATTTCAATAGTTCACTTACAGGCTTGATGGACTGCTCAGAGCTGTTTAAATCTACAGTCCATGCATCGTATGCCCCCAAAACCGGGGCATCAAATTACACTGCGTATCATCATAAGGGTGACCTTTATAGTATATACAGCCCTGCCGATACGTGTTACACAGCCAACACAAAATGCGGTGCCTATGCATCCCCCTTGTCTATGGACATATATTCGTCATTTTCATCCAAACATAAGGCATTGTACATGTCATGGATGGTTTACGTTACTGAAGCATTGTTCAATCTATTTTGCGGGCTGAATAAGGAGTGCAATGGTAACTGTGGCTCACAGACATCTAAATGCCGCATTACGGGTTGCGTAAAAGGCATATGCAAGGTTGCTGATTCTGGGTATGTAGACTCAAGAAAACACAACAGTGAATGCAATTCCATTCTCAACTGCCGCCATAGTCATCCAACATTGTATAGCTCCGGTCTCACGTTTGGCAGTAGGCAACACCTGTATGGACGTGTCGACAATGACAGATTTCCGAAAAGAACTTGTAAAGACTTTATCGCACAACTTCAGACGATATGTTCTGAAAGCTCAGTGCTCTCGATGTTGATTCACAAGACAATTCCAGAGTACTTGCTAAAAATCAGATGGCCATTTATGCTAACGTTGTTAGCCCTCTGGTCGCTGTCGCTCCTGTACCTGCTGCACATCGCCGTCGTCCGCCTCGACGTCCTGAGGATACGCTCACACCTGAGGTCACCTTCCAGCCACCGCATCGCCGCGCAGTCGCTCCTCGCCGCCGCACGCGTCAAGGCACTCAACAACGTCAAGTACTTCTCACCATGATCGTGCCTTCACGTGTGATCTGTGTATCACTCACCCACTCAACCACTCAACCACCCACCCACCTAATCAACCACCCACTCACTCAACCACTCAACCACTCAACCACTCAACCACCCACCCACTCACATACTCAACCACCCACCTAATCACCTATTCACTCACCCACTCACTCACCCACTCACCTAATCACCCACTCACTCACCCACTCACCCACCAACTCACCCACTCACCCACCCACTCACCTAATCACTCACTCACACACTCACTCAACCACTCAACCACTCACCCACTCACCCACTCACCCACTCACTCACTCAACCACTCACCCACTCACCCACTCACTCAACCACTCACCCACTCACTCAGCCACCCACCCAACCACTCACTCACCCACCCACTCACCTAATCACCCACTCACTCACCCACTCACCCACCAACTCACCCACTCAACCACTCACCCACTCACCCACTCACTCACCCACTCACCCACTCACCCACTCAACCACTCACCCACTCACTCACTCATCCACTCACACACTCAACCACTCAACCACCCACTCAACCACTCACCCACTCACTCACCCACTCACCCACTCACCCACTCAACCACTCACCTACTCACCACTCAACCACTCAACCACTCAACCACTCACTCAACCACTCAACCACCCACTCAACCACTCAACCACTCACCCACTCACCCACTCACCCACTCACTCACTCAACCACTCACCCACTCACCCACTCACTCAACCACTCACCCACTCACTCAGCCACTCACCCACTCACTCAGCCACCCACCCACTCACTCACCCACTCACCTAATCACCCACTCACCCACTCACCCACTCACTCAACCACTCACTCAACCACCCACCCACTCACCACCTCCTTCACTGGTCGCTTCGCTCCCTCCCTCACCCCCTTCATCACCTCCTCCGTCGGCGTCCCTCACCCAAAATCCTCATTTTCCACCTTCCCCCTCCACCTCCGAAATCGCCTTACCTCAACCCATCTTCCCCCTTCATCGCCCTCTTTCGCCCCTTCACTTCCATCACCCTGTCCACCCACCTCCCTCACTGCCTCCGTCACCTAAAATCGCCTTTCTCCAAACTCCCCCAAATCGCCCTCAAAATAATCCATTTCATCCCCTTTTTACTCCTTTTAACTCTCCCTTAATCCACCTTCAATCCAACTATAATAACCATTATAATGAAGTTCATTATCTTACTGAGGATGCCAGAAACGGAGCCTTGGATGATATTGATGCCCGCCGTATATCTCTTGGTACGCTTGCTGGACAGCTTTCGGGATTTATTGGTGGGAGTGAGGAAGTTAAAAATGCAATTGTAAAGGGTTTGCACAGTAATGTAAATGAGCTTGTTAGGCTTTTAAAAGCATCTTGCGGAGATAAGGGGTGTTGTAATGAAGCTGTGAAGTTCAGTGATAAACTTCTCAAAAATCTTCAAAATAAATTTAATGAAGTTGATAAAATTGAAACAAAAATTGATGGCCTTAATAAAGAAATTGCTGAAAAAAGGAAGGCGCCCGTAGGGGCGCCGTTAGGCAGTGTGTCTGAGATTCAGAGGCTTACAAAGGAAATTAAGCAGCATAAAGATACAATTTTCTCACAAAGTTCTCCGCTTAAAGATCAAATTACAAGTGTAATTGAAGCTGTTCAAAGTAAAATTACTGCACTTGACTCTAAGAAAAAGAAAGTTGTTGACGCTCAACGTCAAGTGAATGACCTTAAAAAGGAAATTGATGCTAAGCAAAATAATGATGTACAACTTGAAGACCTTAAAAATAAGCTTAATGAACTTGAAAAGAAGCTTAATGAAGCAAAAAATAATTTCCCTGAAAAAGAGTCTAAATCTCTTGACGCTCATCAGAAGTCTATGAGTTCTCTCAGAAGTCTACAAACGCTTTGTCAACATTGTAAGGATGTTAAAAATAATGAAAGTAAAACTCCAAAAAATATTCTAGAGAGTCTTTGTGGAGGCCTCGAAAAATTTCTCGGCTACCAGGATGGTAATTACACCGGAGAGGGAATTGTGTACTCGGACCTTGACAGGCTCTGCGACGGGGTGATGGCGTTCCTTCATGGTGTTCTTGAGACTGTGAAGGATGATGAGAGCGTTACAACTTATGATAAAGATCGTGATAAAAATATTACAAACACAATTAAGGAATTAAATGATAGTGTAGGTCAAGGCCGTAAGGCCTTCCCGGAGGCCGTGCATCAGGTAAGTGAGTGGTTGAAAAAACATGGTGCGCAGGTGGACCAAAAAATCAAGAATGTTAGGGATCCTTTAAATAATCTTTTGACAGGCCCAGATGACAATGGTTTCAAGAAAATTCCGCAGTTGATTCAAGACATTCAAGGGATGCAAGGACAAGAATATGATGAAGTCTCCGGCACTGGTGGTAAGTTACATAAATGGGTTAATGATGTTTCAGGTCTGCCGAAGAAGACGGAAGAGGCACTTAAAGCACTTAAATCACTTGATAACAAACTTAGAAATAATTTAGATCCTCACGTTAGCTTACTGCATAATGCTGTTGAGACGTTCCGTGTGAATACGGTGGAAGACCATAAAGGTCTTACGTCAATAACTGGCGATGTGAAAAAGCATATTGAGACTCTTCAGACTCAGGTGCTCCAGGTTGCGACAAGTGAGGAACGAACGTGTCGAGAGGCGTTGCAGGGGGAGTTTTTGGAAAAAGTTCAGGGGCCTATAAACGAGGTAAAAAGGGATTTGGAAGGGGTCGATGATGCATTGGATTTGTGGATTAACGAGGCAGAAAAAGTCGTGAAGGCGGTTATAAAGAAAGCGGAGAAGGTTTGGGAAGCGCTAAAACCGGAAGGTAGCGATGATGTGCACATAATTGCTTTGAATATAAAAAAATTAGAGGAATCAAAAGCAGAAATTGACACCGTTAAAGGTAAAATCAGCACTGAAATTGGTATGTTGGATACTTGGAGAACTGCATCCCAAGGAGCGGTTGGTGCAGCGATGTTGAAATGTAATGATATAATGGATAAAGTTAATGGTGAAAAGGATATGTCGATTCGTAAGTCTGCAGGCAATATCAAGGAGAAGGCGCAGAAACTTTTGGATGCATACGATCAAGCGAGACGTGGCCTTAAAGCCTTGGTATCATCATCCAAGCAAAAAGTAACCCACCTTGAAACTAACCTTAAAACAAATTTAAAAACTCTGAAAGATGCAATAAGTAGAGGAGTGGAAGACTATATTAGGAGGCTTGGTGATGGTATTTTGAGCGGCATCGATAATGCTGGCAGGAATACTTATGGTACCCAAGGTGTTACCGGTTTATATTTGCAACTGGATAAAGAAACGGAGCTCTATAAGTTACTTCAGGAGGCTGGGAATAAGAAAACCGGACTGGCGGTGAGACTAGATGCAGCTCTCAAGACGCTCTACAGTATGCATGGTACTCTGAAACATTACTCCGCTGAGTTTTCAAGGACCATTAATAAAGACATAAAAAGCGCATTCGAAAAGAAATTGCCAGATCAGAGTGATTCAGACGGTCAGCCAACTAGAGTGGAACTTACCCATCTATCAAATTACCAACAGGACAAATTGGCTATTGAACAAGAATTCCAAAAAGTAGGTGACGACACGTTGGCGCATTTCAGTACTTCCATCACCCAATCACATCACAAAGAGCTAGAGGCACTCCAAGACTCATTCAGAGATATAACTGGTGGTCTTACAGCTATAAGCAAACTGCTTGCTAACCCTAATGGCATGGCTCCGGATAAAGACGATGGAGTTAAGGACTACCTGAGGGATTTAACGAATATGATTAACAGGCGTGACGGCGACTTAAAACTCACTGCAAAAAATCTACAAAATACTACTGTCCGAGGATTAACTAACATACACAGTGAACTTACAAAGTTTAATAACCAGGTCCCCAACCACACATACAAAATCAAATCAGCCAACGAAGCAATTAAATTGGAACTCATTGCCCTTCAAGGTGTGCTGCAAGGCAGTTCAGGCAGCGATGTCATAAAATCACTAGAAGATTTGCTAAATACGGGAATTTATGGCACTGGTGACTGGAAGAAAGGTGAAGATATCAAGGCCCTCCAAAAGATCCAGACCACTCTCTCAGGTATTATTGGCGATTACAGGAAGCAGGAAAATACCTTGATTAAGATCACAGAAGACGCTAACATGTTCTACACCAAAACGATTGAAACAAAGGTCTCAGCCTGCGTAAAACAGATCACCAACAAACTCAAAGAGCTGGTGCCTAAGAAAATCGCCGCCATCCGAAACTCCGCCCTCGCAAATTTCGCCAAGTCCAAAGAGGCAGAGCTGGAAAACTTGAAAAGACGAGTTACTGAGAAGAACGAAGCTATCAGAAAACTAATCGATACAGATAGACGAAATGGCGTCAAGGGCTTAATAGAAAAATTGTGCGGCGGCGCACTTCAAAATACCGATGACAATTTGCTGCTCCGCCTTAAAAGCGCCGTGACTGCAGGAACGATTGTAACTCTGAGGGTTACGAAAACGCAGCATGAAGCTACACGTTTATCCGATACGTCTGAAGCATTCAACAATTATCTTACACCAATCTTTAAGTATGTTGAGGAGCAAGCAAAGACTGTGCTTCCTCCAGAGCGTCCGTTGATGCCTCCACCTAAAAAGGGGAATGCCCAATCAAGTCAAATCGCCGGACTGCAATCCACTATCGATTCACTGCTGCAATTTCTAAAGAACTCTAACCGTTTCGATTTTAGGTTCCAAAATAATCTTGACACCGTTAAGGATGCACTGTCCCGTTTGATTTCTCCAACATTCTCGGGATATCAGAATGCTATATTGCTTGACACTGTTAAAAACGGCGTAACATCCTTACTCGGTGAATTAGATAAGGTATATATGAATACTTATGATGGCGCATTGTCCGTTGACTGGACTCATGATATTGTAAATTCAGAGCGGTGCGCAAAGGTCTTTTCCAGTATTCTGTCCACGCTTCGCGAAGAATTGGAGATGTTGATAGATGAATGTAGCGCTGACTGGAAAACACATACACTGTGTGAAACGAACGGAGATAAAGATAATCCACTCGGCCAATTCCTCAAGCGCTCTGGCTACACGGTCGCAAAAAAACAAGACTCCAAGGAGGGCGAGTTGAAATTACCTATAAACGATTTCACGGGTAAGAAGATCCATGACAATCTCAAGGCGCCCACATCTGATGGCTATACACTCCTAGGCACTCTCGAATCTCTTATCAACAATCTCAACTGGTACTATCAAGTTGGCCACCATAAGCATATTCCGTCACCTAGAACTCCTTGCAACATTTACGAGATGCTCACATGGTGCTGCGGCCTGCAGTACAACAGTGTCTACAGTAATCTAGTAAAATATTGTGATGAGTATGACACCAACGATACTGATAAAACACCAGATCACGATTTTAAAAAACGGTTGTCAGACGCCGTTGATTATAGCTTAAGTGATCTGTGTACATATTCACGTAAAATCCTCACCACTATCGTCGGTCACGGTAACTCCCACACCATGTACGCTTGTGAGTACTCTAACAATGCACTCAATCTTAAATATCCTGCATCAGGCGAAGATTGTTTGCGTACATTGCTCGACATCCTTCGCAGGATGTTACCAACGCTGCGATATCTGAGAAGTCAATGCAAACGTGGTACTGAACATCACGGTTGGTCCAACTGCCAGTATGGCGGAGATATCTCGCCGGTGAATCAGCCATGTATAGCGCATCCTACCGACAAACCAAATGGTCAACCTAAGTGCCAACCAAATTGTCAGTCAACTTCTAAAGCAAATTGCCAATCAACTTGCCAACCAACGTCTCCACTAATGTCATACTTAAATGACTGCCTTCCCGGTCACTTACCTCACCAGCTATCCTCCATCGGTTGTAGAGCTACATGTACAACGTGTCCCAAATCTCCGCCCGGAACGCCCTGTCTCACGCCACTCGGATTCCGACGTTTCTCTGGAAGTACAAGGACAGGTAATGTGCTGTGCAGAGTGCTAACCAAATTCTTCAGCAGTGCCAACCTTTCACCGTTATTCTGCATAGCCCCCAAGCCACCATCCACGCTACCAGAGCACTTATCCTTTACGTTGACGTTGGTTAATGGTTGGCGTAACATAGCCACGGACCCCTATGAACCACGCATTCATGCATCCATAAAGGACACATCTATTCAGTTATACGCTGAACCAACCGTGCTTACCAATGCCATCATTCATGCTTATGGATCTGGGTCTGCTGAACATACTGATTGCACGCATCCTCATCTTACGCACCTTACTACCATTGGTTTCTGCAACACCAAAGGTAACAGAATTGAGCGCGCCCCGTACCTTCAATCGCTATGCCGTGATGCATATCACGACCTCGTTAAGAAACATGCCAACCTATATTTGTCATGGGCTATCTATCTTCCGTGGACATTTTGGGACTTACTTAACCATCTATATAATACCTTCTGCTCTATCGTTTGTGAAGACTACGGATGCCGTAGTTGTCTCCGCGGTGGCATATGTAAACGCGGGCAACACGGGCTCGTTGTCAGCGAAGAAGGAAAACCTGATAAGCCTCACTGCTTATGTTCCTCTCTAGTCCAATGTAAGGGAGTACCCCCAACACTGTACCAGTATGGACTAAGTTTCGGTGCAGTGTCTAGGTTAGATAACATTGCATCTCCAAAGAAATGCTCCGATTTCTGTAGTCAGTTGAAGCAAGTGCTAAAATCAGAATACTTCAAAACATTATTCGAGAAATGTGACGAATTCCTATGGATTATTCGTACACCCTTCTCCTACCTCTTATTAGCCCTCTGGTCTCTCTCGCTCCTCTACCTGCTGCACATCGCCGTCGTCCGCCTCGACGTCCTGAGGATACGCTCCCACCTGAGATCACCCTCAAGCCACCGCATCGCCGCGCAGTCGCTACTCGCCGCCGCACGCGTCAAGGCACTCGCCAACGTCAAGTACTTCTCACCATAATCGTGCCTTCACGTGTGATCTGTGTATCACCCACTCACCCACTCACCCACTCACTCACCACTCGACCGCTCATCCCATACCTCCCCCCATCGATATCTGCCATCCCTCCGCGCCGCTCGCTCGCCACTCATCACTCATTCGCCCACTCCGATCATACTTAACATCATTTACTTAACACTGACATCACATCGCAATATATAACTTACCCACTCATCATAATCCCATATATCTCTCTCCCCATCGATTTTACTTAACCATTACTCTACCAATCCCATCGTACGCATCGCTACTGACGCATCATCCCATCCGCTCATTTCTTACCCATCACCATCGCCCATCATACTTACCATCGATGCGCCGCATCACGCATCCCATACCGCATTAATCGTACTCGATTTCGCATACTCGCATCACGCCCACTTATAATATATCAATTACTCGCCAATCATCTATAATCACTTAATGCATCAATTACCCCACCCATCACATCATCACATCGGCATAACCGCTTCGCCCATCGACCATCGCATCATCTTATCATCGCCCATCGCCCTCGCATCGACCATCGCCACTCATCATACCATCTACCCCGCATCATCACTTATCCCGCATCGGTCATCGCTCGGTGCCATCATTGCCCATCCTACCCACTCGCTATCGCGCCATCGTATGATCATCACTCATGCCCGCGCATCACCCATCGACCGCCCATCATCCATCATTTACTGCATTTACGCTACTTACCGCATCCATCATTCGCTGCTTCAACTCATCCACTCATATGCCATCAACCATCAGTTTCATCGATCTTTCTTCATTTCAGCTTCCTTCATCATCTTCATCCGTCGTTGTCCTGCCTAAACACTCATTTTTTCTTCTCATCTCTCCGCTTCATCATTTCATTGCCCTCCCTCTTTCCTCACTTGTCCACCCACCTCCTCTCGCTGCCTCGCTGCCTCCTTGACCTAAATTGGCCTTTTTCCCAAATCTCCTCTAATTCCCTATTTAATTTTTCTTTTCACTTTCTTCCCTCCAACACAAATCCGACAAGCTCTCTTGCTCTCCAAATCCACAAGATCCTCACTCCTACTGTAATGAGCTTGATAGCCTTATTAAGTCCAAAAATGAAGAACTTAATAAACTTAAAAAAGCTAATAATGTCTCTGATAAATCACAAATATCCTCTTTAGAATCACAAATTAAGCAGTTACAGTCCAACAAAGATGACTGCACTAAGTCCCATTACATGGATGAGCAGCGTGCGTCCTCCCTTGAGGAGGAAGTGCATCATGGCATTGATGTTATTGTGAAGCTTACACAGTTTAGTGGCGGTGAAGATAGCGTTAAAACACTAATTGATAAAGAAATTGCGAGGCTTACAAAGCAGCATAATGGCTGTCAAAAGTCTCCGCAGTCTCCTGACTGTCCTCAGCATAAAAAGCTTGAGGAGCTTAAAAAGAAACTTAATACATTGACTCAGAATAATGATAACGATTGTGAAACATTATTAAATAACCTGTGCTCCGGCCTGGAGAAGTTCCTTGGTTACCAAGAAACTTCCAAAGGCTACGATGGCTCCGGCATCGTGTACTCTGACCTTGACAGGCTGTGCGACGGGGTGATGTCTTTCCTTCATGGTGTTCTTAAAGATGTAAATGACAATCCAAATTTGTCTAAATACAATAATAATTTGCCTGGCGTCCTTCAAAAAATTACTGACGCTCTCTATAATAGAGATAATTTTGATAGTAGTATTGTCGAAGTTGGCAAGGGGATTAAGCAGTGGGTGAGCGGGGTGGATGGAAGTAATAAAGGAGTGATGGAGCCGTTGGAGAGTCTTGAAATTACTATTAAGGGGCATATGAGGTTAAATATGAATGACATGTCTATTACCAATCAGTTACAAAATTGGCAGACGCTTGCTGGCGACTACCTAGGAAAGGTGTTGGATTCAGAGTTGGCGTTAAATGAGGTTGACAAAAGGCTTGAAGACAAATTGACCGCTACTGTAGGTTTCCTAAAACAGGCCGCTGAGAATTTTTGGACATCCATAAATGACTCTAGCTTGCAAGGTTGTGTAGAGGAGCTGGAAAATAAATTTGCGCAGCGAAGGGAGGAAGTGAAGAGTCATATAGAGAGCAAAATACAAGGGGCACAGCAAGAATTGAATGTGAGATTGTCGAGTGTTGAACATAAAATTAATGGCCTTAAGAGGGATAAACAGAGTGGATTCGACAATATTAATAAATCCATAAGTGACGCATTAGAGATGTCTGATAAAGCAATTGAGAGACTCAATAATGATTATAGACAAAAGCTTGAAGAACAATTTGCGTTGTTGAGAGAGACGATGAAACATATTGACCCCAATGATAAGCATGCGCCGGTAGAAGGAGTGAAATCCAAGTTGAGGGATCATGTTGAGCACATCAAGATCCAGGTTGGAGTAATGGACAAGGCGTGCAAAAACAAATTGAAGGAAATCTGGGAACACGTGAGAAAGAGCGTTGGAAAAAATGATAGCGAAGGTCTTTTGGCGGAGCTCACTAAACTGGATGAGGATGTCAAAAGTGATTTGTATACGATTAGAAAAAACGTAGAGAACGAAATGAAGAGGTATGTCAAGACGTATGTCAGCAAAGTCAAGCAGAGTGTTGAGAATATTCGAGAGACGGTAGGGGACAAAGATACAATTTTGCGAGGCAGGGATGCAAGTATGTATTATAATTGGGAGATGCTTCAACAGCAGATTACTACGCTAGTTGGTTGGATTAATGGGACAGGGGATAATTATGATGGACTGAAAGGGATTCAACATAAGGTGAAGGAGTATCATAAGACGTTCAAAGAGAATCTTAATTATATAATAGGCGTATGGGTTGCAAATAATATTTTGAAGAAAGATAAGGTCATCATAACGAAGATTAATGCATATGTTACGGATAACAAGAGTCCTATGAATAAGCTTAAGCAAATATATGACAGTTCCGACAGATCTAAGATCAATGACGAACTGTGCAAGGAAATCGCAACTATTTTCCAGAGTCAACTACTTCAAAAGATTGGGAAGGTCGAAGTTGAAACTGGCGACGGCACAATCGAAAGGTATCTTGAAGCTGTCAAAAAAGGCTGCAATACATTTGCCGATCAGCTTCAGGGGCAGCTTGTTGATGAACAGTTCAAAGTTAAGTCTGACCTTGCCGCGAAGATGGCCAGGGAGGTAGAGACCGCTGTGTCCGCCACTAAATCAGCTGATAGTACCAACAAGGCCCACCTCATATATGCCGTACACCTCATTCTCGAACAAATCGTTGTTATATCTAGGCAAACTGCCAAAGCGCTTGCAAATTTCACTTCAAACAACGCGGGATACAACCTCGGCAGAAGTTTAGAGGCGGCTATAAGTAATGTGGAAGCAATTGGGAAGGAGTTTGACATATCAGATAGAACCGGGAAAGGCTACGGCAAAAGACTCAATGACGCATTGTCTAATGTGAAGCAACAAATTGAAAAGCTCTACAGCAATATGCACACGGCCGCTACGTCTTCCACAGTCATATCCGCTGACGCAGGTTTTGAGCTTAACGACAGTATTGAAAAAAGGGTTGATAAGATATTGGACGACAACATTGGCGCGCAGGATGGTAGCACTGGTAAAGTAGGAAAGCAATTTGGTTCAGATGGTCATATGTACAGTTACAATCAGCAGACGAAGAAAGGTAATTCTGGTTTCGAAACAGGGACGTTAAGACGCAAGATTGATGACATAAGGAAGAAGTTTGATGAACAGTTCATAGCAAACAATGAAATCAAAACAAACGAACTCCAGCATTATGAGTACGCTGAAAGCTTGTATAACTCCACCATGGAGTACGTGGTAGAGGCGATTGATGATTTAGAAGCTTTGCCAGATGCCGTTGTTGAGGCGGAAGTGGAAGCCGAAAAACTAATGGACCAAATGCAGCAGCACATCGAAGCCGTACGAAGTGATATTAGTACAATTGCTTTAAATGTAAAATCGGCGGCAGACGCTGTTGACTCCGCCATCCACTCCGTTGTAACAGCGTTAGAGGAGACCCGAAATACTACGAATAGAATGCTACAAGAGTTGAAGATAAACTTACAAATGAAGGTTCGGGATGTTTTGAACGACCTGGTGGATGGCGTTCAGGAGACTTTCAATGCACAAAAGCATGCTGAATTAAAAGCTTTGCAGGAAAGCGTTGCAAAGTATACATCCGAAATCCAGAAGCTCATCAACGACGATACCAACGCAGGCCTGAAAGGCCTGATGAACAAGCTGAGTGACACCTTCAAGACAGAAAGCCTGCAAGGCTTAAGCAATGCAACGCTTGACTTAATGGCGAGCAGAGTCAAAAGCTTTTATGACAAATTCTTCACCTTATTGAAATCACAATTCGACGTCTCTCCACATACCAAAATTGTTGACCCCCTCGCCTCCGCCCTCTCCGCCCTGCTCTCCACAATGCACTCCAAACGCCACTTCCACCGCGAAGTCTCCGACAAAATCGACGCGCTCAAACGCGAACTGGACAACTTCGCTCCAACAAAATTCTCCGAAGCCTCTCCCCTGCTCAACGTCATAAAGCGCGGCGTCACGCAGCTCCACCAGGAGCTCGAAAAGCAGTACGTCAGCAGGTACAGCGGCATACAGTTCGCTGGACCTCTAGTGAGACCTAATGAGAATTCCGAAACAACACCAGTTAAAGCACCCAAACAAAGTGACGACAATAATGAATTGACTGACGAAGGCCGCAATGCCGCCAAAGTATGTGTCACGCTTTTAGCCATTTTACGTCGCGACCTGAACAATCTAAGAGAAGATTGTGACACGAATTGGAGTGGCAAAACACTATGCAGAGTGGATGCCGGCAAAAGTAATCCACTCGGAAAGTGGTTTGATGCGCGTGGCTTCACGGTGTCAAAATCAGCCGACAAGCAAGAAGGCGAATTGAACAAAAATAAAAATGCGTCAGCTATATCTGGGAAGCTCAACGAGACAGTTCAAGGTGCCGACAGTAATTCACATCTCACAACGTGCAAGCCAAATGATAAAGCAGACAAATTCAATGCCCTCGACATCCTCGACTGTCTGTTCGATCACCTCACTCAATATAATAAGACTTGCCACTTAATTATTCCAATTTCACCTAAGTTACCGTCTAGCGTAAACGATATGCTGCAATGGCTCTCCGGTCTACGGTACAATCACATGCGGCAGCCAGTCGTGAGTGCTTTCAACGGGTTGTTTAGCGACGCAGAAAAAGGATTGGCCGTGACAGCTCCACACGACGTCCTAAGAAAGATACCAAGCTCAACGCTGAGACCTAACACACTGGCAGGCACACTTACCGTAGTGTGCCGTCAAGCCGAAAAAACACTCATCGCCATCCAGGGCTACGGACATTCCGACGGCCGTTACGCCTGCGAGTTCTCCGACAACTCCCGCAATTTAATGTATCCCACAAACCCTGCTGCGTGTTTAGACATGCTTATAGATATACTGTGTAGGCTTCAACAACAATTGTGCTTCCTCTACAGACAATGTTGTTTCATGAGTAACTGCAGTGGATGGCGTGACTGTCATTACGGTCAACACGTCGCTGGGTCATCGTGGCAGTGCAACGATAAGCAATGCCCTGACCAAACGTGTGACCAAACATGTAACCAAAAGTGCAAACAACATCCTGACTGTGGCCTCAAGTCGCCGCTTCAATCGTTCCTTGAAGACGGATTGCAAGGGTTCTTGCCACATTCATTTAGCAGTCCCGGCTGCAAGTTAACGTGTACGGTATCCAATCATAGAGGCCTTCCTTGTAAGACGCCTATGGGCTTCGGTGACCTCTGCGTAACGGCGTCTCATACACGTAACGGCGCGTATCTCAGAGATGTGCTCTACGATTTCTGTGGCGATGCTAGCAAGCCGCTCAGCAGATTATGCGGCTACCTTGTATGCCTTGTGAATCGTCCACCTGGAACATTAGGCGAGATGTTTGGGTTCTACTATTCCTTCATCCATGGATGGAGTGGTAGCGGTACCCATCGTAAGGATGGCTTCAACAAAGCCGTGATCAGTGCCAATTTCGAAAACGAAAGTACAAGCCTGGACATTGCTCCAGTATTCAGAAGCAGCGATCATAAATCTGGTAATTGTATGCCGCACCTCACCGGTGATCTGCACGCTCTTGTTAAATGCACCGGTACAACAGGGGACGCTGCGTCACACCCATGTGGTCCGTACTTGAGATCACTGTGCCATGACATCCGAGGCATATATTCAGAGACGTACGCAGCCAAATATCTATCATGGATTGTCTATTTAACAGAGACATTCTATAAGCTGCTAAGCATGTTGTATGATGAGTGTAACAGTAAATGTGGCGGTGAGAAACCAAGATGCCGTAAAAGTAAATGCATTAGCAATTGCGAAGCTGCAAAGTGGCCGATTAGCCCTGAATCGAGGCATGATGAATCCTGTCATTCAATTGTAAAGTGCGCATTCACACTGCCAACATTGTGCAAATACGGTCTATATTTTGAAAACACGTTAGACCTCGCCGGCATGAACGGAATGCCATTGAAACGCACATGTAACGATTTTTGTACACTATTAAAAACAGTGCTAAATGAAAAATCTGTTCTTGTTAAACTCTTCCATGCAATCGATGATTTCCTAAAAGAAATCAGATGGCCCTTCATGACGACATTGCTCACCCTCTGGTCGCTGTCGCTCCTGTACCTGCTGCACATCGCCGTCGTCCGCCTCGACGTCCTGAGGATACGCTCCCACCTGAGATCACCCTCAAGCCACCGCATCGCCGCCCAGTCCCTCCTCGCCGCCGCACGCGTCAGGGCACTCGCCAACGTCAAGTACTTCTCACCATAATCGTGCCTTCACGTGTGATCTGTGTATCACCCACCCACTCAACCACTCACCCACTCACATACTCACTCACTCAACCAATCACCCACTCAACCACCCACCCACTCACTCACTCACATACTCAACCATCACCCACCTCACTCACTCACCACTCCATTCACTACCGCTCCATCCCGCCATCTCCACGCTCACTTCAACTCGCATCACTCATAACTCCTCCTCATCACTATCCCATGCTATCTCATCGCATCGACTCACGCTCGCACCATCTTGTCCACGATACTCATCTCATAACGACCACTCACCACCTCAATACGCTATATCATCGTACTCATATATCGCCCATCGCCCATCAATCGCTTAATCTCTCCACCCATCAGCATCATCGATAACATCATATCGATATCATCATCGGTATCGGTATGCATCAAATATCATTACCATTCCCATCATCGCCTATCATTATCTTACCGCGCTTATCCGCAACCATCAAGCATCTGCCGCGCATCATCATCCCCTCATACATCCCTTCATCTCATCGCTTACTCATCAAAATCAAATCTCACTTATCGCCGTATCGCCCTCATATATTTAATCATCATATATCTATTACTCACTAAACTCTCAACCATCTTTATCCCATCGACCATCGATATCATCGGCCTCGATGCCCCATCGATTGCATCACCTCCCACATCATATAATCATCAATCATCATTACCACCGCTCATTTAATCGCGCCCATTCGCCACCCATCAACCATTCATCAATCACTACATTTATCATCATCGCCACGACCATCGAACCCATCATCCATTCCCATCGCGCTCTTTTCAATCAATCGACCGCGCCGCTGATCATCCACACCATCGCCGCTCGCCACGCTCGCCTCACTTAATCACTCTATCGCCACTAAATCATCGCTTCATCCTCCTTCTTCCTTCCTCACCTCCTCAGACCCAAACCCTCATTTTCCACTTTTCCCCTCCACCTCCGAAACCGCCTTACGTCAACCCATCTTCCTCCTCCATCGCCCTCTCTCGCCCCTTCACCTCCCTCACCCTGTCCACCCACCTCCCTCTCTCCCTCACTGCCTCCTTGACCTAAAATCGCCTTTCCCCAAATTCCCCTAAATCGCCCTGAAAATGTGCCATTTCACCTCCTCTTACTTCTTTTAACTCTCCCTTAATCCACCTTCAATCCAGGTATAATGGCCATTATTCCGAAGTACATGGCTCTGACTCTAAAAGAAAGAGCGGTGAAAAGGATCTTTTTGAGCGCCGTATCTCTCTTGGTCTGCTTGCCGGACAGCTTTCGGGTTTAATTGGTGGTGGAGATGAAGTAAAAAAGGCTATTGTGAATGGTTTGCACAGTAATGTAAGTCAGCTTGAAAAGCTTTTGAATGCATCTTGCGGAGGTGAGGGGTGTGATGATGCTGTGAATTTCCGTGATGGAGATCTTAAAACTCTTCAAGAGCAGTTTAATGAAGTTGATAAAATTGCAACAGAAATTGATGGCCTTAATAAGCAAAAAGATGAAAAAAGGAAGGCGCCCGTAGGGGCGCCGTCCGGCGGTGGTCCTGAGATTGAGAAGCTTGAAAGGGAAATTCAGCAAAAAAATCAGGAACTTCAAAAGCAAAAAGAGAGCCGTGAAAGGCAAATTACACAGCTTAAAAGTGCTTTAAAAGAGCCTGAAAAGGAAATTGATGAATACATTAAGAACCTTACTGCACAAATTGCTGACATCAATAAGAAAATTGATGACATTAAACAAGCGGAAAGGAAGAAAAATAAGGATCTTAAAGATGCAGATATCTCCATTCCCTCCCATCTTTCCAATCCTCTTGAAACTGCGCAGGCTAAATTGCAGTCTCATGAGGCTTCGTTAACATCGCTTCAAAGTCTTGGAAAGCTTATGAAATTCAATGAGAGTGTTAAAACTTCTACAACCGGAGAATGTAAAAGCATTTTAAACAATCTGTGCTCTGGCTTGGAGAAGTTCCTTGGTTACCAAGAAACTTCCAAAGGCTACGACGGCTCCGGCATCGTGTACTCCGACCTTGACAGGCTCTGCGACGGGGTGATGTCTTTCCTTCATGGAGTTCTTGAGAGTGTTAAAGATGATGAGAGTGTGAAAACGTATGATAATAATCCACCAAATGATATTAACAATGTTCTTGACAGATTAAATGATAGTGTAGGTAAAGGCCGTCAGGCCTTCCCGTCTGCCGTGTCCAAGGTAAGTGGGTGGTTGGAAAAACATGGTGAGCAGGTGGACCAAAAAATCAAGAAAGTAACGACACCGATTACAAAGCTTTTAGAAGGCGGCAATGAAGATAATTTCAAGAACATTCCGCAGTTGATTAAAGACATTCAAGGGATGCAGAGTCAAGACTACGAGAGTGTTGTTAACAAGATTTCTCCAAATGAAGGTAAGTTACATAAGTGGCTTTCATCTGTTTCAGGTCTGCCGACGAAGACTCAAGAGGCACTTAACGCACTTGATAGCGTAGACAAAACACTTTTTAATAAGTTGCATCCTCACGTAAATTTACTGCATAATGCTGTAGACACTTTTGTAGCAAACTCCAGGATGGATCACCAGGATCTCATCGCGGTTTGCACGAAAGTCGATGGCGACCTTGAGGCGCTTGAAACAAATGTGAATGCAGTTGTTATAAGTTCTGTGGGTCAGCTTAAAACCACTGTGACTGCGGGTATAAATGAACTTGATAGGCAAGTTAAGAAAATTCTGGATGAGAAAGTTAAGACATTACAGGAGACTGTCAAGAAGTTGGAGACTATCAGGGGAAAGATTGAGACGGCGGTTGGGAGTATAAATGAGAGGTTCAAGGAAAATGGATCGAAAAATGGAGATGAGACTGTGCCGTGTTGCCAAAAAAAGGCGCAAGGGATTTATGACAAGGCTTCGACTGAAATTAATGGTGTGGACCAGCTTGGAGGTTTATGGCAGAAGATTGAGCAGGCGCTTACGGGACTGACTGAGAAGATTGCAAAAGGGGAAGGAAGTACGGCATTGCTAGATAAAACTGTCCAGGGTATTGAAGAGTATGCTCAAGATTATAAGAAATGTTTTGAAAGGGCGATCGATCCGATGGTTAAGGGCATTGTGGATAAGAACATTGCTATTAGGGGATATGTTACTGCATATGTTAGAAAGGTTGCCGCCAATCAGGTAAATATAAAATTTGATCACGTAAAAAACGCCATTGAAAAACATGTTTGTAAAATTGTTGAAAGTGTTAACGGTCAAGAACCCAACGCCGTCAAAAATGATATTGTGGCAACATTGACCAGCATCCAGACATATCTTACCAAAGTTACAGAGAAGCTTCATGAGACACAGGCAAAGCCACAATTAGAAAACTTTATGCAGGAAGTTGTGAGATCGGCGCAACTCTCTCCTCACTCCCCCGACAAACAACTGTTTCTCCAACTCGCCGTCAAAGCTGTCCTGGCCGCAACATCAACGGCAGCTGAAGAGTCAGGAAGGCAATTTGCGGAATTCGCTGTGAATTCCCAGATCGACAGATTTAGTGCGGCTATGAAGCTTGTTAAAGGCCTTAGTACGGATCTTAAGGCACAAGTTAATGCAACTATTGAGAGCATAAAATCGAACGTATCCAGTGATGTCATCACCCCCGCCAAGGCAATTCAGACTAAGCTTACGCTAATTATTGAGGCGGTTAAAGAGCATATTACTGAACTCAATAAGGCCGTTGCTCCCAAAAATAGCTTTGCAGTAAAACAAGACAACACAGGTGATACAATCATTGCCGGAGCCCAGAAACTGATTGAAAAGGATATAACTGGGATTAACAACGGCGTTGAAAGAGTGTTAGAAAAAGGACGCAAAACATTAACTGACACTATGAACTCATCCAGCGAGAATTGCCAAGAGGACATAAAATCCAGCGTGACGAACGAAACCAAAAGGTCAAAGACGCAAATCAAAAATGAGGCCCTTCAGAAATTTGCAAAAACAAAAGAGAAGGAGCTCGACGCCCTGAAGAAGATCGTCGCAACGCAAAGAGCTGAGGTCGAGAGAATAATAAAACACGACAGAGCAAACGGCCTAAAAGGGTTCTTGCTCAAGTTGAAGGGCGTAAGCGGCAAGGATCTCGAGTCTCTAAAAATCACGGATGCAATGTCATCAACCGGCGATAAAATGCGTATGCATTTCGCCAAATTATCCGGCGACTTCAGAACCTATTTATATCCTATTCTTGATTACGTTCGAGAGCAGGTGAAGACTCCGATACCGCCGTCATTTAGACGAGACAATGAGAACTCTGATAAGGTTGCCGCAATTCACGGCGATGTAAGAAAACTGCTGCGTCACCTGAGAGACAACGCAGAGAGGAAGCATAACATCGACCATAAATTTGCAGAGTTACTTGACACAGTCACTAGTTCACTTAACTCATTTACTTCTTCCAAGTTCGACGGCATTTTCAATGCCACATTATGTGATGTCCTGAAAGCTTCACTCAGCGCGTTTGGAAGACAGTTAGGAAATGCGTACGTTAATAGGTATTCCACTGCACTTCCGATCTCTGACTGGGACACTGTGGACGGCGACGGCCGCAAGGCCGCCAAAATCGTTGTTACCATTATGAAAATTTTAGCTGACGATTTGACAGATTTGCGACACGAATGCAAAAATGGTTGGAAGCATAACAAAATCAGTCTCGTTTCCACTCCTAACATCCATAATCCCCTCGGCGCATTCTTCAAGGGCTGCGGCTACAAGGTTTCCAAGTTGGAAGAGTCCTATGAAGGAGAGCTGAGATGTCATGACAAGATGAAGGGAGGACACATTTCTCGAGACCTTCTTGACATGGTAATTCCCGGTGCCGCAAAAGATTTGCATCTTCCAAAATGTAAACCGGATGAAGCAAAGACACAAATTAAAGCAACATCAGAATTTAATATATTCAACATTCTCGATTGTCTCACAACTCACGTCGGTGAGTATTACGAATCTTGCCACCTCGAACTCCCTAAATCCCAAAAGTATCCGTGTTCCGTTCGTGATATCTGTGTATGGCTTTCCGGCCTTCCTCACACTGCAGTTTATAAAACAATTGAGGGGCACTGTAATAAGATGCTCAATGAGCAAGACAAGGCAACCGGTGCATTCCCCAATAAGGCCGATGAAGTCATGAAGAGATCCTTGGAACACCTTAACGGTACCATTGAAAAAACATGTCACTTGGCACATAGATTACTAGTCTCCATCCAGGGCAACGGCAGTGGCGCTGACTACGCTGCGTACCCGTATGCGTGTTGCTTTGAGAACAACCACGGAGGGTTCCATTACCCGGGTGATCCGTCGTCGTTGCTTGACATGTTGAAATATATGTGTACTCGTTTGTTACGTGCACTGTGCTTCTTACATCAACAATGTAAGCACACCGCGTCTGACGGCAACGGGTGGCGTGAGTGTCAATATGGTTATCGCGTCGGCAGCTACCACTGGGACTGCGACAAGTCAGTCGATGACTCAAGCACACAACCAAAGATTCAAGCTAAGTGCCAACCAAATAGTGAACCAAATGACCAACCAAATTGCTTACCAAAGTCCCCGCTTCAGGCCCATCTTATGGACGGGCTTCCTGGTTTCATGCCGCATAAGTTCACATCAATTGGTTGCCAGCCCATGTGCTCAACGTGCCCTAAGGGCTCACTGGTTGGTCAATGTATCACCCCGATGGGCTTTGCAGATTTGGCAACTGCAGGCTCCATTACAGGCCGTGGCGATGACCTCGTTGATCTGCTTTCTACACTTTGTAGAAACGGCGCATCAGTTCTCTGTGATTTAGTGCACGCATTACAATGCATATCGCCCTCTCCACCGAGGGGCTTGGCAGAGATGTTCTCGTACTACTGTAACATAATGCAGAAATCATACGGTTCACTGTATGGTCATGACTCCGATTGCAAAGGTAAAATTGATGAAGCCATTCATCTAAGTTTCCCGTTCAAAAATGATATGTGGCTTCACAACAAATACAGTGCTTCCAAGCTTACAGATGCGCTGAAAGCATTGTATTGCTCCGATAACGAACATAACGGTGCCATAACCGACGATAATCATCGTGGTCTTCAAAGTTTGTCCCCAAATCCGACTACTGGTGCCGACCAATGCCAGCGTACTGACTCGATCACCTGCGCTCCCTACCTCAAAGCTCTGTGTCACGACGCCTGTCACACATATCCCGCAAAACATAAGGCCTTGTATCTGTCATGGCTTTGCCGGTTGGCATGGACATTCTGGGATTTGCTTGATCAGTTGCTCAAGGCGTTTAATGACATATCCTGTCAATCATATGGGTGTACATGTAAATGCGGTTTTGGTAAACACGGAGTAGTAGAGGAAGATACATCGCAAGCGCCAAAAGCTCCTAAGCCCAGTTGCCACTGCACATCGATCGTCGAGTGTAAAGGGCCTATGTCCGTATTCTACCAGTACGGATTCATATTCGGATTACCGAAGGAGTTGATGGGATCTCCAGGCAAGAAGACATGTGACAATTTTGTAAAGCAGTTAACAAGAATTCTAACGAAAGGATACTTCACAGAATTATTTGAAGAAATCGACGAATTCATCTGGGCAATACGCACACCCTTCTCCTACCTCTTATTAGCCCTCTGGTCGCTGTCGCTCCTGTACCTGCTGCACATCGCCGTCGTCCGCCTCGACGTCCTGCGGATACGCTCCCACCTGAGATCACCCTCAAGCCACCGCATCGCCGCGCAGTCCCTCCTCGCCGCCGCAAAAGTCAAGGCACTCGCCAACATCAAGTACTTCTCACCATAATCGTGCCGTCACGTGTGATCTGTGTATCACTCAACCACTCACCCACTCACCCACCCACTCACCCACTCAACCACTCACCCACTCACCCACTCACCCACTCAACCACCTAACCACTCACCCACTCAACCACTCAACCACATACTCACTCACCCACCCACCCACTCACTCACCCACTCAACCACTCAACCACTCACTCAACCACACACCTAATCACTCAACCACTCAACCACTCACCTACTCACCTCCCTCCTTCACTGGTCGCTTCGCTCCCTGCCTTCACCTTCCTCCATCACCTCCTCCGTCGGCGTCCTTCACCCAAATCCTCATTTTCCTCTTTCTCCCTCCACCTCCGAAATCCCCTTACCTCAACCCATCTTCCTCCTCCATCGCCCGCTTTCGCCCCTTCACCTCCCTCACTCCCTCGCTGCCTCCCTGACCTAAAATCGCCTTTCTCCAAACTCCCCCAAATCGCCCTGAAAATGTGCCTAAAATATTCCTTCAACAACATTATTAAATAACCTCTGCACAGGCCTCGAAAAATTTCTCGGCCACAGTAATGGTAATTACACCGGCTCCGGCATCGTGTACTCGGACCTTGACAGGCTCTGCGACGGGGTGATGTCTTTCCTTCATGGAGTTTTAGATAACATTCAGCCTAAATTAGGCCAGCATAATGATAAGATGACAACAGCAATTAAAGCTCTTAAGGACAATAAACACTCTGGCAAAGATGGTTTTAATGCTGCGATTAGCAAGGTGGTCCAGGGGGTGAGGGAGTATAATGAGGGTGTTGTAAACTCTAATAATGCTGTGAAGGAGCCCATTGAAACATTGATGCAGAAGATGAAGATTCTCAATGAACAGGTAAGTAACTTAAATACAATTAATGTTGCTGCAGGTGGAATTGACGCGGCCGTTAAGGCCGTGAACCAGCAGGTGGAGGAGTGTATACAGAAAAATACAGGCTATGCCTATGACTTTATCAAAAACGTTTCACATGCCAAGAAACACGTAGATGATTTATCAGATCACTTAAAACAAAAAGTTAATAATGTGAAAGATATTCTTGTCGATGAGCGTAAGAGACTCTATGAAATTCATAAGACGCAGAAAGATGACTTGACGGCAGTGACTGATAAGGTCTCTAGTACTTTAGATAATGCTAGAAAGCAAATTAATAAGCGTATCCGTGATGATATTACTGCGCTCATCGGACAGTTGCAGAAATTGGTTCAGAGCATTAGAAGCAAGTTGGAAGAAATTAATAACCTGTTGAAGCAGTATGAATCCCAGTTGCAGGAATGGATCAATGAAGCGGACAAAATCGTTAAAAAAGCCTCTGAGGACACACAATCAATTGTGGATAAAAAGCCCGGAGAAGATGAGAAGAAGAGGCTTAAAGAGATTGCGACGGCGATAAAGCAGTGGGGAGAGGATACGCTTTGGAATTATATTGATGGCGTGAAGAAGAGCCTCGGGAGTTTGGCGCAGGAAGCGACCAGGCGACTTAAAGAGCTGGACAACGCTTATAAGAATAAATTGTGGGAGATTAAAACGGCGGTGGAGGGAGTGCCGAAGGCGGTTCAGGCGCTTGGGGGGACGTTTGATTCCAGCGTACGAGACGGCGAAACTAAAAATGTTGTGGATATTATGAACAAGATTAAAGATGGCGTTGATAAGATTAAGGGACAGGGAGGAACAGATAAAGGGCTTGAAGCGTTTGTGGGTCACGTGACAAAAACGTATGCCGCAAATTTCAAAAATATGCAGTTTAGTGGAGTAGTGCAGCGGTGGATAAAAGAAATTTTGAATGATAATGAAGCAGTTAAAGTGTGTCTTAATGAATATTTCGACCTTAATCAGGGTAATTTGAATAAGGAATATAAAACGGGCAATGTTGTAAATTATGACAATCTGAACAAAAAAATCGCAAGTCATATTACGAAGCAGCTTAACACAGGTGTCATTGACCAAGTCCACATTCAGTTTGACAACGAGAGCGTTCACGAAAATGTTAAAAGAGTCATAACAGGCATAGAACTATTTGCCAATAAGCTGAATGATAAAATGGAACATGAGACCATAGAGCAAGTCGCTCAAAGTATATCAAAGGTTATTAAAAAAAATGGAAATCAAGATGACTACGTGTTCGAGACTCCCCCTACGCATGACACGTATGAACTTACACTCGCCGTTCAACGCATCCTAATTGCTCTCATCTCCGCCGCCAAACAATTTGCCGAAGAACTAAAGGCATTCACGGGCTTAAAAAACGGGGATATCACAGCCGAAAACTCCGAGATAAAGAAGGTATATGATGCGTTGAAGGCGGCCAAAACACTTCGCGAAGAGATTTACAATGCGCTAGGCCTACAAGCCGGTGGCGGCGGCTCAGGTGGCGTGAAGCCTAATCTCGCCCAAGCCGTCGACACCGCGATCAAGTCCGTAGAGACGCAGGTTGAACATATCACCGGCCCTGAAGACGCTGTAACTCTAGGATCCAACTCCATCAGCACCAAACGCAACGAAGCCTACAACCCCCTCAACACAGCCATCCAGGGCGTTGAATCTTATTCCGGCGATGCCCTAAGCGTCGATAAAACTAAGGAAGAGTTAACAAAATGGTCAAAGGCTATTACGGGGAATGCCGAGTACCTCATGGATAAAGTCTCACATCGCGGCCAGCAGATAAAAAAAGAATTGGACAAGCTGAAAAACAAAATCGGCAAAACCGACGGGGACGAAAATGCCCAGTTAAATACGCTGCAAAGAATTCACGCGGAACTCGGCAAGCTCATAAAAGGTGAAGTGGCGGACGCCATAAAAATGGCCACGGAGTTCGAAACTCAAGCCTCCGAAGCAAGCCGAAAAACCATCGAGGCACTCGAACAACACGTCAGGGATACACTTGACGCCGCCAAATCCACCATCACCACCGACGTCAAATCCCGCTACGTCAAATTCATCAAGTCACTGCTCACAAGGTTCGCCGAGAAAGTCGAGAAGGAAATCGGAACGCTCCCAAAAGACATAACAAAAGATGCCGACAAGGGCTTTAAAGGCTTCATGGGAGTGCTCGAGCAGAAATTGACGGACAGTCAATTGCCTACAAATTTGGATGGCAACGCAAAATTAGAGACACTGTCCAGCAGGGCAAAAACATTCTTCACGGACCTCCCCAAAACTCTGATGAAGAGGTCTAACATCATGCCTCCGGACAAACTCTCCTTACTTTCCAGAACACTTAACACTGTTTTCACTGACCTCACCAAATACAACACTAAATTCGTTAATGACTTATCCGCACTTAATACGTTACTCACTGAAATGCATCCCCAATCGTACGCCAACCAGAACAACCCGCTGCTGCAGTTCCTCAAAGGAGGCATAACAGATATGCACGGGGAGCTAGATAAGGCGTATGTATCAGTGTACGATAGTGAGATTATCACAATATATAACGACATAACTAAGAGCATAACCTCTGATGGTACAAAGTGCGCGAAAATTGTGCTCACCATTGTGCCCACCGTATATCACACCTTAACACAGCTCAGAAGAGAGCTTCATGAATCAGACGGCAAATGGAACTCTTATAACATATATGATTCCAAAGAGTCCCACCATAGCTTACATAGACTATTCTTTAATGATAATGGTTACGATACCGGCCTTGCCGGTAAAGTGGAGCACGGCGAACTGAATCACAAGTCTGGGTTCACGGGTCAGAATATTCTTACCAAACTCGACGACACAACTCATAATTTGTTTGTGACTAATAAACAGTCACTTAAAGCATCTGCCATCGCTCCTACATCCGATGACATACCCTTCGAATACACGGGCGAGAACGGTGTCATCCCAAGCCTATATGATTACCTTAAGAAATACTTCAATGTATGCCATTATACGCATATTAAATCACCCAGGATACCGTGCTCCGTTTATGAAATGTTACTTTGGGTTTGCGGTTTACAGTTCAGTCCCGTATTCAAACCACTTTTAGATCACGTTAACGAATTATTCATGGTGCCCATTGATGGAGACCCATCGAAAAAAACCCTTAAGCCTATCGATGCCTCACCGTCCACCATTAGCGCCAGCGACATTTGTACAACTATTGAAGAGATATGTTTTAAATCCTACCCTGTCCTCACTACTATTGCGGGCCACGGAGACGCCTATACGACATACGCCTGTGAGTTCTCTACTAACTCCCTCAAATTCAAATATCCCACAAGAGGTGAGGAATGCTTTCAACTCTTGCTCGATATCCTCCGTAAACTATTCCCTCCACTTAGATTTTTGTTTGGTCAATGTAGTAACCCGGCGTCTGAGCATGGTTGGTTGAAGTGCCAGTACGGCAGGGACATTACTACAGTCAATCAGCCCTGCAAAGCGCATTCAACCGACAAGGCAAATGGACAGTCAACGTCTAAACCTATGTGCCAACCAAATGGTCATCCAAATGACCAACCAACGTGCCAACCTAGATCACCACTTATGAGCTACCTAAATGATACCTTACCCGGTCACTTGCCGCACCAACTCAACTCGGTTGGCTGCAAGTCTGTATGTAAATCGTGCCCTGGTAGTACACCCGGAATGCCTTGCTTGACACCTCTGGGATTCAGGGAATTTTCTGGCAGTATTAAAACGGGTAAAGACATATGCGACATACTTGGTGACTTGTTTGAAACTAACAATATATCTGCCGTGTTCTGCCTATCGCCTAAGCCACCGTCTACATTGCCAGAGCATTTTGGTTTTGCGTTGTATTTAGTTAAGGGCTGGCTTCATAGTTCCCAATCTAAGAAAGCCACCATGAACAAATTCACCCTTCAAGCGTCATTTGAGTCATCTATCACTAACACATCCATCAAGCTGTTCGAAAATGCGGATCGCTTTACAAATGCCCTTGCCAACGCATATGGATCTGACTCTGTAAGGCATTCCGAATGCCAACATCCTCATTTGATGAATCTCACAATTACTGACTTCTGCAACAGCAACATAAAAGGATAGAATGCGCTCCCTACCTTTCGAGTCTTTATAGTGATGCCTATCACCACCTTGCCAACAAACATTCTAACACCTATTTATCATGGGCGGTTTACTTGCCATGGGATTTCTGGAGGTATCTTCTGTCTTTATATGATGCCTTCAGAAATATTTTCTGCAGGGAATGGGGATGTCGTCGCTGTCTACATCACGGAGCCTGTACACCAGGGAGTCATGGAAGTTTCGAGACTCCTTGTCACTGCAAATCACTTGTGACATGTAAAGGTGTGACGCCAACACTGTATAAATGTGGGTTCATGTTTGGCGATGCCATTGCAATCAATGCACTGAATACACGAAGGACGTGCGCCACCTTTGCAAAACATTTGAAGAGCGTTATACAATCGCATTATTTCAAAACTCTATTTGAAATCATTGACAACTTCATGTTCACAATTCGCGCACCTTTCATATGGACCTTGCTAGCCCTCTGGTCGCTCTCGCTCCTGTACCTGCTGCACATCGCCGTCGTCCGCCTCGACGTCCTGAGGATACGCTCCCACCTGAGATCACCCTCAAGCCACCGCATCGCCGCGCAGTCACTGCTCGCCGCCGCACGCGTCAAGGCACTCGCCAACGTCAAGTACTTCTCACCATAATCGTGCCTTCACGTGTGATCTGTGTATCAACCACTCACATACTCAACCACCCACCCACTCACCCACTCACCCACTCACCTAATCACCCACTCAACCACTCACATACTCAACCACCCACCCACTCACCCACTCACCTACTCACATACTCACCTAATCACCCACTCACCCACTCAACCACTCAACCACCCACTCAACCACTCACTCACCTAGCCACTCAACCACTCAACCACCCACTCACCTACTCACCTCCCTCCTTCACTGGTCGCTTCGCTCCCTGCCTTCACCTTCCTCCATCACCTCCTCCGTCGGCGTCCTTCACCCAAATCCTCATTTTTCGCCTTTCCCCTACACCTCCGAAATCGCCCTCTTTCGCCCCTTCGCTTCCCTCACCCTGTCCACCCACCTCCCTCACCTGTCCACCCACCTCCCTCACTCCCTCACTGCCTCCTTGACCTAAAATCGCCTTTCCCCAAATTCCCCCAAATCGCCCTGCAAATGGGCCTAAAATAATCCCCCTTTACTCCTCTTATCTCTCCCTTAATTCACCTTCAATCCAAATACAATGGCCATTACTCCGAAGTACATGGCTCTGAGTCTAAGAGAAAGAGTGCTTTGAATGACATTGATTCCCGCCGTATCTCCCTTGGTCAGCTTGCTGGACAGCTTTCGGGATTTATTGGCAAAAGTGAGGAAGTTAAAAAGGCGATTGTGAATGGTTTGCACAGCAATGTGAATCAGCTTAATAGGCTTTTGAAAACATCTTGCGAAGATAAGGGGTGTTGTAATGATGCTGAAAAAAGTAAGCTTAATAACATTAATGAGAAGCTTAAAAATCACCTTAATGAGGAACCAAAAACCTCTGAAAATCTTACTGACATCCTTTCTGAGTGCAATTTAATGGATCCTGTTGGTCCCTTAAATCAGCTTAAAACGTCAATTCCTCAAAAAATTAATGACCTTACTAGGCAAATTGAAGAGCTTAAAAATCAACAAAAGAATGATGTTAATAAAAGTAAAAATGCCTCTGAAATTGACAAGCTTAATAAGGATCTGCAGTCTCATAATGCTTCCTTGGGGTCTCTTGATACACTGAAAGCGCTTTGTGGATATGCTAATAAAGTTAATTCATCACCAAGTGGAGAATGTGAAAAGCTTTTAACAAATTTGTGTTCAGGTCTCCAAACATTTTTGGGGTACAATGAAAAATCCAAAGGCTACGACGGCTCCGGCATCGTGTACTCAGACCTTGACAGGCTCTGCGACGGGGTGATGTCTTTCCTTCATGGAGTTCTTGAGAGTGTGAAGGATGATGAGAGCGTTACAACTTATGATAATAATAATGATATTAACAATGTTCTTCGTGATTTACATGATAATGTAGGCAAAGGCCGTAAGGCCTTCGGGAACGCCGTGGATCAGGTAAGTGAGTGGTTGAAAAATCATGGTGCGCAGGTGGACCATAAAACTACGGATGTCTTCATGGAATTTAGTAAGTTTGGTCACACTAGCATCGTAGAGAAAATTAATTACATTGCAGGTGCTCAAGGCATGAAGCTCCAAGACCAGTTGACCTCCTGGAGGTCAACGCTCACTGGACTAGCAGCACAATTAGATTCACTCATAACTAATAACGTTAATGTCTTAGATCCTGTGTTGCGTGACAAATTGATGCATAAGATAGAGCCTGTGAAAAGCGCCGTGCAGGTGCTGAGGGAGAGCGCTGGGAAGGGGGAGTTGGGGAAGCAGGTGTGGACTATGGATGCGGCGTTGGATGCGCAATTTTTAAAAACATATAATGTATTGTATGAACTAGAGACGGTTAAAAAGTCACATTTTTCAGGAATAAAGAGGACTGTGGATGGTTGGAAGAAATTTCTGGAAAATCAGTATGACTTGGCGTACAAAAATGAGGTTGTTGGCAGATTTGACGACATAAAACATATGACAAAGCAACTAGATAATACCAATGTAGAAGTTGGAGCTGGCGGCGGAAACTCAAAGTTTTGGAAGGATGTTGATGAACTAAAGCTTAAGGTTGTGGAGATTGGTGAGCAGCTGCAGTTAAGAACCAGTGAAGTTGGGAGTTGGAAAGGTGCCGCCAAGGAAGTTATAAGTGAAGCCAAACATAAGTGTGATGAGATCATTGCCAAACTTGATGATAAGGAAAAGCATAAAATCACAGACCCAGCCAACGAGTTGAGAGCGAAGGCAGAAGAGCTTTTGACTAAATCAGTCGAAGCCAAAACGCAGGTCACCTCAGCTGTAGAGAAAGCTTTAAAGACATTGCAGAGTCTAGATGAAAAGGTGACGCAAGGGTTGGAGAATTTTAAAGCCCGCATAACTCCTACAATTAGTGGTTGTCTAACAGGTTTGACAGGGGTCAAGTTCTCTGGTGGCGAGGCCACAAACTTTGGTAGTCTGAAAAAGACAGGTCCAGTCGGCCAGTGGCTTAAGGAGATCATAAAGGAAAGGGGTCTGCATACATATGTCCAAAATGTTATTCATGGAAACGACGCATCTGATATTATGGAAATAATTTTCAATATTCTCAAAGTACCGAAACCAAACGGTAAAACCCGCCTAAACTTTTTTAAAGCGCTAGAAACTGAATTTGACGGAGAAATCGGACAAATCATTAGCGATAACACTAACGATCCCATGCAATCTCTACGTGCTGAATTAAATGGCGATGGCCTTCGTAAGGCGGTGAATGATATTACGTTAAACCTTAAATCGATTGCGGACAAGGGAGATCAACCCATTTTAACAAGTGGAATTGACAGTTATTTCGACAGTGTCCAACGATGTCTTAGTGAACTCAGTGGTACTGTGAATGACTTAATTGAGAATAATGGAAAGATCAGCCCGAACAAAAAGGGGCTTCGACCGCTGTTACAGGAGCTCGAAGGCGGGCTTGATACAAACACCTTCCGCACTGCTAGCAAGCATCTCCAAGAAATTGAGCATGCACTCGGCGAACTAAAAACTAACAATGTCACGGAAGCCACCGCCCGCCTTCAGGCCGTTCTTGCTAAAATAAAACAGCTTGAGAATGTGCCGCGTGAAATTGCCCAGAAGAAGGGCGAGGCTACAAACCTCATGGAGCAGTTGAAGGAAAGCATGCAAGACCATTTTAAAACCATTAATGACGCCGTGCAATACGCTGACACATACATAAGCACGGCCATAAATGCTGTCAAAACTGTCGTAAAAGCAGCCGAAAAAGAACTCACCACCCAAATCCGCTCCCTCTTCGCCGAGCAGCACATCGCGGACCTGCAGGCGCTGCATACGCTGGTCGAGCAAAAACTGGCGGAGGTGAGAGAGATTATTAAAGTGGACAAACAAATTGGTGTTAAAGGTTTGCTAGGGAAAATTAACGGTAATAAAGCGACGCTTGAAGAAATTAAAAATAATGTTGATCCGTCAAAAATCAAAACACCGGAAGCCATTAAAAAATTCCCAGTTGTCGCCTCCGATCTCAAGGATTTCCAAGACTCTCTCCTACAATATATTCAGAATCAAGTAGGCATTCCAAGTTCAGATATATCCAGGCCGCCAGCACCAACCAAGGAGTCTCAATTGGTACGGAGTGTTAACGTTAGACTGGACACTCTACTCGACTACCTTAAAAACCATAATGATATTACAAATCCTAAAACATCTATTACCAAAAAACGTATTTACATTTTTGACCACAAATTCTCCACATTACTCTCCTCCCTTTCCTCCTCCATCCACTCCCTCTCCCCCTCCACGTTCCACGGCTTCCACAACCCCCTGCTCCTCGACGCCCTCAAGTCCGGGATGGCCAACTTCACCAAGGAACTCTCCCACGCGTACGTGAATAAGTACAGTGGTTGCAAGCCTAAAGATGATTGGGTGACTAAAGACAAGACAGCCGACCAAAAAGATGTCCTCTCCACTGAGGGCCGCAACTGCGCCAAGGTCTGCCTGACCATATTGGAGAGGGTGAGTTATGATTTAGCTCAGTTGAGAAGTAGGTGTAACGATAATAAGCAGTATAAAAATAAGCAACTCTATCTATATCAGCAGGAGCAGAAACAAACAAAAACCGAGAATCCACTTGGCCAGTGGCTGAAGAAACGTGGTTACCGGGTGCCGGAAGATGACAAGAAGCAGAACGGGGAGTTGAAGTATGATGCGAACTTTAAAGGAGAGAATATTTATGGTCTCCTCGTCAATAATGATGATAATCATGTATACAAGGCAGATATTGCTGATAATGATCACGGTCCACTAAGGACACTCCGTCGCCACCTTGAGAGATACTACAAAGTTTCTCACCACTACATCTCTGCGAAGCCAAAGGCGCCGACAAGTGTCAACCAGATGCTCCAGTGGCTTACGGGACTGCAGTATAATCATATATATGATCCACTGTGCAAGTACATGAAGCAATTGTTCCCTAAACCTAAGGGAGATGAGAGAGACAATGCCGTCATATCCAGCGACCAACTGAAACTAGAATACCATCAGTACGCAACAATCACACATAAGCAGCTAACAGACACCCTTGAGACTCTGTGTCGTCAGTCCGAGAAAATGCTAATTACCTTCCTTGGTCACGGCCATGCCGACGGCATCTACGCCGTTGAGTTCTCGAACAATTCACTAAATTTGTTGTATCCCGGTAGCCCTGCTACCTGCTTAGATATGCTTATAGATTTATTGAATAGAGTGTTTTATCAACTGAATTTCATTTACAAGATGTGTCATAACGGCCGTAGTAGGGGCGGTTGGGAGGAATGCCACTACGGCAGACACGTAGGTGGGTCAAATTGGAACTGCAATGAGAAGCAGTGTCCCAACCAAAACGCTGACCAAAAAGGCGACCAAACGTGTACCCAAAAGCACGCCCAAAACTGTGACCAACGTGTAAGTTGTGGCCTCAAGTCGCCGTTACAGTCGTTCCTGGAAGACGGGCTTCCCGGTTTCCTTCCTCACCAATTCAAGAAGCCTGGTTGCAAGCTGGAATGCACTGTGCCCAATCACCAAGGCATTCCATGTCTCACCCCAATGGGCTTTACAGATATATCCCAAGTGGCGTCCCATACGAAAACCGGCAAACACCTTTTTGGCGCACTTTATTATTTTTGCGGCACCACGAATGCTCTCACTAAGCTGTGTGGTATCCTCAACTGTTTACTGCGAACACCGCCCAAATCATTAGGTGACATGCTAGCTTTCTACCATAAATTCCTTGAGAATTATTCGGGACAAAATCATAAGCAAATCGCATTTGACGAGGCAGCCCGAAAGGCCAACTTCGGGAATCCAGATACTAAATTGGACATTGTGTCTATACAAGGCAGCAAGTCGCACACTGCTAAACATTCCCAAGGTGACTTATTTGGTATAATTAGCTGCAACACTTCCGGGTCCTCCAAAAATCCAGTGGTCCCCTGTGGATCGTATATGCAGCCCCTTACATTAGATGTAGTCTCCATGTTTTCCGAAACGCGCGCTGCCAACTATCTTTCGTGGATTGTATATATAACAGAGACATTCTGTGTTCTGCTCATGAAATTGCTTGATGAGTGCTGCAATAACTGCAACAAACCAGGCACCAAATGCCATGATAAAGCCTGTGCGGAGAAATGTGAAGTGAAATTGGCGTATGAAGCTGAACAATCGAAAAATGCTCCAACCTCGCCCGCAGAACTTACAGGTAAAAGGCACAGTACAGACTGCCATTCCATTGTCAAATGTCAACTTACACATCCAACACTGTACAAATACGGTTTCACATTTGAAAGCCCATATGACCTCAGTGGTGAATATGGGCAACAAACGAGGCGCACATGTATAGATCTGTGCCATGCGCTAGAAAAATTAGTTGGTCAAAATTGCGTTCTTGTTGAGCTAATCCACAAAATTGATGACTTTGTCTGCACAATCAGACATCCCTTTATGTGTACTTTATTAGCCCTCTGGTCCCTCTCTTCGCTCTACCTGCTGCACATCGCCGTCGTCCGCCTCGACGTCCTGAGGATACGCTCCCACCTGAAATCGCCCTCAAGCCACCGCATCGCCGCACAGTCCCTCCTCGCCGCCTCACGCGTCAAGGCACTCGCCAACGTCAAGTACTTCTCACCATAATCGTGCCTACTCACCCACCTAATCACTCACTCACCCACCCAACCACTCACATACTCACTCACTCACTCACTCACCCACCCACCCACTAACTCACCCACTCAACCACTCAACCACTCAACCACCCACTCACCCACCCAACCACTCACTCAACCACTCAACCACCCACTCACCCACCCACCAACTCACATACTCACTCACCCACTCACCTCCCTCCTTCACTGGTCGCTTCGCTCCCTCCTCCACCCCCTCCATCACCTCCTCCGTCGGCGTCCTTCACCTACTCACTCATTTTCCACCTTTCCCCTCCACCCCTTAAATCCCCTCACCTCCACCTATCTTCCTCCTTCATCGCCCTCTCTCGCCCCTCCACCTCCCTCGCCCTGTCCACCCGCCTCCCTCGCTGCCTCTCTGCCTCCTTGACCTAATTTGACCTTTCTCCAAATTCCCCCAAACCGCCCTGAAAATGTGCCATTTCATCCCCTTTTTACTTCTTTTAACTCTCCCTTAATCCACCTTTAATCCCAGTATAATGACCATTATAATGACGTTCATTACCTTACTGAGGATGCCAGGGGAAAAGCCTTGGATGATATTAAGGAGAGGCAGAGTAATCTTGAAGATCTTACAAAAAAACTTCGGGCTCTTATTGGAGAAAAAGATTCTCCAAATGCTGAACAATGTAAAAAACTCTTAGAAAATCTCATTGATGGTTTAGAGAATTTTCTTGGTTACAATAAAGACTCCAAAGGCTACACCGGCTCCGGCATCGTGTACTCGGACCTTGACAGGCTCTGCGACGGGGTGATGTCTTTCCTTCATGGTGTTTTACATAACATTAAGCCTAAATTAGGCTTACATAAAAATAATATTCAAAGTGCAATTGACTCTCTTAACGCCAATAAACACTCCGGCAAAGATGGTTTTAATGCTGCGATTGTCAAGGTGGTGGAGGGGGTGAGGCAGTATAATGAGGGTGTGAAGAATTCCAATCAGCAAGTTAAAAATGTTGTAACTACACTTCAAGAATACACGAAGAAACGAGAACAAGGAGGTATGTTACTTAATGACATTAATGATATTCAGGTTGACGAGAATTCTTCATATCATCAAGCGGAAGCTGCCAAGAAGAAAGTGGACGCCAGGCTGGATGAATGCGGACGAAAGGCTGCGGCCTTTTGTAATCACCTAGCCACTAAGCACAACACATTTAAAAATAGAGACACAATTAAAGAATTTAATGATAAGTTGCGTGATAGAGTGTTACATGTCCGTGGCACAATAGAGTATGAGAAGGAGCGCCTTCAAAAGGTGCATAAGCAGCGGGAGGAGGAGTTGAAGGCGACGACGGAGAAGATTAAAAAAGTGTTGGAAGAGCGTGAGATTCAGGTCAATGAGCACATTTGTAGAGAAGTAACTGCGGTTGTGGAGGACTTGAAAAATAAGGTGGAGCGCAACGTATTGCCAAAACTGCAGGAGGTTAACAGAGATCTGCCTAAGCATGTGGAGAGCCTGCAGCAGTGGATTGAGACGGCTGATGGGACTCTAGGACAGGCTGAAGAGAGGGTGAAAACAATATTGGAGCAAGTTGATGAGGGTCTGACGAGTAACAAGATTCCGATTGACGAAGCAGTAAAGAAGCTGGAGGAGACAAAAACTGCTCTCGTCAATTATATTAGCGGTGAGAGCAGTGGGCTCAAGGAGATGGTAAATCAAGTTAAAGAGACGATTGGGAGCCTTTATAATAATGTCACCGGCGGAAGTGGACCAGTGCAGGAGGAAAATAAGAGCATCGAGAAGATTGTGGATTATATTAAAAAGAAGGTGGAGAGTATTAAGGGGAAGGTGGGTGAGAAGAAGGAGAAAGGACAACCCTTAAAAGATAATAAAAGTATTTATCAGAATTGGTGTGAAGTGAAAGATAAGGTTACGGATTTCGTTAAGATGATTAAGGGGGATGGAGATATTGGTTTAGTTTCAAGTCATCAAGGCATAAAGCAGATAAAGGAGGGCGTGAAAACGTACGCAGAGGGGTTCGTCACCAAAGAAAAGTTTGTGAGTACACTTGAGCAGTGGGTGAAAGCTATTTTAGAGAACGATGATGCAGTAAAGAAGGAGATGAAGGCCTATGTTACAGGAAATAAGGTTCTTAAAGTCGAGTTTTCAAACGTTTATATAGATGACCACCCCAAGAATGAATTTAATATGAAGGGCATGAAACTAATCTCAGAGAAAATTAAGGAAGGAATCACAACCGGTAGATATCTTATAGCGTTCCCCGATTTCACTTTCGACGAAAATAGAAATATTGACGAGAACGTGAATGAAGTCAAGCGTGTTTGCGAAGATTTTGCCAAGAATCTTGAGGATAAGATTTTAACTGCGGGAGTTGCTACTGTTGCCAGGGAGATAGCCGGAAAGATTGAGGAGCAGTTGACGACTAACACTGCTGTAGATCCAGACAGGAAGCATCTTACTTATGCCGTCTCCTACGTCCTCTACCAAGTGGTTGGTAGAGCCAGACAGGTTGGCAACGAAATCCAGCGACTAGCCGAAACGGCCAAACTGCACGCCAACCTCACGCAGATAGATTCCAACGCCGGCAACATCAACAAGCAATTCACAACCGACCATCCCGGCGCAAAAATCGACACGGCGCTGGAGCAGGTGCATGGAGAAATCAAGACGCTGCACGGGAATCTTGAACAGGCGCTGTCCCCCGGCTCATCCGGCGATCCTAGTAACGCCAAAGCCGTGGACACAGCGATCGAAAATGCCAAACTGTCAGCAAGCCAACTAAACGTCGATCCAATGAAAGACGCCTTCACTAAATGGACTCAAGAAATTAAATCAAACTTCTCGGTTCTCACCAGGGCAATATCCGAGGCCGGCGGCACGTTACTCGTGCAATTACGAAGCTTTAAGAATGATAAGATCGGAATGAAGAGTGTCATAAAAAGTAGTCTGCAGGATCTTCAGCAGCAACTAAAGGCTCTGACATTCCCAGTCGCTGAAGCCGTCAAGCGTGCCGAATACTTCATAACCGGCGCTGAACCGACCACAAAGGCCACAATCACGGCGCTGCAACGAGACGTCAAAAAGGAGTTAGAAACCGCGCGGGAAGCTCTTACAACCCATGCGACGAGACAGTACGTTAACGCCTTAAAAACGCTGCTCACCGAGTTCGCCGAAAAGGCAACGAAGGAGTTGGACAAATTGCCTCAAGAAATAGAAGAAGACTTGGAACAGGGCCACAAGAAGTTTATGAAATTATTTGAAAAGCATTTTATCACAAACGATAAATCCATCAGATCTATCGAAGACATTCAGGACAAACACTCCGCAGGACAAAAATCTCCAATCGTTCAAGCAAGTGCAAACTTAAACATGTCATTCAGATACTTCCTTCGTGATTTGAAAACTCAACCGGACTTCAAACCTGACGCCGGTAAAATTGATCCACTGTACACCTCTCTGACCAAATTGATGGGAGGCCTTACGTCATCTGAGCATTTTAATCATGACTTTACAAATAATTTGAGCGCATTCAAAGATACGCTAAGTGCTTTCAAACCCACTAAATTTGGTGACGGCAAAAATACTTCTATTCTGAATGCCCTCAAGGAGGGCTTTTCCTCTCTGCTCGCCGAACTCCAGAAAGCGTACGTCTCGACATACTCCCAGCAGCAGATTAAGTGGGATAACATCGCGCAGGAGGAAAAAGAAAAGTACGCGAAAATCTCTTTGACCGTCATGCCAATATTATACCAAGCATTGGGTGAGCTCAAAGAAGGCCTTGAAAATGGTTGGAAAAATCACAAAATATATGACGCCCGAAATGCCGACAATAGCCTACATAAATTGTTCTTCGGCGAAAATGGGTATGATGTTGGCCGCCAGGCTGAAAGCCTGCATGGCGAACTGAATCACAGAAACAACTTTAATGGTAATAATATTCTTAAACATCTTAATAAGGACACTTATAGGTTGTTTCATACTGCCACACAGTCACTGCCTTCGTTGCCTCTCGAATCCGGTCCTGATGTCATATCCGTTGCAAACGTAGAAGAAGATGGTCTCGTCCGACAACTGTTTGATTACCTTAATGAATACCTTAAGGCATGCCATCGCACTATTATCGAAAAGCCCCGTATGCCGTGTAGTATATACGAGCAATTAGCTTGGCTGTCTGGTCTTCAATTCAATTCCGTGTTTGATCCACTCTGCTCCTACTTCAAGCAACTGTTCCAGAAACCGAAGGACCAAAAAGATGTGCCATATGACCAAATTGAAGATAAGTCACTTAGCTTAGTTGGCACTAAGACAATACATCCTAGCCACTTGGCCACTGCACTTCATGATGTATGCCGCCAATCCTATCCCGTGCTCACTTCCATACTGGGTAACGGTCACGCCGACGGTGTATATGCAGTCGATCTCTGTAATAACTCCTTTAATTTAACATACCCCTCTGCTCCTTCACAATGCTTCGACATGCTAGCAGCACTATTGTTCAGAGTGTATGACGAACTATATTTCCTGCTTCAACAATGTAGCTACACCACCAAGCTCAGCGGCTGGCGCGACTGTTGGTACGGTAGGCACGTTGGTGGGTCAGATTGGAAGTGCAACACTATACAGTGTCCTGGCCAAGCGGGTGACCAAAAGGCTGACCAAATGCATGAGCAAAGGTGTAACCAAAAGTGTGAACAAAACCCTAAGTGCGAACTAAAATCGCCACTCCAGTCGTTTTTGGAGGATGGCCTCCCTGGCTTCCTGCCTCACTCAATTAAAAAAGTAGGTTGTGGAGCAACGTGTTCATTGCCCAGCCACTCGAGCATCCGGTGTAGGACGCCAATGGGTTTTAAGAATATCTCTGTTACAGCATCGCATACCCAGAAGGGTGAATATATCTACGACGTACTCGGTGGCTTCTGCGGCTACTCAGACAAGCCGCTTAGCAAACTCTGTAGTTACATTTCATGCGTTATGCATCGTCCGCCTCAGAATCTGGGCGATATGTTTGGTTTCTTCTATAGATTACTAGATGGGTGGGGGAAACAGGGTAGAGACCATAAGAGTGACGCTTTCCAAGATGCCGTCAACGGGGCATATTTTGGAGAAGTGTATTCGGACCTTGACGTCTATTCAATATTCGTTAACGACATGTCAAATTCACATAACAAAGGCAGCTTGGCGTGTCTCGTTAGTTGCGATAATGCATACACTCCCGCTCACCGCTGCGGTTCGTATCTCAAACCGCTTTGCCTCGACACCTGTGGTATATTCTCTTCATCGCATAAGAACTTCTATTTGTCTTGGATCGTCTACCTTACTGAGACGTTTTATAGATTCCTCAGAGATTTGTATGAGGAATGTTGCAACAACTGTGGCAAAAAGGGCACAATTTGCCATGACAAACGCTGCGTCAAAGAATGTAAAAGAAAGTCCGCATCTTCGTCATCCACATCAGAACATGAACCCGAGTGCAAGTCCATCGTGGAGTGCTCCTCCATGCTGCCAACGTTGAACAAATATGGGTTCCATTTCGGAAGCACAAAATGGGTTGGCGGCAAAGACAGTCACAGAGTAAAGAGGATGTGCAATGATTTCTGCAGCGTCTTAGAAAATGTAATTTCAGAGACATCCGCTCTCGCCAAGTTAGTTCACGAGACCATCCCCAATTTCTTATGGGCAATACGTACACCCTTCACATACCTCTTATTAGCCCTCTGGTCGCTGTCGCTCCTGTACCTGCTGCACATCACCGTCGTCCGCCTCGACGTCCTCCGCATACGCTCCCACCTGAGATCACCGTCAAGCCACCGCATCGCCGCACAGTCGCTGCTCGCCGCCGCACGCGTCAAGGCACTCGCCAACGTCAAGTACTTCTCACCATAATCGTGCCTTCACGTGTGATCTGTGTATCACCTACTCACTCAACCACTCACTCACTCAACCACTCAACCACTCACTCAACCACTCAATCACTCACTCATCCACTCACCCACCTAACCACTCACTCACTCAACCACTCAACCACCCACTCACCCACTCACCCACCTAACCACTCACTCACTCAACCACTCAACCACCCACTCACCCACTCACCCACTCACCTAATCACTCAACCACTCACTCACCCCCCTCCTTCACTGGTCGCTTCGCTCCCTGCCTCACCCCCTCCATCACCTCCTCCGTCGGCGTCCTTCGCCCAAATCCTCATTTTCCACTTTCCCCCTCCACCGCTAAAATCCCCTCTCCTCCACCCATCTTCCTCCCTTCATCGCCCTCTTTCGCCCCTTCACATCCCTCCCTTGTCCACCCACCTCCCTCGCTGCCTCACTGCCCCTTCACCTAAAATCGCCTTTCTCCAAATTCCCCCAAATCGCCCTGAAAATGTGCCTAAAATAATCCTTCAATATTTCTCAACTTCTTCACTTACCTCTTACTAGCCCTCTGGTCGCTGTCGCTCCTGTACCTGCTGCACATCGCCGTCGTCCGCCTCGACGTGCTCCGCATACGCTCCCACCTGAGATCACCCTCAAGCCACCGCATCGCCGCACAGTCACTCCTCGCCGCCGCTCGCGTCAAGGCACTCGCCAACGTCAAGTATTTCTCACCATAATCGTGCCTTCACGTGTGATCTGTGTATCACTCACTCACCCACCCACTCAACCACTCAACCACCCACTCAACCACCCACTCAACCACTCAACCACCCACTCAACCACTCAACCACCCACTCAACCACTCACCCACTCACTCACTCACCCACTCACTCACCCACCCACTCACCTCCTCTTTCACTGGTCGCTTCGCTCCCTCCTCCCCCTTCATCACCTCCACCGTCGGCGTCCTTCACCCAAATCCTCATTTTCTGCCTTTCTCCCTCCACCCCTATAATCCCCTCACCTCCACCTATCTTCCTCCTTCATCGCCCTCTCTCGCCCCTCCACCTCCCTCGCCCTGTCCACCCGCCTCCCTCGCTGCCTCTCTGCCTCCTTGACCTAATTTGACCTTTCTCCAAATTCCCCCAAACCGCCCTGAAAATGTGCCATTTCATCCCCCTTTACTTCTTTTAACTCTCCCTTAATCCACCTTTAATCCAACTACAATGACCATTATAATGAAGTTCATTACCTTTCTGATGATGCCAGAGACAACGCTTTGAAGGATATTAAGGAGCGGCAAAATAAGCTTACTGAGCTTAGCAAAAATCTAGAAATATTTACTACACCAGATGACCAATGTGAAAACCTATTATCAAATCTTACTGATGGTTTAGAAAAGTTTTTAGGGTACAATGAAAAATCCAAAGGCTACGATGGCACTGGCATCGTGTACTCGGACCTTGACAGGCTGTGTGACGGGGTGATGGCTTTCCTTCATGGTGTTTTAGATAACATTAAGCCTAAATTAGGCTTACATAAAGACACTTTAAATAGCGCACTTAACTCACTTAAAAGCACAAATAATAATGGTATTACTAAATACAAGGCGGCGATAGCCGAGGTGGCCGGTGGAGTACGTGCATATAATGAGAGTGTTACAAAATCAAATGACGCTGTGAAAACTGTTGTTACTACATTGCGCGGTGATGTGCAAAAATATTCTGAAAACATTCTTAATACAGAATTTTCAGGAACAGCTTTGGACAGTGCCAAGAAAGTGGAGCAAGCTGAGAAGTCTATTAATCTCAAGGTGCAAGAATGTCAAGAGCACGCTAAAAAATTCACTAGCGCACTTAACACCACTGTAACAGATAATCCACTTAACAACGCAATTTCCGACCTAAATGCTAAATTAAAAGATAAGCTTGAGAGCGTGCGTAAGACGGTGGAGTATGAGAGTGGTAGACTAGAGACCATGCGTGTCCAACATAATAGTGAATTCGAAACTACGAAAAGTAAGATCAGTGAAGTATTGAAAGCTTTAAATGTTAGTGTTGATTGTAGCATAAGTGAACAAGTGAAATTGCTTGTTTCAAAGTTGAAGGAGAAAGTTGAGCCTATATTGGCCGATTTAAAAGGTATTGATAGTAAGTTCGCACAATACGTTTTCGAGTTGGGGGAGTGGATTGCGAACGCTGAAGCCGCCGTCAAGGCGGCGTTGGAAAGAGTCAAAGAAATATTGAAGGAAGTAAAGGATTCAAATAGCAAGCCGGAGAATAACAAGAAAAAGTTGGAGAATGTTGCCGACTATATTCAGCGGCAAGTAGGATTGCTTTACGATGCTGGAGTGCAGGCGAGAAAAGATGTCGCCGAAAAAGTCAAAACAGCCCTCACGGCCGTGAAAACGATGGACGCCGAGCTGAAGCAGGATTTGCACGGGGTGAGGGACGCCATTCAGGGAGCTGTCGAGCATTTGGCAACTACGCTGGAAGGGAACGTGAAAGCGGATTTAGGGACGTTGAAGCATGGCATCACGGAGGCGGTTACAAAATATGCTAAGGGGTATGCTAAGGCAGTTCAAATACAGGTCGCGCAAATAAAGGGGAATGGGCAACCAGTTGCTCCAGGTCTGGAGGGAATTAAGGGTAAGGTGGAGGAGTATGTCAGTCAGTTCAGGGACCGCATTGCAAAGGAGTATGGAGGTGCGAAGGATATGAGCACAGTGGCTAGGTGGGTAAATGAAATTTGGACAAAAAATGAAGTGACATTTTATATGTCGTGGAAGACGCTGGAGACTGAAAAACAAGAGGTTAAGAACGCCATTACAAAGAGAATCAAAGAGATCATTAATACGGATGTTAATAAAGCCAAGGCACCCGAAGTAGATAATACAAGCATTAAGAATACTCTGACCAACCTTAAGGCGTATATTAGTGAGATTGGGCGAAAAGTCGGCGAAGAAGTTCAGGACCAGGACGCTGTTAGTAGGTTTGTAGAACAGATCGACGGGAGTAATGTCTTGTCATCCGGCGTTACTTCCTCTAAAAACTCTCTAAAATCTGTCGCCGAAATCGTCCTTAAATACGTATCTTCCGTCGCCAAAAATCTCGCCGAAGAAATCGAAGAGTTGCTCCTGCATGCCGGCCAGACCGTCGACATCGGTATCGCAGACGAATTGGATAAAGTCCGCGGATATACTAGGTCGCTTTTTGATAATCTTCAAGCTGCTCTTGGTGTCGCCTCCGGATCTGATATCGACTCTACAGTTAAGGTTCAGAACCCAATTGGTAGTGACATTTCGACGAGGGTTGACGATAGCTTTCAAAAGAAGCACTCGGTAGGTACCGCAATTAGTTATGAGCTTGGCACAAACCTCATGTCGACGTTCGAAGCAGCCCGGACTAAGCTCAAACAGGGTAAGCTTAAAACCAAAGAAGGAAATACTCAAGATCTCCTTAAGGACCAGTTTACTACCGATAAAGGCCAAACAGTCACGCTTGAGACAAAGAAATGGTTTGGCCGTTACGATTCGCACGTCGACCAAGCAAGCCTTGCGCAAACCGACATCGACAACCTCGAAGGCGCCCTTCCAGACGCGATCAAGAAAATAAGAGATGAGGTGACCGGCGCGCTGGCAGGAATAGACATATTTAATACTGAAGCTATATTAAAGTTCAGTGATCTCACTCAACACCTTAACAACCTATGTTATGCTGTTCAGTACGCCGCCGAAATTGACCCAAATAACGCTAAAACGAAATTGGAGGAGTTGCTTAAATTGATTAATAATGATTCAGAAGTTGAAGTCACCATTAACGGTGCGATGCAGAAGCAGAAGAGTTTGAAGCAGATTAAGAATGACCTTAATGAGCTTAGAGCTCCGCTGGCAGATGCCTTTCAGGCCGCTGACGATTTTGTTAAAAAAGGCGCACAACAGGCAGAAGACTTTTACATGAAAGAACTCAAGCAACAAGTTACCTCTGACATCAAACAAGCCACCGACCAGCTCACCACCCACGCGCGCAGGCAGTACGTCGAGGCCCTCAAGTTCGCGCTCCGGCAGTTCGCCGACAAGGTGACGGAGGAGCTCAGTGAGTTGCCGGGGGAGATTGACAACGACAAACACATCGGCCTGAAAGGGTTCATGGAGGCCTTTTATGGCCCTCTGAATGCGCATTTAACGGGGGACAAAGACAGTGTTCAAAAATTATCATACGATTTCAGACTCTTTTACGGCCCGGTGCAGATGTATCTCAAGCACGAAATTGGACGTCTTGACATGGAGAGAGATACAAATAAATATCCAAATCCTTCAAGCCACGAAACGCTCTACACTAATAAGCTTAAAACCACATTAGACACATTTAATGATTTACTTCTACACATTCACACTAATAAAAAATACGATAACGCAGTACATACTAAGCTCGATAGCCTTGAAAAGGCAGCCGCCGACCTCCAACCCACTTCCTTCGAAAGGCCGAGCACTCCCATACTCGACGGCATCCGTGTGGGAATGAGTGCGTTCGTTAGTGAATTAAGAAATGTTTACATATCGACGTATGACGGTCAGCAGTTGAGTGAATTGATGATTCATAATCAGCGTGTTGACCCTAAAAACATTGTGAAGACCACTGAGATCACTGAGTACGGCAAGAAATGTGCCAAGATCTGCGTGACTATTTTTCAAACGTTGTATCGTGAATTTGTATATCTAATAATGAAAATTGGAGACAAGTGGAGGTCACATAAAATTAACGAAAGCAATGAGCTCGGCAAATTCCTCAAGCAATGTGGCTTCGTTGTCGCCTCTAGGGACGGAGTTCAGGACGGCCAATTACAGAATAAAGATACTATGACAGGTGAAGACATTAAAAATCGCCTCGGTGATCTCATGAAAAATGGTTTCATTAACAGTCTCAAAGACAACCTCCGTCCCTATTTCCAGGCGTGCCATATCACAATTCATTCGTCACCTAAATCACCGTCCAACATCTACCAGATGCTTTCTTGGCTTACCGGCCTCTGGTATAATCCTGTGCGTGATCCACTTAACGTGTATTTTAGAACTCTATTTGACAAGCCGGAGAGATCCGAAGATCACGTAGACCCATCTAAATATATTCTCAAGGCACACCCGTCTAACATCACTGCCAACAGCCTAGAATGGAACCTGTATAAAGTCACATCCGAATCGCATACTGTGCTCACCAGTATCCTCGGGCATGGACACGCCGATGGTGTATATGCGTGTGACTTTAGCACTAACGAATGTAAACTAGAGTATCCCTCCAACCCCGGTCAATGTTTAGATCTACTTCTAGATATATTGCGTAGAGTGTTTTACCAGTTACGCTTCTTATATCAGCAATGTTCCAATACAACAAAGCTGGGGGGTTGGAAAGATTGCGTATACGGCCAGCAAATTGGCAACTCTGGATGGCAGTGCAACTCTATCCAATGTCCTAACCAAACTTGTCCCCAAAAGGCTAACCAAAAGGGTGGGCAAATAGGTAACCAAATGGTTACCCAAAACTGTAACCAGCATCCAATTTGCGGTGTTAAATCACCACTCCAATCTTTCCTGGAGGACGGGCTACAAGGCTTCTTGCCGCATACATTTACTAAACCCGGTTGCACGTTGACATGTACTGTGAAAAATCATCACGGCATTCCATGTGTCACTCCCATGGGTTTTGCCGAGTGTTCCATAGTTGCGTCACATACTAGTAAGGGCTCCCGACTCTACTATGTGCTTAAGGAATTCTGTGGCACTGCATCATCTCCCCTCACTATGTTATGTACTCAACTGAATTGTCTCTTGCCTACCGCTCCTAAAACACTAGGTGATATGTTTAGTTTCTATTACAATTTCCTTAATGAGTGGAACACCAAGACGGAGCATAAGCGAGACGCGTTTAATACAGCTGTCACCAACGCAAATTTCCAGAATGAATATGTCGACTTCGACCCTACTACCATAATTGGTAAATTTGGACATGTACATACGCAACAAAAGGCCGACCTGTGTAGCCTTGTATGTAGCGAGAAATCGGCAACCACGTGCGGTCCATATTTGCAATCCCTTAACAATGATATCACAGTTGCGTTTGCATCTAAGCACGCTGCCAAATACCTTTCATGGATCGTTTACATGACAGAAACATTCTACGATTTACTCAAAAAATTATATGATGAATGTTGTGGTACGTGTGGCGGCGATAGGCCAAAATGCCGTGTTGCTCGTGGTCAACATACTTGTCATATTGCCAATCAGGCAGGCTCCGACAATGACAGTGACACATGTACCTCTATAGTTAAATGCCCGCATACACGTCCGACAATATACACATATGGATTCGTGCATGGTAACGTGGTAAGCCTTGCCGGTAAAACAAGTAAGAAAACATGTAAAGATTTCTGTGACGCACTGAAAAAAGTACTTAACAAGGAGGAGAAAATAGGAGCAACACTTGCGGAATTAATTTACAGGACGATTCCCAATTTCCTTTGGGAAATACGCAAGAAATTCTCCTACCTATTGTTAGCCCTCTGGTCGCTGTCGCTCCTGTACCTGCTGCACATCGCCGTCGTCCGCCTCGACGTCCTGAGGATACGCTCCCACCTGAGATCACCCTCAAGCCACCGCATCGCCGCGCAGTCGCTACTCGCCGCCGCACGCGTCAGGGCACTCGCCAACGTCAAGTACTTCTCGCCGTAATCGTGCCTTCACGTGTGATCTGTGTATCACTCACCCACCCACTCACCCACTCACCCAACCACTCAACCACTCACCCACTCACCCACTCAACCACTCACCCACTCAACCACTCAACCACTCACCTAATCACCCACTCACTCAACCACCCACTCACCCACTCAACCACTCAACCACCCACCCACTCAACCACTCACTCAACCACTCACTCAACCACTCAACCACCCAACCACCCACTCACCCACTCAACCACCCACCTCCTCCTTCACTGGTCGCTTCGCTCCCTCACCCTTCCATCACCTCCTCCGTCGGCGTCCTCCACCCAAACACTCATTTTCCACCTTCCCCCTCCACCCCCTAAATCGCCTAACCTCAACCCATCTTTCTCCTCCATCGCCCTCTTTCGCCCCTTTACTTCCCTCACCCTGTCCACCCACCTCCCTCGCTGCCTCCTTGACCTAAAATCGCCTTTCTCCAAATTCTCCAAATCGCCCTAAAAATGTGCCTAAAATAATCCTTCAACATTTCTCAACTTCATCACTTTCCTCTTGTTAGCCCTCTGGTCGCTCTCGCTCCTGTACCTGCTGCACATCGCCGTCGTCCGCCTCGACGTGCTGAGGATACGCTCACACCTGAGATCACCCGCAAGCCACCGCATCGCCGCGCAGTCCCTCCTCGCCGCCGCACGCGTCAAGGCACTCGCCAACGTTAAGTACTTCTCACCATAATCGTGCCTTCACGTGTGATCTGTGTATCACCCTCCCACTCACCCACTCAACCACCCACCCACTCACCTAATCACGCACTCACTCAACCACCCACCCACTCACCTAATCACGCACTCACTCAACCACCCAACCACTCACTCAACCACCCAACCACTCACTCAACCACCCAACCACCCACTCAACCACTCAACCACCCACTCAACCACTCACTAACCCACCTAATCACCCACTCACTCACTAACTCACCCACTCACTAACTCACCCACTCACCCACTCACCCACTCACATACTCACTCACCTACTCAACCACTCACTCACCCACTCACTCAACCACCCACTCACACACTCACTCAACCACCCACCCACTCACCTAACCACTCACTCACCCACTCACTCAACCACCTCCTCCTTCACTGGTCGCTTCGCTCCCTCCTCCCTCCTCCTCCATCACCTCCTCCGTCGGCGTCCTTCACCCAAATCCTCATTTTCCACTTTCTCCCTCCACCTCCGAAACTGCCTTACCTCAACCCATCTTCCTCCTTCGTCGCCCTCTTTCGCCCCTTCACCTCCCTCACCCTGTCCACCCACCTCCCTCGCTCCCTCGCTGCCTCCTTGGCCTAAAATCGCCTTTCTCAAAAAATTCTAAAATTCTCCAAAAGTGTCCCATTTCATCCCCCTTTACCTCTTTTAACTCTCCCTTAATCCACCTTTAATCCAACTACAATAACCATTACAATGAAGTTCATTATCTTACAGAGGATGCTAGAAACAGAGCCTTGAAGGATATTGATGAGAGACGTATCTCTCTTGGTCAGCTTGCTGGACAGCTTTCGGGATTTATTGGCGGTGGAAATGAAGTCAAAAATGCTCTTGTAAAGGGTTTGCAGAGTAATGTAAATGAGCTTATTAAGCGTTTACAAACATCTTGCGGAGATGAGGGGTGTTGTAAGTATGTTGAAAAAAACCAGCTTAATGAAGTCAATGATAAACTTAAAAAACACCTTAAAGATGATCAAAATCCCTCTGTAAATCTTGCCGACATCCTTACTAAGTGCAAGTTAAATCCATCTGATGGTCCCTTAAATAAGCTTAATGATGAAATTCCTAAAAAAATTCAGGGGCTTGAAAATGAAATTGAAAGCCTTAATAACGCTGATAAAGAGCGTATAAAACGTAATGAAACTCCTCAAAATGCCTCTGAAATTGCAAAGCTTAATAAGGATCTTCAGTCTCATCAGGCATCCATGAAGTCTCTTGAGACACTGAATGGGCTCTGTGATTTTGCTAAGGAAGTTGATAAAAAATCTGAAAATCCTAAAAATCTTTTAAATAACCTTTCTGAAGGCCTCGAAAAATTTCTCGGCTACGAGAATGGTAATTACACCGGAGAAGGAATTGTGTACTCGGACCTCGACAGGCTCTGCGACGGGGTGATGGCGTTCTTGCATGGTGTTCTCCAGACTGTGAAGGAGGATGATAACGTTACAACGTATGATACTAAACAAAATGACATTAATAATGTTCTTCGTGATTTATATAATAATGTAGGTAAAGGCCGTGAGGCCTTCGGGAACGCCGTGCATCAGGTGAGTGAGTGGTTGAACAGACATGGTGCGCAGGTGGGGGAAAAAATCAAGAATGTTACGACGCCGATAAATAATCTTTTGACAGGCGATGATGGCAATGGTTTCAAGAAAATTCCGTCGTTGATTGAAGACATTCAAGGGATGCAAGGCAAGGAGTATGACGACAAAAAAGGTGAGTTGCATGATTGGATTCAATCTGTTTCAGGTCTACCCGAGATAATCAAGAAATCTTCGGATGCACTTAGCCACTTAGATAAAACTCTCAAAACTAATTTAGAACCTCACGTAAATTTAGTTAACCAGGCGGTGACAGATTTTGCCACGGCAGCCGACCTGAACTATAAGGGATTGCTGTACGTGGGCTACGACGTAAATTCTCAGCTTGAGGATCTCAGAAGGGAGGTTAACCGAGAAGCCACAAAGGCGCAAAACGCATGTATAGAGGCATTGCGTAATAAGTTTGCTGACGATATACAAACGCCGTTAATTAACGTAAATTTGGCGTTGGAAAGTGCTTACCAGCAGTTGGAAGAATGGATTCGAGATGCGGGAAAGTTCCTTGGCACAGAGATTGGAAGAGTGAAAAACGAAGTTTATAACAAGATGTATGTTGATCAAAATGATACCACATTGAAGACTCACATTACGGCAATTGGTGCTGCAGAGAAGGACATTACAAGAATACACGGAACACTAAGCGACGAGGTTATCAGCCTCGGCAATTGGCAAGAAACGGCCAAGCTTGTTGTTCAGAAAGCATCATTCAAGTGTCTCGATATATTGGATATGGTAAAGGACGGCAGTCCACATAATAAAATCAAACAGCAAGCTGAAGCTTTGCAGAAGAAGGCTGAAAGCCTTATAGAGGCGGTGCAGATGGCAAAGGAGGCGGTTACAAAGCAAGTTGAAGCGGCGCAGAAGGCTGTGAATAATCTGAATAATGGCCTCAAGGGGGATATGGAGATAATGAGGGAAGGAATGACAAAGCTCATCCGACAATATTTTGAGAAGCTTTTTTCTTTTGCTCTAGCTGCCAAAAAAAGCGGAACAAAGGAATTAAAACTAGATTGGTTGGATAAGAGAATAGACTTTGCAACGAATATGAAAAAATGGCTAGCAACGTATGCTGGTGCAGATGATCAGGGCAAAATTTCTACCCCCAATCTTGCAAAGATAAAAGTAGCACTTGATGGACTTACTAGTAAACCAAAAATTAAGGATGCTGAGATATCCGGTTACATTGCTATAAGCGAAGATATGGAGAGTTATGTCAAGAGGTATTTGCCTAATGGCAGCTCGAATCAAATCTCTCTGACCAACTTCCCGGAATATTCCATGCATATTGATCAGAACGGTGGTAAAGAAGGTGCACTTCAAAAGGCAATTGATGATGTTACAGCTACGGGTTTGAAAACGCTTGAGCCAACTGATGCAATTCCGCAGCCTACTGCTTTCTCAGTTCCATTGGATATCGTTACAAAACAGCTCGAGGAACTTACCAAATTAGTTAATGAAACAAATGATTGCTCAAGCGCGGTGGACGGTACTCACGTGAACAAGAAAGGCGTTAAAACCCTTCTGAAAGAGCTGACCAATGCCCTTAGTGAAAAAGGCGAATTAGCATGGACTAAGGCAACTAAAGGCCTTAAGAAAATCCACAGTGGCCTTAACACAAAAAACAATGAGTTACTCACTAACACCAAATCAATCACATCAGCTACCCAAGGCATTACTGCGGAACTCAAAAGGCTTCAAGCTGTATTGGAAAACGGTTCAGATGGCATCATTGACAAGTTAAAGGACTTGCAAAACAGCGGTATCTTCGCCGATAAAGAATGGAATGGTGTCAAGAGCCTTAAAAAAGTATCCATTGAACTTCAACAAATACTTATTGGACCCAACGACACCGATGACAAAAACAACCTTGAGGCCATTATCGGCGCCAGTATGACATTCATTCCTCTAATGGACACCAAGGTAAAAGCCTGTATTGCCGCCATCACCTCCAAACTTGCCGAACAAGTCAAATTAAAAATCGCCGCCATCCAAAAAACGGTACTCACCAAATTCGCTGAAACCAAAGAAAAGGAGTTAAATGCATTAAAGAATTTAGTCTCCACCAAACTCGATGACATCACTGACCTTATATCCCTGGACAGCATGACAGGCATAAAGGGATTAATGAATGTCTTGCAGACTCAGCATCAGAAGATTTATCAGATTCCTGTTATAAGTGAATTTAATAACGTAACAGAAAATATAAGAGATTACTTGAATAAAATCCTTCTCTACACCTCCTCCCAGTCCCACTCCCCCCAAGTCGGCCACCTCAAACAGCAACTGGACAACCTACTCAGCCACCTAAAAGATACTAATTCACCTTATTCCTTTAATCCACTTAACGCACGAATCTCTCATTTCGATCACATTTTTCTAAATGAATTAGACGGCGTTATTAGCGCACATAATGACCTAACACCCAAGAAGTTTGAGAACATCCACAACCCGCTGCTCCTCGACGCCCTCAGGCGCGGCATGACCAAATTCACCGAGCAACTCGGACACACGTACGTGAATAAATACAGTGGGAAAACGTTTGGTTCACTGTTAGAAAAGAAGCTTAATCCCGACACCCAAAAACCCGTTGACGTCCTCTCCACCGAGGGCCGCAACTGCGCCAAGGTCTGCCTGACCATACTGGAGAGGGTGAGTGAGGACTTGATGAAATTAAAAGAGAGATGCAAATATGAATGGCATTCGAAAGAAATCCACCGCATTAGCGGACTTGGCGCTTTTTTGAAAGATTGTGGTTATATTGTGTCTAATAGGGATAAGCAGGACGGTGAGCTGAGGCGTCATGAAAATATGACGGGCAATCATATACTTCAGAAACTTACTGCTACACTTGCGAACATCGGTGAAATTAATAAGCACCTGAAGGAGTGTGAGTCAAACAAAAAGAATGGCACCGATACGCAGCCACAAAATGATGATGTCAAAGTCTTTGCCATCCTTTCGTGCCTCATCACTCACTTCAGTGAATACAATAAAGTCGGCCACATTGCCACTTTCTCTGCTAAAAGAACACCATGCTCCGTCTATGAGATGCTCTCCTGGTGCTGCGGTCTCGAGTATAACAGTGCTTACTCAAAGATGCAGCAGCATTGTAAGACGTTGCATCAGGCGCTAGAAAAGGAAGAAAAAGAAAATGAGAAAATGAAAGATGTCAATGCGTATTTGAAAACTATATTGTCCAAAGTAGCAAAGCATGGCTTGCCGTATCTATCTAGCAATTCACGTAACTTGCTAACCGCTATCGCCGGCCACGGTGATGCAGAGACATTTTACGGCTGTGAGTTCTCCAACAATTCCCTTTCGCTCAAATACCCTGGCAGTGGAGCGGAGTGTCTTGACATGCTTCTCGATATTCTCCGTCGTTCGTTCCTGCCACTTAGATTCCTGGACGCTCAGTGTAGTCTATCAAACAAGCATTATGGCTGGGCCAATTGCCAATATGGCAAGGACATCGCTCCAGTCAACTGGCCATGCAAGGACCATTCAACCAACAAACCAAATGGACAGTCAGCGTCTAAACCAACTTGCCAGGCAAATGACCAACCAAATGGTCAACCAAACTGCCGACCAACTTCACCTTTAATGTCCTACTTAAATGACTGCTTACCAGGGCACTTGCCTCATCAGTTAATCGATGCCGGTTGTAAGTCATCGTGTTACACCTGTAAGACAGCTGCACGTGGCGTGCCTTGTCTCACGCCTCTCGGCTTCAGAGGTTTCTCTGGAAGTACGCGCCTGGGCAAAGAGCTATGTATCGTGCTGACCAAATTGCTCGATGACGCTGACCTCAGATCCCTATTCTGCCTTAAACCGAAAACGCCGGCTTCGCTCCCAGAGCACTTCGGTTTTGTGTTATCGCTTGTTAAGGATTGGCGACTAGGTATTTTACCAGGCAAGAATGGTTCGCAGTCAAGTTTCGAAACATCAATAGAGCGCACGTCTATTCACCTTTATGAACACCCCAATAAACTTACCGATGCGCTTCGTAATGCCTACGGTAGCAGCTTAAGCAGCCACGAACCGAAGAAGCATCTTCCCGCTCACGACGATTTATCAAGCCTTTCTATGACAGAGTCATGCACTGATCCTACTATAAAAACACTATGCGCCCCCTACCTTTCATCGTTATCCTGCGACTCCAATTATTACCTGGCACAGAAACATTCTAACACATACCTCTCATGGGCCATTTACCTCCCATGGACGTTCTGGGATTTACTCAACAATCTCTATAACGCTTTCTGTGAAATCACTTGTGCAGATTGGGGATGCCGTGGATGTCTCAGAGGAGACAAGTGCAAGAGTGGCAAGCATGGTGTCGTTGAGGATGAGAAGAAACAAGATGACGTTTGCCAGTGTGATTCCATAGTCCAGTGTAAAGGAGTATCATCCACATTCTACCAGTATGGATTCAGCTTCGGCGAGGCGTCGACGTTGAATAGTGGTAGCACAGCGAAGAAGTGTAAGGATTTCTGCAGTCAGTTACATAAGGTATTACATTCTGATTATTTTAATAAGCTGTTCAGGGAATGTGACAATTTCCTGAGAGAGATCAGATGGCCATTTATGCTAACGTTGTTATCCCTCTGGTCGCTGTCGCTCCTGTACCTGCTGCACATCGCCGTCGTCCGCCTCGACGTCCTGAGGATACGCTCCCACCTGCGCTCGCCCTCAAGCCACCGGATCGCCGCGCAGTCCCTCCTCGCCGCCGCACGCGTAAAGGCGCTCGCCAGCGTCAAGTACTTCTCACCATAATCGTGCCTTCACGTGTGATCTGTGTATCACCCACTCAACCACCCACTCAACCACTCACCCACCCACTCAACCACCCACTCACCTAATCACCCACTCAACCACTCAACCACCTAATCACCCACCCACTCACCTAATCACCCACTCACCCACCTGCTCACCTAACCACCCACTCAACCACCCACTCAACCACCCACATACTCACTCACCCACTCACTCACTCACCCAGTCACCCACTCAACCACCCAACCACCCACTCCCCCACTCAACCACTCAACCACTCCACCACTCAACCACTCAACCACTCAACCACCCACTCAACCACTCACATACTCACTCACTCACCTAATCACTCACTCAACTACATACTCACCCACTCACATACTCACTCACCCCCCTCCTTCACTGGTCGCTTCGCTCCCTCCATCACCCCTCCATCACCTCCTCCGTCGGCGTCCTTCACCCAAACACTCATATTCCGCCTTTTCCCTCCACCCCTAAAATCGCCTTACCTCAACCCATCTTCCTCCTTTATCGCCCTCTCTCGCCCCTTCACTTCCCTCGCCCTGTCCACCCACCTCCACTCCCTCACTGCCTCCTTGACCTAAAATCGCCTTTCCCCAAACTACCCCAAATCGCCCTGAAAATGTGCCTAAAATAATCCTTCAACAACATTATTAAATAACCTTTGCACAGGCCTCGAAAAATTTCTCGGCTACAGTAATGGTAATTACACCGGGAAAGGGATTGTGTACGCCGACCTCGACAGGCTGTGCGACGGGGTGATGTCTTTCCTTCATGGTGTTCTTGGTAACATTCAGCCTAAATTAGGCTTACATAAAGATGAAATTAATAATGCAATTACATCTCTTAATCTTCACAAACACTCTGGCAAAGAAGGTTTTAATGCTGCGATTGTCAAGGTGGCGGAGGGGGTGAACAGGTATAATGAGGGTGTGAGGGCGTCGAACAAAAAGGTGAGTGCTCCAATTACTAACATACTTTCGCAGGTCGGAGAAGAGTTCAAGAAAAAGGTGAGTGATGTATTGAAAAATGATGTTGTTGCAGGTGACGCCAACAAGAAAATCCAGGAAGCCAAGTGGCACGTGGACAAGAGACTGGAAGAATGTCAATCACACGTAAAGACGTTCAATGAAACATTGAATGTCGATAAGCACACAGATATTAAACAAGCGATTAATGACTTAAATCCCACTTTAGCACTTAGAGTTAACAACGCATTGAAGGCGGTGAGCCATGAGAGTGACAGGCTTAAGGCCTTGTCAGATAAGCAGAAAAATGACTTGCAGGCCACGACGGAGAAGATAACAGAGGTTATGAAGGAGCACGGAAAGGAAGTTAATTGCAAGGTAACAGAGCAAGTAAGGGTGCTCGTGGATTACTTGAAGGGGAAGGTTGAAGAGATTTTGAAAATGCTTGAAGGCATTAATAAGCGGCTGCAGGACTATGTTGCCGAATTGGGAAGATGGTTTGAGAAAGCAAATGATGCCATTAAAGTGGCGGAGAAGAAGGTTGAAGCCATATTAAACCAGGTTAACGGTTCGAGTAAGAATGCTTTCGAAACCGCCGCCACACTGGTTCAGTCGGCGGCAGAACAGATGGGTGAAGCTGTGGAGCAGGCTAAGAAGAAAGTTGCGGAAGACGTTGCAGCGGCGCTTAAGGAAGTGAAGGATGTGAACGATTATCTTAGGTATGATTTAACTGATGTGAAATTGCAAGTGTTGACCGGTATTCGGACATATGTAAAAAACAACTTACTAGAGACAATTAATAAGGAAGTGGTCGCTATTAAGGGAAAGAACGTCATGGGAGAGAAAAAAGGTCTTGAGGGGATTGAGAGTGGAGTGAAGGAATATGTTAATGCGTATGGCGATGGGTTTGAGAAGACAGTAGCGGAGTGGATAAAAGATATGCTGGGAAGAAAGCCTGTCAGTTTTAATATTACGTCCTATTTAGGTGGAGATACAAATCGGTTTAAGCCAGAGCATCGGGATGGGAAGACCCTTGAGGAAGAGGTTAAGAAGACTATAAGTACTCAAATCTCTAAGGAACTTGTCAAAAATGTGACACCAATGGACAAAAGCAAAACAACAGTTCATGAAAATCTGGATGCCGTTAAAACGTTTCTCACAACGTTCGCCAGTCACGTTGACTCAAAGTTCGATAGTATATCTGAAATCGTTGGTACCATACAGACTACGCTGTTGACAAATCCAGATGCGTCTCCTAACCACAAATCTGAAATAGACAAGGCGCTCCGTGTAATTCTCCCCGCTGTTGCGGCTGCGGCTAGGCAGGCTGCGAAAATGCTTGAATCTGTCGCACTCGATAAAACGGTTGGTACTAACAAAACTAGTATTGCGCAAGAATTAGACACTGCGCATCAAAATACAAATGCGCTCGTACAGAAGCTTTTACAGGTAATTAAACAGCAAATCGCCGGTGCCGGAGTTACCGACCCCTATGATGTTATTGGGCAAATTAATAGCGTACTGAATGGTAACATTGGACAGGATGATAATACACGTGGCGCTACGAAAATCACACTTTCAAGACTTTTCACTAATTATAGTCAACGCATTAAACTAACTGTAGATACGAAACAAAAGCTAGACGGCGCTGAAGACGAATCCGAAGGCACCCTCCCAAAGGCCATAGGAGATATCCACCGTGAGCTCACCAAAGCCTTGTTACCAATCGACCAGGCGTACGCTACCCTCTTTCTTCAGGTATCCGACATTAACTCCAGCGTCAGCCAGCTATGCCATGCTATCAACGAGGCGGCGGGGAGGGATCCGAAGGATCCCCAATACAAGGACAGTATCAAGAAAAGATTAAGCGACTTGAAAGCTTTGATTAATGATGACGTCGCTACTATCAACGGCAAGAAACACAAGGGTCTGAGCAAAATCCACGCCGAACTTAGCGAATTGCGGAGTAGCTTGATGAACGGTCCCATCAAAAAGGCCCAGGACTTCATCCGAAAAGAAGTCAGTACTATCAAGCTACAAACACTCACATGTATCCACAAATATGTCGATCAAAAGGTCACAGAAGCGGAAAACGCTCTCACCGCTCAGGCACAGAAGCAATATGTGACGTCCATTCAGGCGATGCTCAAAGCGTTCTGCGACAAAGTCGAGAAGGATCTGCATGGCCTCCCGGAAGAAATTGCTGCGGACCTAGAAAAAGGACACAAAAAATTCATGAAGTTATTTGAAGATAATTTCGTCAATGAAGTGAAAGGCATTGAAAGTATTATCCCCAAGTCGGCATCGGAAACAGAATCCCCAGTGAGCAAGGCAGCAAATATATTCAAAGCGGGCTTCACGGAATTGTTCAAGATTTTTAAAGGGAACGCAGACTTCAAGTCTGACTACGGCGTAATTAGACCTTCGAATGAGGGTCTCTTTAAAGTGCTCAATAGTATTATAGGTTCACTACATTTTAACCGTGATCTTGCAGATGGTTTAGATTTCTTTAGAAACAAGCTCAGCACATTAAACCCAAAGACGTTCGGCGACGGCGACCACCCATGGCTGCTGGAGTCATTTAGAAAGGGCTTTTCCTCCCTTGTCTCCGAACTCCAGAAAGCGTACGTCTCGACATACTCCCAGCAGAAAATTAACTGGGATAAGTCAAAAGACGAAGAGAAAGAAAAGTACGCAAAAATCTGCTTGACCCTTACGCCAATATTATATCAAGAATTAGGTGAACTACAAAAAGGCCTTGAAAATGGTTGGGAGAATTACAAAATTTATAACTCTTCTAACTCCAATCATAGTCTGCATAAATTGTTCTTCTCAGACAACGGGTATGACGTCGGCCGCCCGGCTGCAAGCCCGCATGGCGAACTGAATCACAGAAAAGATTTCAATGGTGATGATATTCTTACTCATCTTAATAAGGACACTTATAAGTTGTTTCATACTACTACACAGTCACTCCCTTCTTTGTCACTCCGTTCTGGTGACCAAGACATACCCGTTGAACAGGACGAGGAGGATGGTGTAATCCATACGCTTCGTGATTACCTCAATAAATACTTCGGCGTCTGTCACTTATATCACATTGACAAGCCTAGGTCACCGTGTAGCATCTATGACATGTCCCTATGGCTGTCCGGCCTCCCGCATAATCCTGTTTATGGCAAACTTAAGCAGCAGATTAAGACGATGTTCGAGGTGCCGGATGAGAATAATCCGTCTAACAAGATTGTGAAGCCTATGAATGCCTATCCAAAACCATTCTCACATGAGCACATACACGAGGCACTTAAAGAAGTTACAGCACACGCGTACTCACTGCTGACTGGCGTACTCGGGCATGGTGATGCTGAAACGTTTTATGCGTGTGATTTCCCCACCAACTCCCTTAGCTTGAAGTATCCATCCTCCGGCGCGGAGTGTCTCGACATGTTGCTTGATATACTACGACGGATGTTCCCCGTCCTTACATTCTTGCATACTAAGTGTGGTCTACGTGATAAGCACGGTGGATGGCGTGACTGCTACTACGGCAAGTATATCAGGTCAACCAAATTCTCGTGCAACGAGCATGTTACCGATAAACCAACGTGCCAACCAAACTGCCAGGCAAACAGCAAAGCAAATTGCCAACCTACGTCGCCACTTATGTCTTACTTAAACGACAGTTTACATGGTCATTTGCCTCATGATGTAACCTCTGTTGGCTGCAAGTCATCGTGCAACACTTGCCCCAAATCTCCGCCTGGAATGCCGTGTCTCCCTCCCCTCGGCTTCAGAGCATTCTCGAACAGTACTCATAAAGGTAAAGACTTGTGTGAAGTGCTAACCAAATTCTTTGACAACGGCAAACTCAACACCCTGTTCAACCTTGTACCCAAGGCGCCAAGTACATTGCCTGAACACTTGGGATTTGTGTTATCGCTTGTCAATGGCTGGGCTGGCAGTGCCGAGAAACATCGCAAGACAGGTCTACAAAACGAAATTGAGAAGAAAATCATGGATGTCTCAATTGAGCTGTATAAGAAGCCTGTCGATCTTACAGATGCACTGCGTAATGCGTATGGTAGTAGTCAGAGTGGGCATGATGCCAAGAAGCATCTTCCTGCTCATGCTGACGTGTCAAGTGTTGCAATGACGACCGTATGCCGGGAGAAAAAAGTAAAGCTTCACTGCGCTCCGTATATGTCGTCACTCTGCGGAGGTTACTACACGTGTCTGCCATTTAAGCATTCCAGCACATACCTCTCCTGGGCCATCTACCTCCCATGGACATTCTGGGATCTACTCAACAATTTATATAATGCGTTCTGTGGTATCACTTGTGCAGATTGGGGATGCCGTGGATGTCTCAGAGGAGACAAGTGCAAGAGTGGCAAGCATGGCGTCGTTGAAGATGAGAAGAAAGCAGATGTCACATGTCAGTGCACTTCCATAGTAGCCTGCAGAGGCGTAGCACCGACGCTCTACCAGTATGGATTCAGCTTCGGCGAGGCGTCGACGTTGAATAGTGGTAGCTCAGCGAAGAAGTGTAAGGATTTCTGCAGTCAGTTGAGGAAGGTGTTACATTCTGATTATTTTGAGAAACTGTTCGAGGAATGCGACAATTTCCTAAAAGAAATCAGATGGCCATTTATGCTAACGTTGTTAGCCCTCTGGTCGCTGTCGCTCCTGTACCTGGCGCACATCGCCGTCGTCCGCCTCGACGTCCTGAGGATACGCTCCCACCTGAGATCACCCTCAAGCCACCGCATCGCCGCCCAGTCCCTCCTCGCCGCCGCACGCGTCAAGGCACTCGCCAACGTCAAGTACTTCTCACCGTAATCGTGCCTTCACGTGTGATCTGTGTATCACCCACCCACTCACCCAACCACTCACTCACTCACCCACTCAACCACTCAACCACTCAACCCCTCACTCACTCAACCACTCAACCACTCAACCACCCACCCACTCAATCACTCAACCACTCACATACTCAACCACTCAACAACCCACCCACCAACTCAACCACCCTCTCACCCACTCAACCACTCAACCACCCACCCACTCACCCACCCACTCACCCAACTACTCACTCAACCACCCACCCACCCAACTACTCACTCACCCACTCACCCACTCACCTAATCACTCACTCACCCACTCACCTAATCACTCACCCACTCAACCACTCAACCACCCACTCAACCACTCAACCACTCACTCACCTACTCAACCACTCAACCACCCACTCAACCACCCACTCAACCACTCACTCAACCACCCACCCACCAACTCACCCACTCACCCAACTACTCACTCAACCACCCACTCAACCACTCACCCACTCAACCACTCACCCACTCACCCACTCACTCAACCACTCAACCACCCACTCACTCACTCACCCACTCAACCACCCACTCAACCACTCACCCACTCACCTAATCACCAACTCAACCACTCAACCACCCACTCAACCACTCAACCACTCAACCACTCAACTACCCACCCACTCACTCATTCACCCAACCACTCAACCACTCACCTAATCACTCACCCACTCACATACTCAACCACTCACTCAACCACTCAACCACCCACTCAACCACCCACCCACATACTCATTCACCTAATCACTCACCCACATACTCACTCAACCACCCACTCACTCAACCACTCACCCACTCACCCACTCACTCACCCAACCACTCAACCACTCACCTAATCACTCACCCACTCACATACTCAACCACTCACTCAACCACTCAACCACCCACTCAACCACCCACCCACATACTCATTCACCTAATCACTCACCCACATACTCACTCAACCACCCACTCACTCAACCACTCACCCACTCACCCACTCACTCACCCACTCACTCAACCACCCACTCACACACTCACACACTCACTCAACCACCCACTCACATACTCAACCACTCACCCACTCACCCACTCACTCACCCACTCAACCACTCAACCACCCACCTAACCACCCACCCACTCACCCACCTAACCACCCACCCACTCAACCACCCACTCAACCACTCAACCACCCACTCAACCACTCAACCACTCACCCACTCACTCACTCACATACTCACTCAACCACCCACTCAACCACCCACTCAACCACTCAACCACTCAACCACCCACTCACTCACCCACCCACTCACCCACTCACTCACACACCCACCTCCTCTTCCACTGGTCGCTTCGCTCCCTCTTCCTTCACCCCCTCCATCACCTCCTCCGTCGGCGTCCTTCGCCCAAACCCTCATTTTCCACATTTCCCCTCCACCTCTTAAATAGCCTCCTCTCAACCCATCTTCCTCCTTCACCGCCCTCTTTCGCCCCTTCACCTCCCTCACCCTGTCCACCCACCTCCCTCGCTGCCTCCGTCACCGAAAATCGCCTTTCTCCAAATTCCCCCAAATCGCCCTGAAAATGTGCCATTTCACCACCTTTTTAATATTAATGATGTCTATCAATCTCCTCAAAACACCTCTCAAATTGACAAACTTAATAAGGATCTTCAGTCTCATAATGCTTCCAAGAGGTCTCTTGAGACACTAAGTGGGATTTGTGGATATGCTGAGAAAATTAATAACGCTCCACAAAAAAATAATGGAGAATGTTTAAGCATTTTAACAAATCTCACAGACGGTTTAGAAAAGTTCCTAGGTTACAACTCTGATTCCAAAGGGTACTCGGGTGAAGGCATCGTGTACTCCGACCTTGACAGGCTGTGCGACGGGGTGATGGCGTTCCTTCATGGTGTTCTCAGTGCAGTGAGGGATGATGATAGTGTGAAAACTTATGATAAAAATGGTGATAACATTACTAAAGTTATTACCACTTTACATGATAGTGTAGGCAAAGGCCGTGAGGCCTTCGGTGTCGCCGTGACTGAGGTAAGTGGGTGGTTGAAAAAACATGGTGAGCAGGTGGAGGAGAGGACTGATAAAGTGACTGCGGAATTAGGTAAGTTGATTGATAAATTATCATCTTCTGCAGGTGAAAATGATAATGTGTATTACAAGAGAGTGACGGAACAAGAAGGGAGCAAGCTGGAGGAGCAATTGGAGCACTGGAAGTCCACCTTAGTAAGCCTCAAAAATGAGGTTGACGGCATTCAAAACACGCAAATTAAAGCTTTAGATAACACATTACAATCACAAATAACTCACAAAATAGAACCGATAACTAGCGTTATCGATCACTTGCAGAGATCAGCTAGCGATGAGGTCATGGCGGCGTGCCAGGGTGTGGATGATAGGCTCACGGAGCAGCAGAAAATAGTTATAGAACAGATAAAAGAGTATTGTGAAGGCTTATTAGAGCTTTTATATGAAGAGTGTGATAAGGTATTCAACGAACTTGCCGGTTTGAATGATAAAAAGGATGCAGAGATTGAAAAAATAAAGAAAGCCGTGGAGAAGTCGAAAGAGTTGGCTGTGTTGTATTTCAATAAATTTGAAGCCAATTACAGGTTGCCGATTTCTAGGCATTTCGAAAAGATCAATGAAGCGTTGCAGCCGATTACTCCGAAGGGTGACGGTCAACACTCCCAGCTTTATGACGAAGTTGATGATATAAAGAGACAGCTTATGGACGTGGGAGGAGACCTAAGCGGCAAAATTGTGAACTTGAATGATTGGAAGGTGGCGGCCGAGAAGGTTGTCGACGCGGCCCAAAAAAAGTGTAATGAGGTCCTTAAGAGAGTCGATAAAAATCATGAAGAGAATGGTGGAGGAAAGAATGGCCCTGTGATTTATACGCAAGCTCAGGATTTACAAGATAAAGCTACCGCACTATTGCTGGCTTACAGCAAGGCGCAGGGTGGACTGAAAGAATTAGTAAGTGGAATTAAGAAACAAGTTGATGGTCTAAAAAAGCATATAGTTAAGGATTTGGGATTGTTAAAAGGGAGAGTAGAAGGTAAAATTGAGGAGCATGTGAAAGGAATAATAAATGCTGTGCTGGAAGCAGCAGCGAATGCAAAAACTGTTTTGACAAGTGACGTAGATAATGCTGTCAAAACGCTCGGAAAAGCTTTGCAGAACGTTGATGGGCTGACTGCTTTGGGACAACGTATTGGCTCATTGAATAACGGTGATAATTCGGCGCTCAAAATTCAAAGTTTCTTAAAGCTGTTGAAAGACAATCTTAAACTAAACAGTCCACCCACAACTGGGAAGTATACCATTGACACTCTGCCACAAAAAGATGATCAGGAAGTCGCCAAGACCTTCATAGATGAATTCAAAAGGAAAGCTGGAGAGGAATTCAAAAATCCTGAGAAAATGACAAGCCCAGATGATGACAAACATGTGCTGTTCAAGGTTGTCATGGGACAGTATCATACAAACGCAATAGATCCGGCCAAGGAATTAAATGAGGCGATTGAGAAAGTTAATAAGGCTCTGGATGCTTTCACGACAGGTGAAAGTGGTAAAGAAGCTCCCATCTCAAGTGGTGGCATAAATGCCAAAGAAATCGAATTTAGACGCATAGCCTCCACTATCACCGACGAACTCCCTAACATTGCTTGGTTAGTTGAGAAGGACAAGGGAACCGTGCCGACCGGTAAGGCCGGTAACGAGGATGGCATTCTAGATATATTAAAAGAGCTTAGAACCAATGCGCTTGGTGAGAATGAATGGAATAAAATTACAGGGAAGACAAGAAGTGCGCTTGGAAAACTTAAGACGGAACTTAGCGCGCTGTATGAGAATGAGTTTACTAGCGAATCAAAAAGCAAAATTCACAAAGCCATCACTAAGGTGATTGCGACCGTTACAGAACTGGAAAAGGTGCCTAGTGACGTAAAGAAACAAAAGGAAATAGTGGATGGGCTTTTGCAGCAGTTGAGAGACAAGTTCGACGCCCTTGCATGGCAAATTGATGGTATTCAACCAAAGATTGTCCGTTCGGAATCCGTATTAAACGACGTAATTCAATGCGTGAATCAATCCGTGTTTTCAGCCCGCAAGACTCTTACGGATACAACACAAAAAATCGAAAAGGACCTCACCGAAACTGCGAAAAATGCCTTCGAAGAGATCACCGTCCAAGTCAGACTTCTATTCTCGCACTCCCGAACGGCCGACCTAACCGCCCTCCAAAAACTAGTCAACGCACAAAAAACAGCGATCGAAGGCATAATCACAAAAGACTTGGCGAATGGCGTCAAAGGCCTTTTGGACAAAATGCTTAAAACTCATCAAATTCTCGGACCAATGAAAGATGACAAAGAATTGAAAAACGGAACTCCAAAATTCAAGCATTTCTACGAAGGACTCTGGTCTTACATCATTGGTCAAATTGCCGACCATCCCTCCAAGGAGAAAGCGTCAAAAGTCAACAAAGCGTTAACTGACTTACTCCAGAAAATGATAAAAGAAAACCATTTCAGTTATGAGGTGTCCGATTTGATCAAAAAGGCTGCCGACATCGCCGAAAAATTCTCCCCCGCCAAATTCACTGACTCCTCCAGTCCCATCCTGCAAGCGCTCAAGGACGGAATCGGCGCCCTGGCCAAGCAACTCGGCTACGCATATGTGAGCACGTACTGTTGTAGAAAGTTTGACGGTGCGTTGCTTGATCCTGACGATCCCGCTGTGCCAGACGACAAACGCAAATTGACTGAGTACGGCAAGAAGCTGTCTAAGGTTTTCATGACCTGTCTGCCTGGTTGGGGTAAACATCTCGATTGGCTGAGGAGGCATTGTGATAAGGATCCGAAGGGTCCGTGGAATGGTCTGCAGATTACTAAATTAAAAAATAATCCCCTCGGACTCTGGTTTGACTCCCGCGGTTACAAGGTGTCAGATTCAGAAAAGCCGGAGGGCGAATTAAATATCATACAGGATCCAAAACATGGTATCCACGGTCTCCTCGTCGACAACAGAGAGATTGAAAAACGTCTGTACAGAAACGATGATGAAAAGAAAGATCCCGGCACACTTAGGGAGGTATGCAAATACCTCCCCCTCTATTTCCAAGTCCGTCATCATGAGCACTTTGACTCACCAAAGCCTCCAACGACAGTATCTCATATGCTGCAGTGGATTACCGGACTGACGTATAATCCCATGCTTGAAAAACTCGACTCACATTTTACCACAATGTTTCAAGGCCTGAAAAAAGCGTATAAATTAGACAATCCGCACATAGCTATCACTAAGCCGTTCACACTTAGCGGTGCTCTAAACGACAATACCATTAGATCCAGTTACTTAAGCGCCGTACTTCGCAAAGTTTGCGAAACGGCCGAAAGTGTGTTAATTGCCTTCCAGGGCCACGGCCACGCGGCTGGCCGCTACGCCTGTGAGTACAGTAGTAACGTAGATAAACTGGACTATACAACTAGCCCATCTAAATGTTTCGATTTGCTATGCGAAATATGCCTTAAACTACATGATCAGCTTAACTTCCTTTATAGGCATTGTTCTCATCCAAGTAAACTCGGTGGGTGGCAAGACTGTTGGTATGGCAACGGCGTCGCTGGTACTAGCTGGCAGTGCAATAACTTGCAATGTCCAGACCAACCATACAACCAAGAGGGTAACCAAAAGCATAACCAACAGTGCGACCAAAACTGTAACCAAAATGCTGACTGCGGTCTCAAATCGCCGCTTCAATCATACTTGAAGACGGTCTTCCAGGTTTCATACCGCACCACCTTAAAAAGCTTGGTTGTGGAGTGGAATGTTCCCTCGGTAAGCATAGGGGGTTACCATGCCTAATTCCCATGGGTTTCTCCGAAATTGGCACGGTGGCATCGCACAGGCAAAAGGCGAAGATCTCAAGAAAGTTCTTGAGAAATTCTGTGGCCAACCAAGCAAACCGCTCACCCTATTCTGCTCTTACGTGAAATGCTTGCTACATATTCCGCCTCAAACACTTGGTGATATGTTCGCGTTTTATTACGGTTTCCTTAACGGGTGGGATGGCAGTGGCCCGAATAGGAAAGTAGCATTTGAACAGGCTGTTCAAAATGCCGATTTCGAAAATAGAAACACAACGCTTAATGTTGGTACAATGTTCCAGAGCAGTGATCATACAGGTACCTCAACAACCCATGTGAAAGGAGACCTGTGCAGCCTCGTCACCTGCGATGGAGGAATCGCTACTCTGGACCCTGTCGGCACCTGCGGACCGTATCTCAGACCGCTTTGTATGGACAACCGCGGTATTTATTCTTCCACGTTCAAAAACTATTACCTGTCTTGGATTGTTTATGCCACTGAAACATTTTCCAGGTTGCTGAAGGACCTATTGGAGGAGTGCCGTCAGAGTTGTGGGCTGCCCAAATCTAAGTGTCATACGACAAACTGCGTTACAAATTGCCGTACAGTTGTCTCTGACATTACATCTCCGAATAAAAAATCACCAACAAGGCTGCAAATCAATTGTGAAATGCAAGTCAACATTACCCAATTTGTATAAATATGGGTTCTATTTTGGTAACACACAAAAGCTAAACGGCACAGAAGATATTAGAACTAAGCGGACATGTAACGATTTCTGCGACGCATTGATAGAGTCCTCAGCGAAGTGAAGGACAAGAATGATGTACTAGCCAAATTGATATATGAAACTATTCCAAAATTCTTATGGGACATCAGGAGTAAATTCTACTACTCTTACTAGCCCTCTCTGTCGCTGTCGCTCCTGTACCTGCTGCACATCGCCGTCGTCCGCCTCGACGTCCTGAGGATACGCTCCCACCTGAGATCACCCTCAAGCCACCGCATCGCCGCGCAGCGTCCTCGCCGCCGCACGCGTCAGGGCACTCCACAACGTCAAGTACTTTCACCTTAACGTACCTACCATTCACTCACTCACTCACCAACTTACTCAACTACTCCTTACCTCCCAACCACTCACCTACTCACTCACTTTACTCAACCACTTCAACCACTTAACCACTACACACTTACCTAATTTAATTAACTATACTTCAACTACTCAACTACTTTAACCATTTACCTATTTTAATTTTACTTTAACCATTTAACTAATTTAACTGATTTTTCTTTATTGTGTTTTTGTTTGTTTTCATCTTCTTTCTTCATTTGAGTGTCTTCAATCTCTTTATTTTTCTTTTTTCTCCTCTCCTAAATCTGTTTTACTCTAGTTTTATTCCTCTTTTATTGCTTTTGCTCCTTTCACTTCTTTACCTTGTCCATCCACTCTTCACTGTTTTGCCTCCTTTGACTAGGCCGTTTTTTTTCCAATTTCTAATTCTTTAAATGCTTCAGGCTAATCCTTCAACATTAATCTCTTTCACTTCACCTTTATTCTATCGTTTTGCTCCTCTACTTGTTGCATCGTTGTTGTCCGCCTTGATGTCCTGAGGATATGCCCCACTTAAAATCACCTTGCCACCATCGCTGCCTAGTCCTCCTGCGTTGTAGCATGTGGTGGGTACGCACGCATTTTCACTATATCAGTTTTCACGTGTGATCTGTGGACACCCACATCAACCACTTCAACCACTAACCACCTACTCTAACTACCCACTTACCTATCTAAATCTTACTTCCACCAATAATTTCACCTACCTAATTTCATCTATTTAATCTACTCACTTCAACTACTCTACCTACTTAAATTCACTTTATCTTAACTTACTTCATTTAACTACTCTACTTAAATTTACTTCAATTCATATTTCTTACTTTTCTTTACTAACCCATGATTTCCGACTTTCTGCATCCATTTAACCTTATCATTTCTCGACTTTAATTTACTTTATTCATTTCCACTTTTAACATTTTCATTTTATTTGAGCCGTTGTTTTACTTTCATTTCCATTCCTTCGTTGAGTTTAACCTCATTTTTATTTCCCGTTCACTTTGTTGCTCTTCAACCATCATCCTCTTGTCTTCTTTGCTCCTCTTCCTCGTTTTGTTCCCCAATCTCCTCGCTGCCTTCACTTAAATCGTTTTTCCCTAAACTCCCTAATGCCCTTGTGTTTCACTCTGTTCTAACCTTTTTACTTTCTCTTCTTTTGTTTCCTCCTTCTTCGTCGGCCTCCATCGACTGGTTGATCCAGATTAAGCATGGGAATGGTGATTACAAAGGTCTTGATAAGTTGGCTGAGGCTTTGAAAAAGTTGATTGAAGGGGCTATTCAGAGCGCTACTAAGAGTCTTAATGATAGGAAAGAGCAACTGGAATGTCCTGAAACTAATGGTCATCCTCATTGTAAGGCGCTTAAGGATCAAATTGCTACAGCCAATGAACCTGAAAAATCTAAAAAGAAATCCGTCTTGAAGAAACATTATGATGAAGTTCATTACCTTACTGATGATGCCAGGGGGAGAGCCTTGGATGATATTGATGCCCGCCGTATCTCTCTTGGTAAGCTTGCCGGACAGCTGGGTGGATTTATTGGCAAAAGTGACGCTGTTACTAACGCAATTAATAATGCTATTACCACTATTATTGACAGTAATGAAGACTTCAAAAGCCTTAAAATGTCTCCGTCTTCGACTGCGCTTTCTTCCGCTGCCGTGTCTGCTGAGCCTATAAATGATGATGAGCTTGAGAAGGAAATTCAGCATTATGAAGCACTTAAAAAGCCTCTTGAAGATAAGAAAAGTGGCAAAAATCCTCCCCTCTCCTCTGAAGAGTCTCGCCTTTTATCCTCTCATCAGTCCAAGTTGGATGCTCTTCAGAGGCTGAAGAGCCTTAATGAGTCTTTGAGTTCTCTTAATAATCAACAAAGTGATAACTGTAAAAAGCTTTTAGATAACCTGTGCTCTGGCTTGGAGAAGTTCCTTGGTTACCAAGAAACTTCCAAAGGCTACGACGGCTCCGGCATCGTGTACTCCGACCTTGACAGGCTATGCGACGGGGTGATGGCGTTCTTGCACGGGGTGCTCAGTGGAGTGAAGGATGATGATAACGTTAAGCATTATTTTCCTGTTACTGAAATGGACAAGATACTTCAAGAAATTCAAGCATCTATGCATCAAAAAGGTACGTTCACTGGTGTAATTCATACTGTTGCAGGTGCGCTCGGGACGTGGGACGGAGAGGTCACGGGGAAGACAGAGAGGGTGAAAGACTATTTTAATAATATTAATGCTGTCACTATAAAGCACTTCAACACTTCACTTAGCGAACTTAGCGGTTGTGGTCCCGGCGAAGTTGCCGACAAATTGGGTAACTGTTTCATCCATGCAGATGCTATATTAAATGCGTTCAAGCTAGCTGAGTCATACTATAGTGACCTAGACCCTAAACTTGGAGATAAGTTGAAGGATTCAATATATAAAATACATGTGCAGGTAGCGAAGTTCCATGGAGCGGCGACTAATACGGAGTTGCGCAACCTTTTGGACTGTAGTGCAAGGCAGTTGAATGCGATAAGTGAGTTCGTCGCAAAACGGGCTGCACAACGTTTGAGTGAACTCCAAGCGTATTTGAGGGATGAGATTGGAGTTGTAGAATCAAATCTCGACGGATTACGTTCGAACAAATTTAAGGAATTGCAAAATGCTCTCTACCAGGACCTTCACAAGGCTTTCAAGGAGGTAGAGGGCGGGATTACAAGTGTTATAAGTAAGTATGATAATAAGATTTTCCAGCCGGTTGGAATTATCAAGAGCGCTTCGGATAGTTTCAAAACGGAAATCAATGAGACTAGAATTTCTCTTCAGGAAGCCATCCAGGTAGTGGAGGGAGAGATCAGGAAGCTGGAGAATTTTAGAGATCTGGAGAGTATCGGAGCTAGCCTAAAAGGAACGGTACAGTTATTAAGCGCTATTAATAGTGATCCATTTGATCGTGTCAAAAGTATTTCACTTCACTTGAAACTGGTGTAATGACGCCTTTGAAAAAGGCGATGGATAAAATAGGTGAGTGTATGAATAAAGTATTCCGTCCTGACGGGATGTACGATTTTCAGTGGGTTCTTTCAGATGCTAAGAATTCCATCAATGAACTAAAAACTGCAATTGGTAGCCAGGGTAAAGTCCCTGAAATTAGTGACATCGAGACCCTTCATGGCATGAAGATAGGAAGCGAGAATCTCAATTTGAGGGAGACGTTATCAAAACACTCAAACGCTATAAACGCTGTGATACAGAAGCTTGAACTATCGTCTGGAAAATTAATAACAAAAGCCGACATCATGTCTCTCCTGATCGATTTGGGATCCATCGCACAGGAGGTCTCCAAGCACTCCAAGGAAGTCGTCGAGAACGTCATGGGAGCAATTCAAGAAAAAGTATCGCAGGAAGTTAGAGATGTTGCCGGTACCATAAATGCTAGGGTCACGGAGTGTTCAAATCTTGTCGGCACTATAGGCGGTACTTTCCACATTCGCAGTGGTGTGAAAAAGGTCACGGGCCTCGAAAATTGGTGGAGACGTTTAACAGAGCAATTGATGGTGAGCTCGAAAGGCTGAAAGAGCACCATGTTGGCAAGTCGACTGACACCAAAAAAAAGGCAGTAAAGAATCTGTGTACGCCGAATTAAACGATCTAAAAAGTAAAATTGAGGCCCTTGCCTGCAAAGCTGATGACGTTAGGAAATGTGTCCTGGCTGTCAGAACGGAACTGTTCTTGTGTATTAGAGATGCCTCGAAATTACATGATGAAGCGCCTAAGCGAACTGCAAATATAATTAAAGAATTGACGACGGAAGTAAATGCAAAAATAGCAGCGTCCACTACGAATATTGAAATGACGGCAAAAAATGAGTATCATTCCAGAATCTCTGAAGCGTTCTCAAATTTAACAACGGTTGCGTTTTATGGAACGGAAGAGATCAGACAGATAATAAACAAAGACCTCAACACCGGCCTGAAAGGCTTCCTAAAGACCCTGAGCGGCGTGTGCATAGACGCCAACGCTGCGGGATTTGATAATAAAAATGTGTTTGTTCAAAGTCAAAATAATAATTACCTTACCGACCTTCAGAACTCTGGAACTCAAGGTCTACATGGAGACAAAGTAGCAGACGTCTCCGCCAAATCCCTCGCCTACCTAAATCACATCCACACTTACGTCTCCCATGACCTCCCAAACATCTCCCTCCTCCTCCCAATACCCCTCCCAACTCCAGTCCATCCACTCCCATCTCACCACCCTCCTCTCCCACCTGTCCACGCAAAAACACTTCACCCACGAGGTCCCCGGAATGCTCGAGAAGCTCAAGACATCCGTCGAATCCCTCCACTCCACAAACTTCGGCAACCCCGCGTATCCCGTGCTCGACGCTTTCCCCAAGAGCCTGGTAAAGTTCGTCGAGCAGCTGGAGAGGGGGTACGTGTCGACGTTTAGTGGTCGAGTGTTTCTTCATGATTTGGTTAAAACAGAGACTAAAAACCCAGTTGACCCCAAACAAACTGGGACAAAAGCCGTACAGCCTGACGAAAACAAATATACATTGACTGAGTACGGTGAGAAATGTGCTAAGATCATTCTCACAATATTGAACATGTTAAACAGCGATTTGAATGTTCTTAAGAATACGTGCAAAAATATTTCCTCATCTAGTCAAATTAATAAATCGTCTCATTTGGGAGACTTACTCACGTCCTATGGTTACCGTGTCTCCGATAAAGACAAGCAAAACGGTGAATTGCAAGACAAGTCTGAGTGCAAGGGTTCACATGTATCAGATAAAATGAGGGAAGCAATTCCCAACGCCAACATGGAACATCTCACGAAGTGCTTATCAGATGACACAAAGAAACCAGGCGCACAAAAATCACCATGTAATCTACTGGACATCCTTTCATGCCTCTTCACTCACCTCAGTGAATACAATAAAGTCGGCCACATCGCCACTTTCTCTGCTAAAAGAACACCATGCTCCGTCTATGAGATGCTCTCCTGGTGCTGCGGTCTCGAGTATAACAGTGCTTACTCAAAGATGCAGCAGCATTGTAAGACGTGGCTTGAGAGAGAAGAGAAAAAGGAGAAGCAAGAAAAAGAGAGAGTGGAAGCAAAAGGAGAAACATATAAGCCTAAGAATGACACTGCTTTTAAAAGTATATTAAGCAAGCTGGCGAATCGTGGACTGCCTCAGCTATTCGTAAACTCACGTAGCATACTCACCACAATCCTTGGCACCGGGGACGCGGAGACTGTTTACGCCTCTGACTTCGCCAACAATAAACTTAATTTGAAATATCCCACTTCAGGCGAAGAGTGCTTAAATACGTTGCTCGATATATTACGTAGATTGTTCCCGCCACTTAGATATATGCATTACCGTTGTAACCTTAGAGCAAAGCACTACGGCTGGGACAATTGCCAGTACGGCAAGAATATCCCTACAACCAAGTGGCCATGTAACGTTCACTCAGCGGACAAATCAACGTGCCAACCAAATTGCCAGGCAAATGACCAACCAAACTGCCAACCAACGTCGCCACTTCAGTGCTACTTAACCGATTCCCTACTCGGCCACTTACCTCACGATGTAACCTCGATTGGTTGCAAAACAATCTGTAACACTTGCCCCAAATCTATGCCTGGAATGCCGTGTATAACTCCAATGGGCTTCAGGGGTTTCTCTAGTAGTACGCGTAGAGGTACAGAGCTGTGTAAGGTACTAGACAAAATTTTCGATGACGCCGATCTCATATCCCTCTTCAGCCTTGTTGCCAAAACACCAAGCACTTTGCCAGAACACTTCGGCTTTGTGTTATCGCTTGTTAATGACTGGCATGAAAGCACAAAGTTAACCAAAAATATTGTCCAAACTGCCTTTAAAAAATCAATCAGTGATGTATCCATTAGCCTATATGAGAACGTCGGAACGCTTACAGATGCGCTTCGTGATGCCTATGGCTCCAGTCAGAGTAACCATGAATCAAATAAACATGAAGATAATGATACTATTGACGGCAATGATGATGTACTGAAAAAGAGGGACGTGTCTAGTTTGTCTATGACTATAGCATGTTCCGGCCAAAATGTCCACTGCGCTCCGTATCTTGTCACCTTGTGTCACGATGCCTACTACTACCTTAACACCAGTCATTCCAACACATACCTCTCGTGGGCCGTCTACCTCCCATGGGCATTCTACCAATATCTCAAAAATCTATACGATACTTTTTGTGCCATAAACTGCCAGGATTGGGGCTGCCGTGGATGTCTTCGCGGTGACAAGTGTAAAACAGGGAAGCATGGTGTTGTTGATAAAGACAATGCATCAGCGATATGCCAGTGCCCCTCGTTGGTCCAGTGCAAAGGCGTCTTGGCAACCCTCTACACTTATGGATTCACATTTGGGAACGCAGCGAGATTGAATTCGAAGGGTGCAGCAATGAAATGCTCTGATTTCTGCACTCAACTTTATGATGTACTGCACTCTTCTTATTTCAGAAAATTATTCGACGAGTGCGACAATTTCCTGAAAGAAATCAGATGGCCGTTTATGCTGACGTTGTTAGCCCTCTGGTCGCTGTCGCTCCTCTACCTGCTGCACATCGTAGTCGTCCGCCTCGACGTGCTGAGGATACGCTCCCACCTGAGATCACCCTCAAGCCACCGCATCGCCGCGCAGTCGCTCCTCGCCGTTGCAAAGGTTGGGAAAATTGCCAACGTCAAGTACTTCTCACCATAATCGTGCCTTCACGTGTGATCTGTGTATCACTCACTCAACCACCCACCCACCTACTCACCCACTCACCTAATCACCCACCCACTCACATACTCACCCACCCAATCACCCACTTAACCACCCACTCACTCAACCACTCACATACTCACCCACCTACTTAACCACTCAACCACTCACCCACTCACATACTCACCCTCTCACCCACACACTCAACCACCCACTCACATACTCACCCACTCACTCAACCACTCAACCACTCAACCACTCAACCACTCACCTCCTCCTTCACTGGTCGCTTCGCTCCTTCCTCCCTCCTTCCTTCATCACCTCCTCCGTCGGCGTCCTTCACCCAAAATCCTCATTTTCCACCTTCCCCCTCCACCATTTAAATCGCCTTACCTCAACCCATCTTCCCCCTTCATCGCCCTCTTTCGCCCCTTCACCTCCCTCACCCTGTCCACCCACCTCCCTCGCTGCCTCACTGCCTCCTTGACCTAATTTTACCTTTCCCCAAATTCCCCCAAATCGCCCTGAAAATGTGCCTAAAATAATCCACATGAGTTACTTAATAACCTGTGCACTGGCTTGGAGAAGTTCCTTGGTTACCAAGAAACTTCCAAAGGCTACTCGGGTGATGGCATCGTGTACTCCGAACTTGACAGGCTGTGCGACGGGGTGATGTCTTTCCTTCATGGTGTTTTAGATAACATTCAGCCTAAATTAGGCCAGCATAAAACACATTTAACTAGCGCACTTAACTCACTTAAAAGCACAAATGATAATGGTATTACTAAATACAGGACGGCGATAGCCGCGGTGGCCAGTAAGGTGAAGGCGTACAACGACGCCGTAAGGCAGTCGAATGAGAGTGTTAGTGGGCCGATTAAAAAGTTTCACAAGGAGATGCAAGAGCTTCAAAACGAGGTGAGTGACTCAAAGACAAATAATGCTTTGCAGGTGACGGATCGTTCTACAAAGGAGGAAGTTGAGCAAGCTGAGAGGAAGGTGAATGAGAAGCTGGCGGAGTGCCAAAGACATGCCGCGGAGTTTAACAACGCTTTTAACTTAGCCACTAATAGCGAAATGAAAACAAATCTTAATGATCTGAATGCTAAATTACATGACAGTATAGTAGTAGCTGCGAAAGCAGTGAATCATGAGACTGACAGGCTCACTGAGCTCTCAACTAAGGAAAGTGAGAACCTCAATGAGACGGAGCAGAAGATTACGAGTGCGCTTAAGAGCCTGAAAGATAGCGTGAATGGTAGCATTACCACGCAGGTGAAGAGCCTTGTTCAGTTTTTATGCAGTGAGGTTTCCGCGATTAAAGATAAACTAGTAAGCATTAGTGAGATGCTGGGAAATTATGTTGAGCAGTTAAAACGATGGATCAGTGATGCCGATGCTTTCTTCCAGAAAGTCATGAAGGATGTACACAAAATTGAGAAAAATGCCCCCGGCATTCTAAACCAAATGAATGTTGAAGACAAGGCAAAAGAGTTGCAGAAGAAAGGTGAGGAGTTGCATCGGCGATTTGAGTATGCGAAGAATGAAGTTGGACATTTGGTTGACGCAGCGAAAAAGAAAGAAGTCAACGAGCTGGACACTTGGAGCGCCGCGGCCGGGAAGGTTGTGGGAGCGGCGCAGGGGAAGTGTTATTTAATACTGGGAAAATCTGAGATCAAGGATAGTGGCGAACCGGAAATTAAAAAGCAAGCTGACGCATTGCAGAAAAAAGCCACGGACCTTTTGACTGCGTACAGCCAGGCGCATACTCAATTTATGGGTTTGACTGCAAAAGTTGGCGCCGCCGTTGCAGAGTTGGAAGCCGGCATGAAAACGGATTTGGGGAGAATCAGAGATAGTATTGTGCAGAAGATGAAGCAGCATGTTGGAGAGATGCTTAAGGATATTAAGGGGAGAGTGGAGAAGATTAAGGGGGAGGGAAGTAAAAACACAGGGTTGGAGGGGATCGTTCAAGGACTGGCGCAATACGTCACAGAGTTTGGCACTAGTAAGAAGTTAGAGACGGCGATTAAGGATATGGTTGGGAGGATTGTGAAAAGCAGCGGAATTCGTGCATATTTGGATTATTATGCTAAGAATACTAAGAAGGAGCTGCATGATGTCAAACAGAAAATCATTACAGAACTACCAAAATTGATTCAACAGGCTATTTCGGAGTCTGCTCAAAAGGCCGGCATCAATGGTGAACTGGACCTAACTAGAATAGAGAGTCAGTTTGCTAATCTCGCTCAGAACATTCAGAATAAGGAGCTCACTATGACGCCCACCCTAATGGAGGGGGATCTTGAAGGCAAATTAGGGCTGAAGCCATCCACGCCTCAAACACATAACTACAGATCGCATCTTCAGCATCCAGTAAACATAATATCAATGGCCGTATTCAGCGCAATTTCAAACGCCGCCAAGGAACTGCAGACATTGATCGAAACGTCAAACATTAAGAATCTTAAGGAAGCGTCGGAAAATGCAAAAAGCCTTTTTAGCGATCTCCAAACGGCGGAAGCTGCGACCAAGCAACAAGGCCCCCCCGGCCCTGCAGGTTCCGGTCCCAATACCATTTTGGACAAAGTCAACGAGATTCAGCAGGAAGTCAACAAGGGGATGAAGAAAGACGCTGAACATAACCTAAATGTCCAAAAGGATTTCGAAGGAATCATGACGTCCTACAACACGAAGAAAACGGGCAAAGGCGTGGACGATAAGTATCACCAACTGACTGAAACACACATCAAAAATGCGATGCAGCCTTTCAAGATTATGACTGCTTTCACAGAGGATCAATCTGAGCTTACCACAGGCCAAGTAGAACAAACTACAAAGAAAGTCCAAGAACACTTCACCACAATCACCTCCGAGCTCCAGGCCATCGCCCACTTCGTCGATAAGAGCAAGACTCCGCCACCGTCGCTGGGACTTCCGGTTGAAAATGGCATACAAGACTGGTTAACTATGTTGAGAGAGAAGGGGCTTAAAAGTGAGGAAACATGGACACCAGTTACCGATCAGACTTCCAAAGGCCTCTTGAAGATCAAGCAGGAAATTACCGACGCGCTCGACGGGATTAAAACGAAGGCGGAAAACGACTTCAACGCTGCGAAAACAGCTATCAGCGAAGTGACCTCTTTCAAAACACTCTCTGACGCAATCTACCAAGATCTCAAATCTCTCGTCGAGGCGTTCCAGAACGCCGGCAAAGATCTCTACCAGCAGTTGAAGCAGTTTAAAGATACAAAAATCAGCTTGAGGAAGAACGACGCCGCGGCTGTGGCAAACAGTCTCCAACAATTTTCGAGAGACCTCAGCATGCTGCAAAGCAAACTCCAAGACGGTCCCATCGCGCAGTGCACGAGCTTCATTGAGAAGGAGGCCGGGTCAATGGAAACAATCTGTATTAACGCCCTCACGCACAACGTCGACGGTCAAGTTAGAAATGCTATAGCCGATCTCACCACCCTTGCCAAGAAGCAGTACGTTCTCTCTCTCAAGAGTCTATTAACCAAGTTCGCGGAGAAAGTCCACAAAGATCTTGAGAAGTTGCCCCAAGGCATCAGGAATGATCTGCGCACAGGCCACAAGGGCTTTATGTTACGCATGGGAGGCGTGGACAGGCCGGAGACTCCAAGTGGGCCAGGCCCTGCGGCACCAAAATCAGACACTTTGCTTGGTATAATGCAAAAGGTTGTCGAAGCCTACGACCCAAATCAGCAAGCTGCGCCAACCACATCCATGAAGGAGGCTTTTACCAAATTAGCAAACAATTTTCACGAATACTTCACTCCAATCTACACGTACATTAAACAACAAATCATCGAGCAACTCAGAAAAAAGTCTCTGCCTGAGACGGCAGACGACAACCTTACTAAACTCACAGAAATCAACTCCGATTTCAATACACTGCTCACCCACCTTAATACAACACAGACTAATAAACCTGATAGAAAATACCTTTTCGACCACAATTTCACCAACAAATTAGACGCACTTAAAACACAACTTCAAACATTCACCTCCCACAAATTTACCAACCCGCACCATCCCGAACTACTTGACGCCCTTAAGTGCGGGCTTAATGACTTTTGCACGCAGCTTGACAAAGTGTATGTTAATGCGTATGATGGGCATCCCACTAAGATAAAGTGGGACGAACTGTTAGTTAATAAAACGTTGGAGGACGGCCAAAAGTCCAACGAAAAAGAGTTAACACCGGATGGCACTAGGCTGTCCAAGGTGTTGCTCACCGTCACGCCCATCGTGTCTAGCGCACTAAGTGACCTAAAAGATAAACTTGAAAATAAAAATAGCTGGAAAACTTATAACATATATAATTCCGAGAAGTCCCACCATAGCTTACATAGACGCTTTTTTAAAGAGCACGGCTATGATGTTGCACTTCGTGACGATGCCGATAGCGGCGAACTGAATCACAAAAAAGATTTCAATGGTAGCAGTATTCTTACTCATCTTACAGAGGGAGCACATAAATTGTTTGATACTAGTAAGCAGTCACATAACCCTCTCGGTTCCGCTTCCGATGAGATATCCTTCGACTTTGTTGACGAAGATGGTGTCATCCCAAAGCTTTTTGCCCACCTAAGTACATACTTCCGTACTTGCCACCTTGAAATTAACAACGCACCTAGGCCGCCATGCAATGTCTACGAACAGTTAGTTTGGCTCAACGGCCTCTTACATAATCCCATACATGACAAACTTGAAGCACACATAAAGACGTATTGCGCTAAGCCCGAGACGCAAAAGCAGAAGGAATACTCCGAGATAGATGCCAGAGATCTAAGACTCGAAACATCTTCCATAATAACAGCGCAGAATGTATTTGACATTATTCAACATCTTTGCGAAAATTCACATAGTATGCTAACAACCATCCTCGGCACAGGGGACGAACATACCGTGTACGCCTCTGACTTCTCTAATAACGCGCTTCGATTGCGATATCCACCCAACCCTGCCGAATGTCTTGACATGTTACTCGACATCCTCCGCCGATTGTTCTCCATGTTTAGATTCTTGGAAGGCCAATGTGGTCATCCGGCATCCATCTATGGATGGGCCGACTGTGCATACGGCAAGTCAGTCCCGTCGGCAAACTGGCAATGTAATGACCACCCAAGGGGCAAAGCAAATGAGCAAGCAAATTGCCAACCAACGTGCGAACCAACGTGCCAGGCAAAGTGCCAACCTACTTCACCTTTAATGTCGTACCTCACTGACACTCTCCCCGGTCACCTACCACACCAGTTGACGAACGTTGGTTGCAAGACTGTATGTTCCACGTGCTCTCCACGTAGCAGCGGCATGCCGTGTCTTACTCCTCTTGGCTTTAGAGCGTTCTCAGGATCCACCAAAACGGGAAAAGATCTCTGTAAAATCATCGATGCGTTCCTTAACTTCTATGATGTTTCGTGCATATTCTCCATTGTGTCCCGACCGCCGTCTACATTACCAGAGCACTTCAGTTTTGTGTTGTCGCTGGTAAGGGGATGGCAAGGTAATTCAACTAAGTTAGTGAAAAATGGGTTTCAATGCGTATTTGAACAATCCATCAGAGATCGATCCATTGAGCTGTATGACCCACCCAGCGACCTTACCAATGCGCTGCGTCACGCTTATGGCAGCAGCCAGAGTAGTCATAGTAGTGATAAACATCCGACTCCATCTCCTGAAGCAAAGGACGATGAACTTACAAATGCCGATTTGTCAGGTCTCTGTATGGCCACCTCATGTAATGGCCAAAATGTTCACTGCGCTCCTTACCTATCCGCTCTATGCACCGATCAATACAGTTACCTTTCCCGGAAGCACTCTGGCACATACCTGTCCTGGGCACTTTATCTGCCGTGGGTATTGTACGATTATCTTGAATGTCTATACAATGCGTTTGAAGCTATTTTCTGCCAGGACTGGGGATGTCATAATTGTATGCATGGCGATAAATGTAGGAGAGGAGAGCACGGTAAGCTGGACACATCATGTCAGTGTCCGTCCTTACTTGCTTGCAAAGGGGTATCACCAACGTTGTATAGGTATGGATTTAAATTTGGTATACCATGGACGCTTTGTGATAAAGAGTCTACGAAGAAGTGCTTTGACTTCCAGACACAGCTGCACAAAATCCTTCACTCCAAACATTTTGAAAAGCTGTTTGCTCAGTGTGACATGTATTTGTGGAGAACCAGAGAGCCATTCTCCCACCTGTTGTTAGCCCTCTGGTCGCTGTCGCTCCTGTACCTGCTGCACATCGCCGTCGTCCGCCTCGACGTCCTGAGGATACGCTCCCACCTGAGGTCACCAGCATCGCACCGCATCGCCGCACAGTCGCTGCTTGCCGCCGCAAGACTCAAGGCACTCGCCAACGTCAAGTACTTCTCACCATAATCGTGCCTTCACGTGTGATCTGTGTATCACTCACCCACTCAACCACTCACCCACTCAACCACTCAACCACCCACTCAACCACCCACTCACCCACCCACTCACCCACCCACCCACTCACATACTCACTCAACCACTCAACCACCCACTCAACCACTCACCCACTCAACCACTCAACCACCCACTCAACCACCCACTCACCACCCACCCACTCACTCACTCTACCTAACCACTCACTCAACCACTCACCTAACCACTCACTTAACTTACTCACTCACTCAACCACCAACCACCCTCACTTACTCAATCACTCAACCACTTAACCACCACTCAACCACTCAATTCATTCAACCACCCATAATCATTCACCCACTCACCATTCACTCCTCCTTCACTTCTCTCTTTGCTTTTTCTTTCCATTCTTCCGTTGGGTTCCTTCACCAAATCTTCATTTTCCAATTCTTCCACTTAAAATCGCCTTTTTTCCCCCTTCCATCGCTTCTGCCCCTTCACTTCCCTCACCCTGTCCACCCACCTCCCTCACCCCCTCACTGCCTCCTTGACCTAAAATCGCCTTTCCCCAAACTCCCCCAAATCGCCCTGAAAATGTGCCTAAAATAATCCCCCTTTACTTCCTTTAACCCTCCCCTTAATCCACCCTTTATCCACCTACAATGACCATTACAATGAAGTTCACTACCTTACTGAGGACGCCAGGGGGAAAGCCTTGGATGATATTCACGCCCGCCGCATCTCTCTTGGTCAGCTTGCTGGACAGCTTTCGGGATTTATTGGTGGTGGAGAGGAAGTTAAAAGGCTATTAAAAATGGTTTGCAGAGTAATGTAAACCAGCTTGAAAAGCTTTTGAAAACATCTTGTGGAGACAAGGGGTGTTGTGATAAGGCTGTGAAATTCCGTGATGTAAAACTTACAACACTTCGAAACAAATTTAAGCAACAATCTGAAGAAAATAATCATCTTAATAAAATTGTTACTACTGCAGAATTCCAAAATGTTTCATCTCAATTAAAGCAGACGGAACAGCAGATTCAGCAAAAAATTGATGACCTTACCAGGCAAATTGAAAACCTTAAACAGCAAGATAAAAATCTTAAAAAAGCTAGTGAAAAGCCTCAAAATGCCTCTCAAATTGACAAACTTAATAAGGATCTTCAGTCTCATAATGCTTCCAAGAGGTCTCTTGAGACACTGAAAGAGCTTTGTGATTTTGCTAATAAAGTTAATAACGCTCCACAAAAAAATAATGGAGAATGTTTAAGCATTTTAACAAATCTCACAGACGGTTTAGAAAAGTTTTTAGGATTCAACCCTGATTCCAAAGGCTATGATGGCACTGGCATCGTGTACTCGGACCTTGACAGGCTGTGCGACGGGGTAATGGCGTTCTTGCACGGGGTTCTTCAGACTGTGAAAAATGATGAAAGTGTGAAGAAATATGATAATATGCTTCAAGAACCTACTAAAAAGTTAAATGATGTTCTTGACACACTTACTAAAAATATTGGCTCCGGGCGTGTTGGGCTTTCGGTGTCTGTCACCAAGGTGAAGGAGTGGTTAGAGGGGTATAATGATGAAGTTGGCAAGAAGACAAAAGCAGTGACTCAAGGATTATCTGCACTTATAGGTAAGTTGCGTAGTGATATTTCATCTGGTGTTTCAGGTATGTATTATACTCAAGTCTCAAGGATGGAAGGCGACAAGCTTCAAGATCAACTCAAGGCATGGCAGGAGACGTTACCTAGCATATTTAATGACATCAATAATATTGAATATAAGCACATTAATTCACTTGATAGCGCACTTAGAGACAGAATAACTAATGAAATTAAGCCCATCCATGAGGCCGTGAAACTGTTGCGTGACTCAGCTAACAATCTGGATCTTAAGAACCAGGCACGTAACGTTGATGAGCAGCTGAAACAGCAGAAGTCGTTTGTTGAGACTGCCATAAAAACCGGGTGTGATGAATTACAGACCACTTTGGATGCAGAATTTAAGAAAATCTGGAAGGAAATCAGTAGTTTGATTGACACGAAGAAAACACAGATTCAGCATATCAAGGAGGCGTTGTCAACAGCGAAGGGTGATGTTAATATTTTGCTTTCGGATTTCAATGGGACTTATAAAAAGGATGTTTCAGATATGTTTGAAGACTTGAACAACCAGATGGAGAAGATTAATCCCAACGCAGTTAGTACTGGACCAGGATCAGAACTCAAGAAACAATTTAATAACATTACGACGAAGGTTACAGATGTCGATAAGAAGTTAAAAGACGCTAAAAATCATTTGGTGACTTGGATACAGAAAGCAGGTAGTGTGCTGGACAGGGCGATTCGGAAGGCACAAAATGAAGTGTATAAAAAGATGGATCCTGGTGGAACAGATTCAGATTCTATTGGCGATAATATAACAAAACTTAGCACAGCTGGAGGAAAAGTTGAGAATGCCAATCAAGAATTGAGTAAGATTGATGGCTCCCTGAATTATTGGATCACGCAAACAAGCAACCTTGTAGATGGTGCGTTGAATAATGCCAATAACATTATATCGCAGATGAGCCAAACCAATACTGAAAACATTACTCAATCCGTAGCCGATTTAAAGCAAAAATCGGAAGACCATTTCCTCCAATATAAACAATCAGAACTTATGGTATACGCCCACCAGGCCAATGAAAATCTTAACAAACTGGCCAACGCAGTGGAGAGATTGGTGGATGAGAGATTAAAACCAGCCCTGGAAAAATATAAGGAGTGGGTAAAAGCTTCTGCGGCTGCTCAACCTAGTATAACGCACGATTCACGTCCTCTTATTCATTCCATTGTGCATCTGAAAAATATTTCGAATGTACTTCAACAGGCTGCTCAACAGCAATTAGGTGTTAACGGAGGTCGACGGCCATACGGCTTCTCACAGTCGCCATTACAGACGTCACTTTATGAGTTACAAAAACAATCATCAGAAATCCATGCACTTGAAAATGAGGTTCGGAGACCAAATCAAAGTTCAGGCCTGCAAACTAAGAATCCCGACCAAGTAGCAAAAGATCTTCAAACCCTATCCACCCTAACCGTTAACATAAGGAGAGTGATGAACGACTCTATTACCGCCTTAAACGAAAGTATTAATGCTGGACTGCAGAGTGCCTCACTCAGTGTAACCATGAGTCTCACATCACAAAGCTGGATAAGAGATTCATCCACGTTTAGTAATGCTTTGCGAAATGCCCACACTTTTTGTCAGCATATACAGAAGTTGGAGAGTCAATTTCGAAGTCAACCTGGTGGCTTCGACATAAACATTACAACTAGTCGACTTGACAACATAATGCAAGTTGTTGCAAGCTTTGGTACACAATTCGCTAACGATAGGGCTGTATTCGAGAAATTTAACAATGGCATCACCGAGCCTTTCCGCAAACTCGTACAGGCTGTTACGAGCGCTGCGGGAGAAGAAAAGAATGGCTTGCAACAAATATTGGGAAAGCAGTTGAAAGAAATGTATTTCAATAGGCCTGCCTCTGATCTGGAAGAAAACCAGAATAGCATTCACCAATTCTATAAGGTCTTTGGCACTCAAAAATCCGAGCTTTCCACCCAGCCAGGCGCCATTAAAGATGCAACATCCGCAATCACAACGGAACTCAGAAAGCTTATAGAGAAGTTGAAAGAAGATGTTGTTGGAAAACTACAAGATCTGAAAACCAATGGTATTAATGATGACACTGTTTGGAACGGTACCGTGGGTCTGTGCAGAATCCACAACGATATTATTGGAATACTCGGGACCAATGTCTCCGGTAACCTTCATGACATTATTAATAAAGCGAGCCCGCAAGTCAACGCCATTATCCTAAAACTCGAAGAACTACCGGACAAAGTTGAGCAAGTCAGGCAAGTGACTCAGGGGAAATTGGAGGCGTTGGAAAGAGCCATTACGGAGATTCATAAAAAAATTGAGGCAGTTGAGTTCACCATCTCGCAGGCGGATTTCAAACTAGGAACTGTAATAAAGGACCTCGGGGATGCCGCTGTTAAGGTTGAAGATACTATTAAAACGGCCATATCAAACTTGAAGAAATCCCTCCTCACCGTCACAAAACAAGCCTTCTCCACCCTAACTACTGACGTCCAAAACCTTTTCGCAGATGGTCACAAGGCCAATCTCCTAGCCCTCAAATACCTTGTCGAACGCCAATCCGCAAAGATCGCAAACATCATTTTCACTGATACGACCAACGGCCTCAAAGGCTTTTTGAATACCTTTAGCAGTTATCTAGAATTAAATATGCGTGAATTTCAGTATCCCGAATTCACAGAATTATCATCCGCCTTCAACAATTACCTCTCCCCCCTCCTCTCCTACACCGCCGAACAGGTCAAGACGCCGAGCAAGGCGAAGAAGGGAGAGAAGCAGAAAAATGAACAATTAGATCAAGTATCTCTGTTGCAGTCCAATTTAGATTTATTACTCTCGTCGCTCAAGGAGACCAATCGTTTCGATTTTGGATTTCGAAATAAGCTGGATACAGTCATGGACGTGCTGTCGTTCTTCAGTCCTCGTAAATTCTCGGGATCCCACAATCCTGAATTACTCGACGCTCTCAAAGGCGGAGTAAAATCATTCTGTGATGAATTAGATAAGGTATATATGAACGTTTATGAAGCACATCCTGATCAAATAAATTGGAGTCAATTGGTGACTAAAAATCCAGCAGGCAAGCCAGGTGAGACAAAAGATGAATTGTCTCAGCAAGGCAAAAATTTGTCTAAAATCTGTCTGACCACAATTGAGACGCTGTTACATGAAATCAGCGATTTGAGAAATAATTGCTATCCGCATGATAACAAAGGCGCGTGGAAAGACAAACATATTTACCGTTATGAAAATGGCAATAAAAAGGTTAAGAATCCCCTAGGTGACTGGTTTAAACGTGCCGGTTACATTGTTTCCGATTTTGACAAACAAGAAGGTGAGCTGCGCAACAAGCCAGAATGCAAAGGTGAACATGTTTATAAATTACTCGTCAATGACGAATCCACCAAATACCTCTTCCGCCACGTTGATCCTGCACAAGACCCCCGAGCACTCAGGAAACTCCACAACTATGTTGAGACCTACTATTATGTCGGTCATCTCGCACACATTCCCTCACCAAAAGCACCAACAACAGTTCACCATATGCTTTGTTGGTGTCTCGGGTTATACTACAATCCGGTGTACAATTCACTTAAGAAACACATCGCTACGGTAGTGAAGACAAAAGATGCAAAATCTGGTGAAACATTGCCGTACACAGAAGCCTATCCCACCGAATTAAATGCCGCGGATTTGGTGGCCGCCCTCAACCATATCATATCGCAATGTGCCTCCGTCCTCACCACAATCCTTGGCACCGGCGACGCAGAAACCACATACGCTTCTGATTTCTATAACAACACACTTAATCTTAGATATCCTAATTCGGGACAGGCGTGTCTCGACATGTTCCTTGACATATTGCGTAGATTATTCCTTCAACTTAAATTTTTAGAAACTCAGTGTGCCCTTCCCTCCATGCATCACGGCTGGCGTGGCTGCCTTTACGGCAGAGACATAAAGACAACCAAATCCCTGTGCGATAACCATATAGGCAACAAACAATCTGACTGTCTGCCTAGATCACCCCTCATGTCTTACCTAAATGACTGCCTTCCCGGTCACTTACCGCACCAGCTTAGCGAAATTGGTTGCAAAACGGTATGCACCACCTGCCCTAGCGGCAGACCCGGAATGCCATGTTTAACACCTCTTGGCTTCAAAGGTTTCTCTGGAAGTACGCGCAGAGGTAACGACCTATATAAAGTGCTAACCAAATTCTTCTACAACGTCCATATTACAGGCCTCATGTGCCTCATCCCCAAGCCGCCGTCCACGTTGCCTGAGCATATTGGATTTGCGTTGTCATTAGTTGCCAGCTGGTTTGACACGTCTAAAGTGACCAAAAATGAGATACGCAATCCCACTCTCCAGTCTTCTTTCGAATCATCCATCTCTAGCCTATCCATTCAGCTATATCCCAAATCATCTGAACTCACCAATGCCCTTATGAGAGCATATGGTTCGCAATCTGTTGTGCATCAAACCTGCCAGCATCATCATCTGTTGAATCTAATAAGCGGAGATATGTGTATAAACCAAAGCAAGGGGGTCACGTGTTCTCCATACATATCTTCTCTATGCATTGACTCCTATCATGACCTTGCCTACAAGCACTGTAACACATACCTCTCCTGGGCCATCTACCTCCCTTGGACATTTTGGGATCTACTCAACAATTTATATAACGCTTTCTGTGGAATCACTTGTGCAGATTGGGGATGCCGTGGATGTCTCAGAGGGGACAAGTGCAAGAGCGGCAAGCATGGAATCGTCGAGGATGAGAAGAAAGATGTTACATGTCAGTGTTCTTCCATAGTATCCTGCAGAGGCGTCGCACCGACGCTTTACCAGTATGGATTCAGCTTCGGCGAGGCGTCGACGTTGAATGGTGGTAGCACAGTGAAGAAGTGTAAGGATTTCTGTAGTCAGTTGAGGAATGTGCTAAAATCAGAATACTTCAGAACATTGTTCAAGGAATGTGACAATTTCTTATGCATTATCAGATGGCCATTCATGCTAACGTTATTATCCCTCTGGTCGCTGTCGCTCCTGTACCTGCTGCACATCACCGTCGTCCGCCTCGACGTCCTGAGGATACGCTCGCACCTGCGATCGCCCTCAAGCCACCGCATCGCCGCGCAGTCGCTACTCGCCGCCGCACGCGTCAAGGCACTCGCCAACGTCAAGTACTTCTCACCATAATCGTGCCTTCACTCACTCAAACCACCCACCCACCCACTCACTCAACCACTCACCCACCCACTCACTCAACCACTCACCTAATCACCCACCCACTCAACCACTCAACCACCAACTCAACCACTCACTCACCCACTCAACCACCCACTCACTCAACCACTCACCTCCCTCTTTCACTGGTCGCTTCGCTCCCTGCCTTCACCCCTCCATCACCTCCTCCGTCGGCGTCCTTCACCCAAATCCTCATTTTCCACCTTCCTCCCTCCACCCCTATAATCGCCTTACCTCCACCCATCTTCCCCCTTCATCGCCCTCTTTCGCCCCTTCACTCACCTCACCCTGTCCACCCACCTCCCTCACCCCCTCACTGCCTCCTTCACCTAAAATCGCCTTACTCAAAAAATTCTAAAATTCTCCAAAAGTGTCCCATTTCACCTCTTCTAATGGCCTTTTAACTTCTTTTCCATTTTCTTCTCTCACCTTAATTGCCCTCCCTCCTTGGCCTCCTTCGTCGGCCTCCATCGACTGGTTGATCCAGGTTAGGCATGGGAATGGTGAAAATGGTCTTGAGAACTTGGCTGAGGCTTTGAAAAAGCTGATTGGTGATGCTATTGAAAGTGCTACGAGTAGTCTTTCAAAAAGGGAAAATGAACTTAAATGTCCTGATAAACGTTATGATGAATCCCTTTGTAAGTCTCTTGATGACAAGATCGTTGAGGCTAGAACTGCCTTAAATTCTGATCAATCTAGAACGGCTCAAAATCTTGTTAAAAAGTCTTTAACTGATCTTGCATCCGACCTAGAAAAACATAAATCCAACAAGCAAAAACATTACAACGAAGTTCATTACCTTACTGATGATGCCCGGGGGAAGGCTTTGGAGGATATTGATGCCCACCGTATCTCTCTTGGTCAGCTTGCTGGACAACTTTCGGATTTTATTGGCGGCGGAGAGGAAGTCAAGAAAGCGATTTTGAATGGTTTGCACAGTAATGTAACTCAGCTTGAAAAGCTTGTTAAAACATCTTGCGGAGATAAGGGGTGTTGTAAGGATGCTGTGAATTTCCGTGTTGGACCTCTTAAAAATCTTCAAGAGCAATTTAATGACATTGATAAAATTGAGAGAGAAATTGATGGCCTTAATAAGCAAAAAGATGAAAAAGGTAAGGCGCCTGTAAGGGCGCCGTCCGACGGTCAGTCTGAGATTGATGAGCTTACAAAGGAAATTCAGGAAAATGAAAAGCAACTTGAAGAGCAAAAAAAGTCTCTTAATGTGCAAATTGAGAAGCTTCAATCTCCTTTAAATGAGCCTAAAATGAAAATTCAGAATACAATTGACAGCCTTACTGCCAGCGTAAGACAGTGTGAAGAGGAAATTGAGCAGTATAAAAAGGCACAAAAGGCCTCTAAAAATGATCCTAAAAATATCTCCATTCCCTATCATCTTTCCAATCCTCTTGCAACTGCGCAGGCTAAATTGAAGTCTCATAAGGCTTCGTTGAATTCGCTTGAAAGTCTTGATAAGCTTATTACATTTCATAATGATGTTCAAACTCCTAAAAGTGGAGAATGTAAAAACATTTTAACAAATTTGTGCTCTGGCTTGGAGAAGTTTCTTGGTTACCAAGAAACTTCCAAAGGCTACGACGGCACAGGCATCGTGTACTCGGACCTCGACAGGCTCTGCGACGGGGTGATGTCTTTCCTTCATGGAGTTCTTGAGAGTGTTAAAGATGATGAGAGTGTGAAAACGTATGATAATAATCCACCAAATGATATTAACAATGTTCTTGACAGATTAAATGATAGTGTAGGTAAAGGCCGTGAGGCCTTCCCGGCCGCCGTGACTCAGGTAAGTGGGTGGTTGAAAAAACATGGTGAGCAGGTGGAGAAGGCAACGGGAGGAGTGAAGAACAAATTAGGTGAGTTGATTGGTAATTTGTCATCTGGTGCAGGTGAAAATGAGAATGTGTATTACAAGAATGTCAAGGAGCAAGAGGAGCACAAGCTTCAAGACCAATTGAAGTCTTGGAAGTCCACCTTAGTAAGCCTCAAAAATGAGGTTGACGGCATTACAAAAACAGATGTTAAGGCTTTAGATAACACATTACAATCACAAATAACTCACAAAATAGATCCGATAACTAGCGTTATCGAGCACTTGCAGAACTCAGCTAGCGATGAGGTCATGGCGGCGTGCCAAGCCGTGGATCGGCAGTTAGACGAGCACAAAGCAAGGGTGCTTAAGCATATTGAGGATGATTGTACAGGTCTCTTAGAGACCCTCTATGAGGAGGTTGACAACATGCTACAAAAAATTAGCGAACTGCAAGGCATACGATGCGAGCAGTTTGGTCATATAAAAAACGTTATCGAACACATTAAATTTGCGGTTGGTGATTTCATAGAGAATTACGACAATAATTATAGCGCAAAGATATCAACCTTCTTCGATATTATAAGAAAGGAGGTTGAAAGTGTATATAAGAATTTGAAAGTAAGGAAAGATAGTCTTAACAGGTTGATTAGACTAGCTGAGACGTATTATATTCGGATTAAAAAGAAGATTGGTGAGCAAAATAAAGAAGGTGTCATAGGCGACAATTGGAAGAAACTGAAAACGAGAATGACGGAGCTTGTTGGGGAGATTAAGGGGAATGGCAGCGGTGATGGTCTTGGGGGGGTTGCCGGAGGGGTTAAGGAGTATGCTACTGATTTCAGCGAGGGAACATTCGGGACTAGGGTGGAAGGATGGATTGACGGTATATTGAATGAGGACCCGGTCAAGGGGTGGATGAAGGAGTACGCTAGTAGTAACGATGATAAGTTTGTTTCAGAATATAAAGGCGCTAAGGCAAGTGACGATAAGAGTAAGAAGCTTAAAAGTAAAATGGCAAATGCAATAAGACTACAGATAGAGAAAAAACTTGGCGGCGATCTATCGGTAACTATGTGTACCATTGGTAGTGCAGATGACAAAGGCAGCATCTCGAAGAATCTTGCATATGTTAAGGATATCTGCGAAGGTTTTGCCAAGCGACTGGGTGAGAGGATTAGGAAAGAGACAATTGATGGATTTGTTAATCAAATTGTAATGGCAATCGAGGAAGATCCGAAGATCGTTGACATACATAAGAAACGTGAACACAACCAATACAATCTCAAATACCTCGTCTTATACACCCTCCATCAGCTTGTTGCAACTGCCAGGAAAGCCGGTGCAGAAGTTTATTCATTCACTGCCGACCACAAGTCCAAGCTCAGCGAAAACGTGCACGGTGCAATAGAGAAGGTTACGCAAATCGGCAAGTATTTTGACAAGGACGATGACAAAAATAACGGACTAACAACCGATGACTTTGGGAAAAAAATTGATGACGCCTTGGAGGCGTTGAGGCGTCCAATTAGGGAGCTTGATACATTATTTCAGGAGCCAGCCGATAAAGAATATATTTTCAAAGAACTGGCCACAATTGAGAAACACCTTTCAACGCTCGATCAAATTAAACAAGAAAAAGAAGGCGGTAAAATCTATGATGAAAAAGGAAAAGCGGACAAACTCATGTCTGACCTGAAACATAACATTCAACAGATTACTAGTGGATTCGACAGCATCGATGGTGTTGTTAAGAATGCTAACGATGTTCTGGAGAAGGGTCTACTGTCGGTAACTGACGCTCTCCTCTCATTCCGTCATACTCTCACAAATGATATCCAAACGCTTCAAAAGGACCTCACCGAGACTGCGAAAAATGCCTTCGAAGAGATCACCGTCCAAGTCAGACTTCTATTCTCGCACTCCCGAACGGCCGACCTAACCGCCCTCCGAAAACTGGTCGACGCACAAAAAACAGCGATCGAAGGCATAATTAAGAAAGACTTGGCGAACGGCGTCAAAGGCCTTTTGGACAAAATGCTTAAAACTCATACCATTCTGGAGCCAATGAAAGATGATAAAGAATTAACAGTCGGTACTCCAAAATTCAAGAAATTCTACGAAGGACTCTGGTCTTACATCATTGGTCAACTTACCAACCATCCATCCAAGGACAACGCTTCAAAGGTTAACACAGCGTTAACTGAATTACTCCAGAAAATGATAAAAGAAAACCATTTCAGCCATGAAGTCTCCGATTTGATCAAAAAAGTGGCCGACGTTGCCGAGAAATTCTCCCCCGCCAAATTCACTGACCCCTCCAGTCCCATCCTGCAAGCGCTCAAGGACGGAATCGGCGCCCTGGCCAAGCAACTCGGCTACGCATATGTGAGCACGTACTGTTGTCAGAAGTTTGACGGTGCGTTGCTTGATCCTGAGATTTCCACTGCGTCAGACGACAAACGTAAATTGACTGAGTACGGCAAGAAGCTGTCTAAGGTTTTCATGACCTGTCTCCCTGGTTGGGGTAAACATCTCGATTGGCTGAGGAGGCATTGTGATAAGGATCCGAAGGGTCCGTGGAATGGTCTGCAGATTACTAAATTAAAAAATAATCCCCTCGGACTCTGGTTTGACTCCCGCGGTTACAAGGTGTCAGATTCAGAAAAGCCGGAGGGCGAATTAAATATCATACAGGATCCAAAACATGGTATCCACGGTCTCCTCGTCGACAACAGAGAGATTGAAAAACGTCTGTACAGAAACGATGATGAAAAGAAAGATCCCGGCACACTTAGGGAGGTATGCAAATACCTCCCCCTCTATTTCCAAGTCCGTCATCATGAGCACTTTGACTCACCAAAGCCTCCAACGACAGTATCTCATATGCTGCAGTGGATTACCGGACTGACGTATAATCCCATGCTTGAAAAACTCGACTCACATTTTACCACAATGTTTCAAGGCCTGAAAAAAGCGTATAAATTAGACAATCCGCACATAGCTATCACTAAGCCGTTCACACTTAGCGGTGCTCTAAACGACAATACCATTAGATCCAGTTACTTAAGCGCCGTACTTCGCAAAGTTTGCGAAACGGCCGAAAGTGTGTTAATTGCCTTCCAGGGCCACGGCCACGCGGCTGGCCGCTACGCCTGTGAGTACAGTAGTAACGTAGATAAACTGGACTATACAACTAGCCCATCTAAATGTTTCGATTTGCTATGCGAAATATGCCTTAAACTACATGATCAGCTTAACTTCCTTTATAGGCATTGTTCTCATCCAAGTAAACTCGGTGGGTGGCAAGACTGTTGGTATGGCAACGGCGTCGCTGGTACTAGCTGGCAGTGCAATAACTTGCAATGTCCAGACCAACCATACAACCAAGAGGGTAACCAAAAGCATAACCAACAGTGCGACCAAAACTGTAACCAAAATGCTGACTGCGGTCTCAAATCGCCGCTTCAATCATACTTGGAAGACGGTCTTCCAGGTTTCATACCGCACCACCTTAAAAAGCTTGGTTGTGGAGTGGAATGTTCCCTCGGTAAGCATAGGGGGTTACCATGCCTAATTCCCATGGGTTTCTCCGAAATTGGCACGGTGGCATCGCACAGGCAAAAAGGCGAAGATCTCAAGAAAGTTCTTGAGAAATTCTGTGGCCAACCAAGCAAACCGCTCACCCTATTCTGCTCTTACGTGAAATGCTTGCTACATATTCCGCCTCAAACACTTGGTGATATGTTCGCGTTTTATTACGGTTTCCTTAACGGGTGGGATGGCAGTGGCCCGAATAGGAAAGTAGCATTTGAACAGGCTGTTCAAAATGCCGATTTCGAAAATAGAAACACAACGCTTAATGTTGGTACAATGTTCCAGAGCAGTGATCATACAGGTACCTCAACAACCCATGTGAAAGGAGACCTGTGCAGCCTCGTCACCTGCGATGGAGGAATCGCTACTCTGGACCCTGTCGGCACCTGCGGACCGTATCTCAGACCGCTTTGTATGGACAACCGCGGTATTTATTCTTCCACGTTCAAAAACTATTACCTGTCTTGGATTGTTTATGCCACTGAAACATTTTCCAGGTTGCTGAAGGACCTATTGGAGGAGTGCCGTCAGAGTTGTGGGCTGCCCAAATCTAAGTGTCATACGACAAACTGCGTTACAAATTGCCGTACAGTTGTCTCTGACATTACATCTCCGAATAAAAATCACCAACAAGGCTGCAAATCAATTGTGAAATGCAAGTCAACATTACCCAATTTGTATAAATATGGGTTCTATTTTGGTAACACACAAAAGCTAAACGGCACAGAAGATATTAGAACTAAGCGGACATGTAACGATTTCTGCGACGCATTGGATAGAGTCCTCAGCGAAGTGAAGGACAAGAATGATGTACTAGCCAAATTGATATATGAAACTATTCCAAAATTCTTATGGGACATCAGGAGTAAATTCTACTACCTCTTACTAGCCCTCTGGTCGCTGTCGCTCCTGTACCTGCTGCACATCGCCGTCGTCCGCCTCGACGTCCTGAGGATACGCTCCCACCTGAGATCGCCCTCAAGCCACCGCATCGCCGCGCAGTCGCTGCTCGCCGCCGCACGCGTCAAGGCACTCGCCAACGTCAAGTACTTCTCACCATAATCGTGCCTTCACGTGTGATCTGTGTATCACCCACCCACTCAACCACTCACTCACCCACCCACTCACTCAACCACCCACTCAACCACCCACTCAACCACTCAACCACCCACTCAACCACTCACTCACCTAATCACCCACTCACTCAGCCACTCAACCACTCAACCACATACTCAACCACTCACATACTCACTCACTCACTCACTCACTCACTCACTCAACCACTCAACCACTCATTCACCCACTCAACCACTCAACCACCCACTCTACCACTCACTCAACCACTCACTCACTCAACCACTCACTCACTCAACCACTCACTCACTCACTCACTCAACCACTCAACCACCAACTCACCCACCCACTCACACACTCACCCACTCACCTAATCACTCACTCACCCACTCACCCACTCACCTACTCACCCACTCACCCAATCACATACTCACCTAACCACCCACTCACCTCACCCACTCACCTAATCACCCACTCACCCACTCACCCACTCACCCACTCACCCACTCAACCACTCAACCACTCAACCACTCAACCACTCAACCACACACTCAACCACCCACTCAACCACTCAACCACCCACTCACATACTCACCCACTCACCCACTCACCTAATCACCCACTCACCTAATCACTCAACCACCCACCTACTCACTCACCCACCCACTCACTCAACCACTCACCCACTCACCCACTCTCTCACTCACCTACCCACTCAACCACTCACTCAACCACCCACTCACCCACTCACCCACTCAACCACTCAACCGCCCACTCAACCACTCACATACCCACTCACTCACTCAACCACCCACTCACTCACTCACTCACCCAACCACTCACCCAACCACTCAACCACTCAACCAACCACTCAACCACTCACTCAACCACCCTCCTTCACTGGTCGCTTCGCTCCCTGCCTCCTCCTTCATCACCTCCTCCGTCGGCGTCCTTCACCCAAATCCTCATTTTCCACTTTTTCTCTCCACATCCTAAACCGCTTCTCCCCAACCCTTCTCCCTCCTTCATCGCCCTCTTTCGCCTCCTCACTTCCCTCACCCTGTCCACCCACCTCCCTCGCTGCCTCGCTGCCTCCTTGACCTAAATTGGCCTTTTCCCAAACTCCCCCAAATCGCCCTAAAAATGTGCCTAATAATTCCCTATTTAATTTTTCTTTTCACTTTCTTCCCTCCAACACAAATCCGACAAGCTCTCTTGCTCCCCAAATCCACAAGATCCCAACTCCTACTGTAATGAGCTTGATAAGCACATTAAGTCCAACCAACAAAAACTTAATGAAGCTAAAAACACTAATAAAGACTCTAATAAATCTCTAATATCCTCTTTAGAATCACAAATCAATGACTTAAAGTCTAAAAAAGATGACTGCACTAAGTCCCATTACATGGATGAGCAGCGTGCGTCCTCCCTTGAGGAGGAAGTGCATCATGGCATTGATGTTATAGTGAAGCTTACACAGTTTAGTGGCTCTGAAAAGAGCATTGAAACACTAATTAATAAAGAAATTGAGAGGCTTGAAAAGCAGCATAAAGACTGTGAAAACTGTCAAAAGTCTCATCCCTCTTCTGACTGTCCCCAGCATAAGAAGCTTGAGGAGCTTAGAAAGAAACTTGAGACATTGCAACAGAATAATAAAAATAGTCCACGTGATTTATTAAATAACCTTTGCACAGGCCTCGAAAAATTTCTCGGCTACGAGAATGGTAATTACACCGGAGAGGGAATTGTGTACTCGGACCTTGACAGGCTCTGCGACGGGGTGATGGCGTTCCTTCATGGTGTTCTTAATGAAGTTCATAAAAATAATAACCTTTCGCCTTATAAAGAGACTTTAAAAGATGCTGTAACACTTTTAGAAAGTAAGCGCTATGAAGGCAAAACAGGTTTGCATACTGTGATTGACGATGTCAAGAGGGGGATTGAGAGGTGGTTGGGGGATGTGAATGAGAAGAGTGAGGCGGTGAAAAAGCCGTTAAATGATCTTAATGAACACGTTAAAGAACTAAATGATGTAATTGATATTATGAAGAATGGAAGAGAATATGATGATTCCGCAAAAATGTTTCTCATGTCCTGGATGGGATCCGTCAAAGAGCTTCCATCCTTTCCCAATGAGTCTTCGAATAATATAGAAATACTCGACCAAAATCTTAGAACGCAATTACTTCCCCACGTCACCCTAATTAAAGACAGAGTGGACACTTTTGTGGACTCCACTAAGCAGGATCACGAGGGGCTTGTTAAGGTGTGTGGGAAGGTGGATGAGGAGATGAAGAAAATTACGGATTATGCTGAAGAAAAGATTAATGAAGCCACCGGGGAAGTTGATAGCATGACAAGGTTTTTGTCCGGAGATATATTGATGCTTCGTGATATTATTACGAGAGTTACTAAAGGCGTCGCCGAGGCCATCAAGGAATTGGAAAAGTGGGAGACGGACCAGTCGAATTCCAACCTCCATAAAGCTCTCAATAAGTGTGATGCTGTGGTTAAGGCGCTTAAATATGAAGACGGAGAAACGTTTAAAACACCGTTTGATAGTATCGAGCAAGCTAGATCGACAGTTCAAAGTGTTCATGGTAAACTTAGCGGTATTGACGGAAGGTTCAGCCAGTGGATCACGCAGGCGGGGAACAACTTGACTAATGCTCTTAAAAACGTACAGGGCATTCTTGCTCAGGTTCAAGAATCAAACAGAACAAAAATAACCAGCGCAGTTGAAAATTTAAGAAACAAAACTCGAGATCATTTTCTCAACTCCAAGAAAGAAGAACTTAAAGGCATCGGACTGAGCGCCAGCGAGAAACTCGGTAGAGTGGACGACGCAGTGGCGAGTTTGTTGGCCGACAGTGTTTCTAGTGCCCAAGAGCAATATAATGCCTGGGTTGAGAGTGGGACATCAAACGGTTTAACTACGGCTGCCGCTAAAGACTTGCAACTGTGGAGCCATTCAGCCCAGCAGTGTTTGAACGTTGCCCAAGCTGTTACCGGCGGCATCACGCAATTTCAGCGTATGCATAGACTATTTTTTCAATCGTCGCAGTTATCCTCATCGATAGTTAAGCTGCAAAAATTGCAGAAACTGGATTTGAAAATATTACAGCAAACAGTTCAAAGTCTTCAGCGTCAGGGTCTGTCCGCTACATTACCCACAAAAGATTTTATTAAGAGCCACCATACGCTCACTAGCTATGTTTCCTCTATTAGAGAGGTTATGAATGCGTCAAGTGAGGTTTTGAGCAGTGAAATTAAGAGTTGTGAGAGAAACATTACCACACTTGAAGTTAGTTCTGATACTGGTAGTCTTTATCGAATTATTAACCCATTGAATGACGCTTTGCAAAAGTCATCACAGTTTATTCAACAGCTACAGACACTTAACGTCTATTTTTCTCAGCATCGTAATGGTGTTGATATTAACAACATATCCGCTGAACTTAGCGGTTTGATGCATCGCGTCCAGCAATTGCAGACAACCTTCGGCCAACACAAAGAACACTTCGAAAGCTTCGCACGAACTGCCAGCGATGAATTTGGCAACTTTTTCCGAACTGTTAAGAGTGCCGCGGAGAAACCGAATGGCCTTCAAAAGTATTTAAAGGATGAATTGCAAGATATATATTTTAAACAACCATCGTCCAGCGAGGCCCAGGACTCTGAAAATAATAAAAGCATTCAAAACATTTATAAATGCCTGCACGATGAACAAATCAAGTTGACAGGCAAAGCCGAAAAAATTAACTCAGGCGTCGAAGGCATTCAGGCTCAGCTCACTAAAATATCCAACATGGTTGAGAAGAAGACCGAATCTGATGACGGCGTTAAAGATTATCTGAACGAACTCAAGAATGAAATTCAAAAGCTTAAGTCTAAGCTTACAGAATTAAAAGCAGACGAATTGGCATCCATGATTGACGATGTTAGTGTTTCTTTTTCCAACGCCAAGTCAAGGATCGTACAATACATCCAGTACATTGCCAACCACTTCAAATCCCTCGCCACCACCGCCGCCACCTCCATCAAACGCCAAGCCCTCTCCCAGTTCGCCCAGTCCAAGGCCCGCGCGCTCGAGCAGCTGAAGGCGCTGGTCACCGAGCAAAAGACGAAGATTGAAGAAATTATCCAAAAGGATTCAGACAGCGGGCTGAAGGGGTTGATGAAGTGGATGAACGGCGGTATGCATCAAGATCCTGCAAGTAAGCAAATTACTCCGGGTAGTAAGTTTGAAGAATTTATAAGTGCTGCGACTAAGCTAAATCAGACACCCCAGCAAGGCAAAGAATATCATGAAAAATTCTGTGACTTATCCACAAAGTTTAAAGATTATGTCGCCGTTATTCTCCAATACATCGAACATCAAGTCAAGACTCCAATTCCCGGCAAGCTTGAACGCAATCCCACCGACCAGTCGGAGAGAGTCAAGGACATCAAGTCCATACTGGACAATTTGCTTGCCTACCTTAAAAGTAGTGACAAAATATGTCATTTCGACCACGTCTCTACATCATATTTAGATGCTCTTAATGCGTCTCTCCTTAAGCTCTCCCTCCACGTTTGCCGGCTTCCACAACCCGCTGCTCCTCGACGCCCTCAGGTCCGGCATGGAAAAATTCACCGAGCAACTCGGACACGCGTACGTGAATAAATACTCCGGGTGTAAGCCTGTAAAGAACTGGGACGATGTAAAATCCTCCGACAAGTTATCCACCGAGGGCCGCAACTGCGCCAAGGTCTGCCTGACCATACTGGAGATATTTAGTCATGATCTTAATGAGCTCAAGCATCAATGTGAGACGAATTGGAAGAATAGAAAGATATGCCTTAAGAATGGCAATGGAAGCATCAATGATCTCGGTTTATGTCTGAAGCGTTTCGGTTACGGAGTTCCATCCAGGGAAGACGTGCAGGACGACGAGTTGAGATGTTCTAAATATATGAACGGTAATGAAATTTTTGCAAAACTTACCATTCCAACTATAACCGAACGTGACGAATACAACGTCATTAGCACTCTCAAACATATCTGCGACAATCTTCTCATCTACTACCGTGTTTGCCACTACTCCACATTACAGTCCAAGACATATCCATCCTCCGTGTACCAAATGCTTCTGTGGTTGGCAGGCTTACCATATAATCCCGTATATGACGACTTGTCACTTAACGGTTTTGGCAGCCTGCTTGATAAGCCAGAGGAGCAGGACACGGACACTGGCGATGAGAGTCTGTCTGTCGATGTCGACAACGGCGACACTGACGAAAGCCGTATCACTCTCAAAGACGAAAATGAAGAATCGCTGGATGCGTACAAAGAGAAGATCACAGTTCCAAAACTGTATGAAGCACTTGCAGAAGCATGTTCACACGCCCACTCAGTACTCACTTCGATACTTGGCCACGGCCACGCAGGTGGCATCTACGCCGTCGACTTCAACACTAACGAAGATAAATTCTCGTATCCTTCTGACATGAACAGCTTAATATGTATGCTATTTGAGATCGTAAAACGCCTTCACGACCAACTTTATTTCCTGTATAGACAATGTATGCATGACAGTAAGCTTAGTGGTTGGTCAGACTGTTGGTATGGTCACGATATTGGTGGTACAGCATGGAAGTGTAATACCCTCCAATGTCCCAACCAATCAGGTGACCAAATTGCCAACCAAACACATAAGCAAACATGTAACCAAAAGTGCAACCAAAGTGTTAGTTGCGGTGTGAAATCACCTTTGCAATCGTTCCTCGAGGATGGCCTTCAGGGCTTCCTACCTCACAGCCTCAAGTCTGAGAGAGGCAAACTTGAGTGTTCAGTAAAACCGCACTTTAACTTACCATGTAAAACGCCGATGGGTTTCTCAGATATTAGTCACATGGCATCGCATAGGCAAACTGGTAGGCATATAAGAGAAGCGCTTTTCGATGTTTGCAGTGGCGAATGGTCTGCTTTCAGTAGACTCTGCAGCCTCCTGAACTGTCTGCTGCCTAGTGCTCCCAAAACGTTAGATGACATGTTCGGTTTCTACTTTAATCTAGTCAATGGGTGGAATAAGACGGCAAAGCAGGCCTTCGATAACGCCATCAACGAAGCTAATTTCAACCGCACCAACGCACGGTTGGACATTAGTGCAATATTAAAGAGCAACGATCATGGCTCCGGCGATAATATGCCACATCTGAAAGGTGATCTCCATTCCCTTGTGGACTGCAAGTATAATGGAGAGTCACATCCAGCCTATCCATGTGGTCCATATGTGCAGCCATTGTGCTACTATCGGTGCGGCATTTTTGCTGCTAAGAACAATGATAAATATGTCTCATGGATTGTTTACTTGACAGAGTCATTCCTGGAGTTGCTTGAAAAATTGTACGAGGAATGTTGCAAAAACTGCGACTCCGCAACGTCTAAGTGCAAAATTAGTAAATGTAAGGATGATTGCAAAGCTAAAGACGCAAAGATGTCTGTAGCCTCTACTCACAATGGGTCATGTAATTCCATAGTACATTGCAACCTTATGCGTCCCACCATGTATAGATGTGGCTTCGTGTTTCAGAGCATATATAAACTAAGCGGCACGAAAAGTGTCGAAACGAAACGTACATGTAAAGATTTCTGTAACGCATTGAAAAAAGTTATTAACAAGGAAGAAAAATTACAACATGTGCTTGCCCATTTCGTATACAGGACAATTCCTGAATACCTGCTAAAAATAAGATTCCCATTCATGTCTTTATTACTCACCCTCTGGTCGCTCTCGCTCCTGTACCTGCTGCACATCACCGTCGTCCGCCTCGACGTCCTCAGGATACGCTCCCACCTGAGGTCACCCTCAAGCCACCGCATCGCCGCGCAGTCCCTCCTCGCCGCCGCACGCGTCAAGGCACTCGCCAACGTCAAGTACTTCTCACCATAATCGTGCCTTCACGTGTGATCTGTGTATCACTCACTCACCCACTCAACCACTCACTCAACCACTCAACCACCCACTCAACCACTCAACCACCCACTCAACCACCCACTCAACCACCCACTCAACCACCCACTCACCCACTCACCCACTCACCTCCTCTTTCACTGGTCGCTTCGCTCCCTCCATCACCCCCTTCCATCACCTCCTCCGTCGGCGTCCTACACCCAAAACCTCATTTTCCACTTCCTCCCTCCACCCCTAGAATCGCCTTACCTCCACCCATCTCCCTCCTCCATCGCCCTCTTTCGCCCCTTCACCTCCCTCACCTTGTCCACCCACCTCCCTCGCTGCCTCACTGCCTCCTTGACCTAAAATCGCCTTTCTCCAAAATCCCCCAAATCGCCCTAAAAATGTGCCTAAAAATAATCTTTCAACATTTCTCAACTTCTTCATTTTCCTCTTATTAGCCCTCTGGTCGCTGTCGCTCCTGTACCTGCTGCACATCGCCGTCGTCCGCCTCGACGTCCTGAGGATACGCTCCCACCTGCGATCACCCTCAAGCCACCGCATCGCCGCACAGTCCCTCCTCGCCGCCGCACGCGTCAAGGCACTCGCCAACGTCAAGTACTTCTCACCATAATCGTGCCTTCACGTGTGATCTGTGTATCACCCACTCACCTAATCACTCACTCAACCACCCACTCACCCACCCACTCACCCACTCACCCAACCACTCACTCACTCACTCACACACCCACTCACCCAACCACCCACTCACCCACTCACCCACTCACCCACTCACCCAACCACCTAACCACCTAACCACTCACTCGCTCACCCACTCACTCAACCACTCAACCACCCACTCACATACTCACTCACTCAACCACTCAACCACTCAACCACTCACATACTCACTCACCTACATACTCACTCACCCACCCACCCACTCACCCACTCACTCAACCACTCAACCACCCACTCACATACTCACTCACTCAACCACCCACCCACTCAACCACTCACTCACATACTCACCCACTCAACCACCCACTCAACCACTCACACACTCAACCACTCACCCACTCAACCACTCAACCACCCACACACTCACTCAACCACTCAACCACCCACTCAACCACCCACCTCCTCTTTCACTGGTCGCTTAGCTCCCTCCTCCATCACCCCCTTCCATCACCTCCTCCGTCGGCGTCCTACACCCAAAACCTCATTTTCCACTTTTCCCCTCCACCTCCAAAATCGCCTTACCTCATCCCATCTTCCTCCTTCATCGCCCTCTTTCGCCCCTTCACTTCCCCCGCCTTGTCCACCCACCTCCCTCACTGCCTCCTTGACCTAAAATCGCCTTTCCCCAAATTCCCCCAAATCGCCCTGAAAATGTGCCTAAAATAATCCTTCAACATTTCTCAACTTCTTCTCCATCACCTTGTTAGCCCTCTGGTCGCTGTCGCTCCTGTACCTGCTGCACATCGCCGTCGTCCGCCTCGACGTGCTGAGGATACGCTCCCACCTGAGATCGCCCGCAAGCCACCGCATCGCCGCACAATCGCTGCTCGCCGCCGCACGCGTCAAGGCACTCGCCAACGTCAAGTACTTCTCACCATAATCGTGCCTTCACGTGTGATCTGTGTATCACTCAACCACTCAACCACTCACCCACTCACTCACTCAACCACTCAACCACCCACGCACCTCCCTCCTTCACTGGTCGCTTCGCTCCCTCTCCATCACCCTTCCCTCACCTCCTCCGTCGGCGTCCTTCACCCAAAATCCTCGTTTTCCATTTTCCCCCTCCACCCCCTAAATCGCCTTATCCCATCCCATCTTCCTCCCTCATCGCCCTCTCTTGCCCCTTCACTTCCCTCACCCTGTCCACCACCTCCCTCACTCCCTCGCTGCCTCCTTGACCTAAAATCGCCTTTCTCAAAAAATTCTAAAATTCTCCAAAAGTGTCCATTTCACCTCCTCTAATTGCCCTTTAACCTTTTTTCCACTTTCTTCTCTCACCTCTTTTGCCCTCCCTCCTTGGCCTCCTTCGTCGGCCTCCATCGACTGGCTGATCCAGGTTAGGCATGGTGGAGATAAGAAAGGCCTTGAGAAGTTGGGTGGAGCTTTGCAAAGGTTGATTGGTGAGGCTATTCAAAAAGCTGATACAAGTCTGGGTGATAGAGAAAAGGAACTTAAATGCCCTGATGAATATTATACTAATTATGAACAATGCCATTGTAATGTGAAACAGAAGGAAATTGACGAAGCTAAAAATGCTGTTGAATCTGTTAAAAATTCTGAAAACGAGTCTAAGTTACTTGAGCTTAAATTCGACAAAGAAAAACACTACAATGAAGTTCATTACCTCACTGAGGATGCCAGAAATAAAGCCTTGGGTGATATTGATGCCCGCCGTATCTCTCTCGGTCAGCTTGCTGGACAACTTATGGGATTTATTGGCAAAAGTGAGGAAGTTCAAAATGCACTTGTAAAGGGTTTGCAAAGTAATGTAAATCAGCTTGATAAGCTTTTGAAAGCATCTTGCGGAGATAAGGGGTGTTGTGAGTATAATGATGAAAAGTTCATTAAGGAACAACTTAAAAGTGTTCAAAATAATTTTAAGGAAGCTGAAAAAGATGATAAAAGGCTTAATAACATCCTTGCTGATGGGAACATTACACAACTTCAATCTCAATTGGTACAGCCTAAAAAGCAAATTCAGCAAAAAATTGATGAGCTTAATCAAAGAATTTCTGAGCTTAAAAAAGCTGATGAAAATGCCAAAAAATCTGGTCAGTCTCTTCAAAATGCCTCTGAAATTGACAAGCTTAATAAGGATCTTGACTCTCATAATGCTTCCAAGAGGTCTCTTGAGACACTAAGTGGGATTTGTGGATATGCTGTTTCACTTATTCAAAAACCTAAAAATGATGGAGAATGTAAAGATATTTTAGATAAATTGTGTTCCGGTCTTGAAAATTTCCTAGGCTTCAACCCAGAGTCCAAAGGCTACTCGGGCACTGGCATCGTGTACTCGGACCTTGACAGGCTGTGTGACGGGGTGATGGCGTTTTTGCACGGGGTGCTTCAAGATGTCCACACCAAACAGCCTTACAATGTTGGTAAAACTATACTACATGAGAATGTTTTGAGTCATTTTAATGGTAATTTGTGTTCAGGTCATAATGGTTTTAAGAGTGTCATTGAGACTGTGGCACAGGGTGTCGGGAGGTATAATGAGGGTGTCAAGGCGTCGAACAAAAAGGTGAGTGAGCCAATTACTGACATACTTTTGCAGGTCGGAGAAGAGTTCAAGAAAAAGGTGAGTGATGTATTGAAAGATAATGTTGTTGCAGGTGACGCCAACAAGAAAATTCAGCAAGCCAAGTGGGACGTGGACATGAGACTGGAAGAATGTCAAGAAAACGCAAGGACGTTCAATGATACATTGAACGTTGATAAGCACACAGATATCAAACAAGCGATTAATGACTTAAATCCCACGTTAGCACTTAGAGTTAATAACGCATTGAGGGCGGTGAGCCATGAGAGTGACAGGCTTAAGGCCTTGTCAGATAAGCAGAAAATTGACTTGCAGGCCGCGACGGAGAAGATAACAGAGGTTATGAAGAAGCACGGAAAGGAAGTTAATTGCAAGGTGACTGATCAAGTAAGTGTGCTCGTGGATTACTTGAAGAGGAAAGTTGAAGAGATTTTGAGACTCCTTGAAGGCATTAACAAAAGGCTGCAGGACTATGTTGCCGAATTGGGAAGATGGTTCGACAAAGCAAATGATGCCATTAAAGTGGCGGAAAAGAAGGTTGAAGCCATATTAAACCAGGTTAATGGTTCGAGTAAGAATGCTTTCGAAACCGCCGCCACACTGGTTCAGTCGGCGGCAGAACAGATGGGTGAAGTTGTGGAGGCCGGTAAGAAGCGAGTTGCGCAAGACGTTGCAGCGGCGTTGGAGAAAGTGAAAGGGGTTAACTTGGCGCTTAAGACAGATTTGAAATTGTTGAAAGAGCAAGTTGCTGAGGGTATTCGGACGTATGTTCAGGGATATGTCAGCGCAATCAGGTCGGTAGTTATCAAAATTAAGGGTGGTTCAAGAGATAAGAAAGGTCTACAGGGGATTAAGGATAGGGTAAGGGGGTGTGCCACTGACTTCAAGACTAATTTCCAGAAGGCAATTGGAGAGATGGTTAAAACGCTTGTGGATAGTGACGGGATACAGAAATTGCTTGCATGGTATTTCGACAATAACCGCCATACAACATTAAATGGGAAGAATCTTAATAATTTGACAGATGCCATTAAAAATCAATTCAAAACAATTACATCAACATCTCCAGCAATCAAGGCCAGTGATGATGTTCAAGATACTCTGCAGAGTATACAGAAATATCTTGAGGGATACGCTGCCGCGGTGAATGGTAAACTTAATGGAGGGATGTCTGGATTTATCCGAGATATGTTTGCTTCTCACCTAAGTGGTAGCACGTATTCGTATGACCAACACCTCGAAAAAACCATCAAAACCATTCTTACAGCAGCCCATTCCACTGTCGAGCGAGTTAACGAGGAGCTTAAATCTTTGACCACCGACGATGCTCCCCCTATCTTCAACCTTGGCAAGAACATCAACGACGCATTCTCTGCGGCTGATGGTATTGTTAACAAGCTTAAAACAGCGGTTACAAACGGCGCAGTGGACCTCGCCACAGCGTCAGCGATAACTCCCAATGGACCCTACAACCTCGAAGATAGAATTGATCTAAAGGTCAATGCTGTACTGGATTACATAATAGGGAAGGAGGATTTACAAGGTAAAGTTCCCATTAAAACTACGATATTCGGGGCCTATAAAAATTACATTAACCAAGACACGCCTGTCACCTCCGCCACTAAGCCCGATCAGCTGAAAGGCCATCTCCCAGAGGCTATCAACACAATTCAAACCGAGTTAACCAAAGCCCTACAGCCAATCGACCAGGCTTACGCTACCCTCTTTCTTCAGGTATCCGACATTAACTCCAGCGTTAGCCAACTATGCCATGCCATTAACGAGGCGGCGGGGAAAGAGCAAACGGATCCCCAATACAAGGACAGTATCAAGAAAAGATTAAGCGACTTGAAAGCTCTAATTAATGATGACGTGGCTACTATCAACGGCAAGAAACACAAAGGTCTGAGCAAAATCCACGCGGAACTTGACGAATTGCGGAGTAGCTTGATGAGCGGCCCAATGAAAAAGGCCCAGGATTTCATCCGTAAAGAAGTCAGTACTATCAAGCTACAAACACTCACATGTATCCACAAATATGTTGACCAAAAGGTCACAGAAGCGGAAAATGCACTCACCGCTCAGGCACAGAAGCAATATGTGACGTCCATTCAGGCGATGCTCAAAGCGTTCTGCGAAAAGGTCGAGAAGGATCTGCATGGCCTCCCTGAAGAAATAGCTGCGGACCTAGAAAAAGGACACAAATGGTTCATGGACAGATTTGACAGGCATTTTGTTGCCAAAGTTGATGAAATTAAAGCAATTGAAAATATCATCCCCATGTCCATGCCTAAAAAGGAGTCTCCGCTGAGCAAAGGTGCAGAAATATTGAAAGAGGCCTCCAGAGACCTATTTGCCAAATTGAAGGCACAAAAGGATTTTGACTCAGACTACAAGTTGACGAGGTCATTAAACGCGGCCCTGACCAAATTGCTGGGAGGCCTTACAACATCTCAACACTTCGACGATGCGTTCTCTAAAAATTTAGAGTCAGTCAAAAATGAGCTTCATAAATTCCAAGCGTCCAAATTCGGCGACGGCGACTACCCATGGCTGCTAGAGTCATTTAGAAAGGGCTTCAATGCTTTCACCGGGGAAATGGAAAAGGCGTACGTGTCTTACTACTCTGGGCGTACTATAAAGTGGAATAGCGCCGGTGAGGCTGAGAGAAATAAATATGCCGAAATATGCGTGACCATAATGCGCATCCTCTACACAGATTTATTCAGGCTTAAAGCAGAGCTTGATGGATCAGATACCAAATGGACAGCGTATAATATTTATAATCCTAGAAAGTCTACTCACAGCTTACATAAATTATTTTTCCGCGACAGCGGGTATGATCCTTCTCTTCCAGGAAACACAGCACACGGCGAGTTGAACCATAAGACAGTGTTCACGGGTAAACAAATTAAAGGTCTACTCGACCATGTATTACCGGGAGCATCCCAACTCAAAATAACCATTAAGAACAAACAACACAGTGACGTGAATGTTTTACAAATTATTCAGTACTTAAACAATCACGTAAATAAGTACTACGATGCCTGCCACCTTAGACTTCCATCCTCTACGAAATATCCATGTTCCATTAGAGACATCCTGTCGTGGTTTTCCGGTCTGCCGCATACGGCGGTGTATGGCAAAGTTTTTAACCATTGCCACCAGTTGCTTAAAAAAGATGCGTCATACCAAAACGACCCGGTGCTCAAGCCTCTCCTCGATCTTGACCTGTTTAGTTATATAGTTTACACCTGCAGAAAATCGCACGATGTCCTTGCTGCCATACAAGGTCATGGCAATGGCGCTCCAAATGCCGACTATCCCTACGCGTCCAATTTCTGCGACAACTCACGTAGCTTATACTATCCGTCGGAGGTATCCGCCCTATTAGATATGCTCTACGATGTTGTCAAACGTCTATGCTACGCGCTATATTTCCTGTATACTCAGTGTCTAAATGGCGCCTCTGCTTCCAATGGGTGGAGGGGCTGTGCATACGGCCAAGCTATCCCATCACCAAGGTGGCAATGTAAGGGCCACCCAAACACCAAACCTAGCGACCAACCAAATAGCCACTCAACTGACCAACCAAATTGCCAACCAACGTCACCATTACAAGGTTACCTAACAGACACTTTACCCGGTTGGCTACCACATAGGTTGACATCCGTCGGTTGTTCAGCTAAATGCGCCACCTGTACCAAAGCCTCCCGTGGTCAGCAATGCATAACCCCGATGGGCTTTTGGGACTTGTATGATGCGGGGTCAATTGTAGGAAGTGGTAAAGATATATGTAAGCTGCTTGCCGACTTGTGCGCTGATGCCGATGCAGTGCTCTTCAAACTCTACAGAGGTCTGTCACTCCTGTCTCCGTCGCCACCTAAAACATTGGGGGACATGACGTCCTTTTTCTGTCACCTCCTACGTCTGTGGGATTCGTCCAAGAAGTTTGCCGCCAACAGTGAACTCACGTATCACATGAATGACAAAACGATACCTAACTGCTTCCCACTTCAGCCCACCCTTCATGGTAGTCCTGATGCGTCTCAACTCACCAATGCTCTCCGAGATCTATATTATTATAAGGATGGGCACAACGGTAAAGCTGCAAAGGATGACACGCACTGCGACCTTTCAAGCCTTGTGGCCTCATCCACCTTATGCCTAGGCCGTTTGTGTACACCGTATCTCCAACCGCTGTGTCACGACGGCAGTCATACCTATGCACTGAAGCACGCAAACCTCTATCTGTCATGGCTTACTTATTTGCCTTTTGATTTCTACAATCTTCTGAAATCACTGTTCGACGCATTCTGCAACATCGATTGCAAAGCGTCCGGTTGCCCGTCGTGTAATTGTCCAACCGGAAAGCACGGCGTCACTGAACCAAATCCCGAACCAAATGGCAAACCAAACACCGAAGCAAGCACATCGCCAAGCGCCCAACCAACGTCCGAACCGAACGCCCAACCAAAACCCGGATGTCACTGCCAGTCAATCGTTCAGTGCACTGGTGTTCAACCAATGCTGTTTAAATATGGGCTCACTTTCGGCAACCCAGAAAGGTTGATGAACGGTTCAAGCAGGAAAACGTGCGACAATTTCTGCGCACAGCTGAAAAAAGTTATCGAGTCAGATCATTTCAGGAAATTGTTCAAGGTCATCGACAACTTCATCTGGGCAATACGTACACCCTTCTCATACCTTTTAGTCACCCTCTGGTCGCTCTCGCTCCTCTACCTGCTGCACATCGCCGTCGTCCGCCTCGACGTCCTGCGCATCCGCTCCCACCTGAGATCACCCTCAAGCCACCGCATCGCCGCGCAGTCCCTCCTCGCCGCCGCACGCGTCAAGGCACTCGCCAACGTCAAGTACTTCTCACCGTGATCGTGCCTTCACGTGTGACCTGTGTATCACTCACTCACTCACCCACCCACTCACTCAACCACCCACTCACTCACCCACCCAACCACTCACTCACTCACTCAACCACTCACATACTCACCCACTCACTCACCTAACCACCCACTCACTCACCCACTCACTCACCTAACCACCCACCCACTCAACCACTCAACCACTCAACCACTCAACCACTCACCCAACCACTCACCCAACCACTCACCTAATCACTCACCCACTCACATACTCACTCACCCACTCACTCACCCACTCAACCACTCACTCAACCACTCACCTCCCTCCTTCACTGGTCGCTTCGCTCCCTCCTTCACCCTCTCCATCACCTCCTCCGTCGGCGTCCTTCACCCAAATCCTCATTTTCCACTTCCTCCCTCCACCCCCAAAATCCCCTTACCTTATCCCATCTTCCTCCCTCATCGCCCTCTTTCGCCCCTTCACTGCCCTCGCCTCCTCCACCCACCTCCCTCGCTGCCTCCTTGACCTAAAATCGCCTTTCCCCAAAATCCCCCAAATCGCCCTCAAAATGTGCCTAAAATAATCCTTCAACATTTCTCAACTTCATCACTTTCCTCTTGTTAGCCCTCTGGTCGCTGTCGCTCCTGTACCTGCTGCACATCGCCGTCGTCCGCCTCGACGTCCTGAGGATCCGCTCCCACCTGAGATCGCCCTCGTCGCACCGCATCGCCGCACAGTCGCTCCTCGCCGCCGCACGCGTCAGGGCACTCGCCAACGTCAAGTACTTCTCACCATAATCGTGCCTTCACGTGTGATCTGTGTATCACTCAACCACATACTCACTCACTCACTCACTCACTCACACACTCACCTAACCACTCACTCAACCACTCACTCAACCACTCACTCAACCACTCACTCAACCACCCGACCACTCACCCACTCAACCACCCACCCACTCACTCACCCACCCACTCACTCAACCACTCAACCACCCACCCACTCAAACACTCAACCACTCACTCAACCACCCAACCACCCACTCAACCACTCACTCACTCAACCACCCACTCACCTAATCACTCACCCACTCACTCAACCACTCAACCACTCACACACCCACTCACTCACCCACTCACTCAACCACTCAACCACTCACACACCCACTCACTCACCCACTCACCCACCCACTCACTCACCCACTCACTCACCCAACCACTCACCCACTCACTCACACACTCAACCACTCACTCAACCACTCAACCACTCACTCACTCACCCACCCACTCAACCACCCACTCACCTAATCACTCACCCACTCACTCAACCACTCAACCACTCACCCACTCACCCAACCACTCACCCACTCACTCACACACCCACCTAATCACTCACTCACTCAACCACTCAACTACTCACCCACTCAACCAACCACCCAACCACTCACTCACTCACTCACCCACTCAACCACTCACTCACCCACTCAACCACTCACTCACCACTCACCCCACTCACCCACTCAACCACTCACTCACCCACCCACTCACCCACTCACTCAACCACCCACTCAACCACTCACTCAACCACTCAACCACTCACTCAACCCCTCACTCAACCACTCACCCACTCAACCACCCACTCACCCACCTAATCACCCACCCACTCACCCAACCACTCAACCACCCACCCACCCACTCACCCACTCACTCACTCACTCAACCACCCACCCACCTACTCACCCACTCAACCACTCACTCAACCACTCACCTCCTCCTTCACTGGTCGCTTCGCTCCCTGCCTCCTCCTTCATCACCTCCTCCGTCGGCGTCCTTCACCCAAATCCTCATTTTCCACTTTTTCTCTCCACATCCTAAACCGCTTCTCCCCAACCCTTCTCCCTCCTTCATCGCCCTCTTTCGCCTCCTCACCTCCCTCGCCCTGTTCACCCACCTCCCTCATCGCCCTCTCTGCCTCCTTGACCTAAAATCGCCTTTCTCAAAAAATTCTAAAATTCTCCAAAAGTGTCCCTTTCCACCTCCTTTAATTATCCTCTAACTTTTTTCCACTTTCTTCTCTCACCTCATTTGACCTCCCTTCTTGGCCTCCTTCTGACTCCTCTAGTAGCCTTGTCTCCTACTGTGATCACTTGAGTAACGAAATTAATAACCTTAAATCTCAAAATAACTTTGATGAAAATAAGCTTAATAAACTTCAATCTGACTTAAGCAGCCACAAAAGTGAAGTGCACAACAATACGTCCAAAAGGGACAATGCGTTGAAGGACATCCACTCCAGGATGGTGTCTCTTGCTGACCTTAGTGGGAAGCTTGGCCAATTTATTGGCCAAAGTGACGCTGTTACCAAAGCAATTAATGATGCTATTACAGCTATTATTAACAGTCATGATGAATTCAAAAGCCTTAGAAACTCTCCGTCTTCGCCTGCGCAGTCTTCTGGTTCCGTGCCTGCTGAGCTTATAAATGTTGCTGAGCTTCTACAGAAAATTCAGCATTTTAAGAAAGAAATTGCGTCACTTGAAAAACGTAAAAGCGACCAAAATCCTTCCCTCTCCTCTGAAGATTCTCGCCTTTTATCCTCTCATCAGTCCAAGTTGCAGTCTCTTCAGAGGCTGAAGAGCCTTAATGAGTCTTTTGAATCTCTTAGTAATAATAATGATAACTGTAAAAATCTTTTAGAGAGTCTTTGTGGAGGCCTCGAAAAATTTCTCGGCCTCAAAGATGGTAATTACACCGGAGAGGGAATCGTGTACTCGGACCTTGACAGGCTGGCCGACGGGGTGATGTCTTTCCTTCATGGAGTTCTTGAGAGTGTGAAAGATGATGATAACGTTACGAAATATGATAATTATCTTAATACAAATGAGAAATTGAATGATGTCCTTCAACATCTCCACTCTTCCATTGGCCAGGGACGCAGTGTATTTGGTCCGCAGGTCACTGCGGTGAGTGATTGGCTTGGGAGGTATGAAGGGGAGGTGAACAAGAAATGTGAAGAGTTTAAGAAGCCTATTACAATCCTAAAGGAAGAGATGAAAAAGCATCATGATAAAATACAGGAAGAAAAAGAATTTAATGAGCTTTCATATTTGGTGAAGGAGTGGACCCACCGTGCGCAGTGGTATATTGATAGAGCTAAGGACGCCGAAAACGCCCTAAAAAACATCGATCCCGCACTGTCAGGTAAGTTAACTTCTCATATTAAAATGCTGTTGCAGGCAACTGGAACGTTCAAGGAGGCGGCGGGGAATGATGATTTGAAGGAGATGTTCATGTATGCCGGCGCGAAGATGTCTGCCGTTGTTGAATTTGTGGATGTAAATTTTCGGGAGAAATCTGCATGGCTTCAGCAATATTTGCGAAAAAATCTCGGTGATTTGCTGAAGAAGCTTGAGGATTTGCGTACTGGCAAATTTAAGACGTTAGCTGATTCAGTTAACAAGGATCTTTTGGGGGCATTCAGCAAGGTGAAACAAGGGATCAATGGTCTTGTTCCAAAGTATAGGACGGATGTTGTTGACAAGGTTAGAGATATAAAAAATGCGTCTGACGATTTTAATAAGAAGTTTCCGGTGACAAGAAATGCGCTCGAGAAGACGATTACGGAAGTTGAGACTCAACTCGGTAATTTTGCTAAGCTTGCTCGTGTTTCAAATGCTGCAGGTCTCGCGGTCACCGCGCCATTTTTGACTGCGATTGGTAACGATGATGATGACGATGAACCATTTCAAGGTCTCACAACGTATTTTGTCCTGCTTGACCAACAAGTTATGCAACATGTAAAGGATGCAATGGATGGCATAGGAAATGTCTTGAAGAATTTGGTGCCCTTCAGTCAGGGAAACGCATATGTAAAAGCGGAGGGACAAAATATTAAAAAAGCAAATACGGCGCTGCAAAAACTAAAAGAAATGACCGTGTCTCTGGACGGTTTTAAGATTGGCGATCAGGATATTGAGGTCAAATTCGTCGAACTTAACCATTTGAAAATGGAGAGTGAAATTGGGGAGATTAAGGCAGCAGTGGATGAGTTTGATAGGGATGCGTACAAAGTCATACTTCCATTCAAAACAATCTATCCCAAATTAGTGGCATTCACCAAAGACGTCTCGGAGCACTCCCAACAGGTTGTAGAAAAACTCATGGAGAAAATCGAGAGTCAAGTTAAAATGGAGATCAAGGCTGTTGCAGGGGCTATCGAAGCTATGGTTACGCAGATTAAAAAAGGTGTGAATCACGATACTGACGACAGGGACGTTGATTACGGTAATTATGGCGGCGGCAGCCAGACCGCCGCCGGGCTCGCAAAATTGGTGAATACTTTTAAAGCGGATATTGACGGTGCGCTCGCAACGCTTGAAGAGAGTGTCGGTAAGGAGGATCAAACGAAAGACGGCGATAGTATTTACTCAAATTTGAAACAGCTTAGTGAGGACGTTCAAAGGCTTGGACAGAGTGTTGCCGACGTGCGGGATAAAGTAAAATCCGTTGGCAACCAGCTCAGCGTTTGCATTGCTCAGGCAGAGAGACTCATAACTGCTGCGCCTCAAAGGACTGCATCTGTCTTTACACAATTGCGCTCCGACGTCAACTCCAAAATCAACTCCGCCTTTACCGCCCTCCAAACCCAAGCCAAATCCCTCTACACCGACCGCAAGACAAAGGAAGTCACCGCCCTGCAGAAGATCGTTGACGAACAGTTTAAGGAGATTGAGAAGATTATAAACGCTGACAAGATTCTCGGCCTTAAAGGGTATCTCAATAAATTGAAAGAGAAATTCATGCCCTCCGTCAATGAGTTTGCTCAGAGCCTATCTTCACCCCCAGAGCCACAAGAAAAGAAAAAGCTTGCCGACTTGGCGCCGAAGGTCAAAGAAGGCTTCGAAAATTTCTTCAAAGATTTGCAAGGACAGGGCGATTTGACAATTCTCTCCCTTCGCTTTGCAAAGTTATCTGAAAAATTTAATGCTTTACTTAGCCCGCTTACCCACTATAACCATGCCTTTACAAATAATTTAGAGACACTTAAAAATGAAGTTTATAGTTTATGTCAGTTGATATTAGCCAACAACGCTCAGAAAGTCTCCCTGAGTCTCAGACAAGGACTCGACAAATTCACCGAGGAGCTCACGAAGGCGTATGTGAACGTGTACGACGGCGGTTATAGAATCAACTGGAGTGACGAAACCGAAACAATCTACGGTGCCAAAATATTCTGCACAATCTCACCGATTTGGCTTGATGACCTAACTCGGCTGAGGAGGAAGTGTAGGCCGGGGGGATTGTGGAAAGAAAAACTAATTAATACGTCTATCGAAGATGCAAATCACAACGGCGTTAATCCACTTGGTGCCTTCCTACACAAATGTGGATACATTGTTTCAAGAGAGAAGCAAGATGGCGAATTGCGGAATAACAATGAGTGCAAAGGTGAACACATTTACGAGCTTCTCAGAAGAGATTCAAGTTATCTCGTTAGATCGCATGACGAACAGAATGACGCAAGTAGTGCAAGTTTGCGTGGTATCCTCAGAACACTCTGCGACTACATCAAGCATTACTACGAAGCTTGCCACCTTCCCACTATAACATCACCTAAATATCCTGCTTCCGTCCATCAGATGCTCACGTGGCTCACAGGCCTCCCTCACAATCCCGTGTATGACTCATTAGCACTCGACGGCTTCGGTGCCCTGTTTGAGAAGCCTGACAAGGGCGCCGAAAGTAATGATGCAGCCGATCCCCTTGTTCTAGAGACAGACGACGACATATTGCCTGCGTACCCTCAAGACATCACTGCGAATAGCCTACGAAGCATTCTCTCAGAGGTGTGCTACTACGCCGAAGAAACATTGATTGCGATCCTTGGCCACGGCCACTCGGGCGGAATGTACGCCTGCGACTATAACACTAACTCAGCAAAATTGACATACCCAAGTGACGCATCTCAATGTTTATATTTATTGGTAGAAATAGTGAATAGGGTGTTCCATCAGCTGTGTTTCCTGCAAAACCAGTGTACCTACGAAAGCGATATTAGTGGTTGGGCCGACTGCTGGTATGGTAAGCATGTCGGCGGATCTAACTGGAGATGCAACGACTTGCAGTGTCCTAGGCAAATGGCTGACCAAAGAGGTGACCAAACGTGTAACCAAAAGTGTAACCACCAGCCTAACTGCGGCATTAAGTCACCACTCCAATCGTTCCTCGAAGATGGTTTGCCTGGTTTCCTGCCGCATCCGTTCGACAAACCCGATTGCAAAATGACCTGTTCCCTTGCTAATCACAGAGGCATTCCGTGCAAAACGCCAATGGGATTCGGGGACATTAGTGTTGCAGCGTCTCATACCGAGAAGGGTGAACGCTTATACGCTGTACTTGACGATTTCTGTGGCGATGCAGATAAGCCGCTTAGCAAACTTTGTGGTTCTTTGGCGTGCCTATTGACTACGCCGCCGAAAACACTAGGTGACATGTTCTCGTTCTACCACCAATTCCTTAACGGGTGGAACGGCAGTGGCATCCACAGGAGGGGAGCATTTGAACAAGCCGTTACAAGAGCCAACTTCGAAGCACAGGGGACGGACTTGGACGTTACTCCAATATTCCAGAGCAGGGATCATACAGGCAACTCAACAACCCATGCTAACGGTGACCTGTTCATCCTAGTCAGCTGCAACGGTGGGAGCGCAACGCTGGATCCAATCGGTACCTGTGGACCGTATCTGAAACCGCTTAACGACGATACCCGCGGTATGTTTTCCGAGAAACACGCAGACAAATATCTGTCTTGGATCGTCTATCTGACTGAAACCTTTTACGATTTGCTCTATAAATTGCTGGAAGATTGCAAAAAGAAATGCGGATCACCGGCATCCAGATGCAACCGCGAGACATGCGTGAAGGATTGCCGTGCTGTAATAACCTCTACAAAAAGCCCATCTTCAAATCACGAGACGTTATGCAAATCTATTGTCCAGTGCAATGCAGCACTTCCTAACCTTTACAAATATGGCTTCTATTATGGAAGCTCAACCGATCTGAATGGAACGTACGGAGATGAAAATAAAAGAACCTGTCAAGACTTTTGCAAGGCATTAGATAGAGTTCTCAACAAAGAAAAACATCTCGAACGTGCACTTGCCAAGCTAATATACGTCACCATACCAGATTTCCTTTGGGCTATCAGAACACCCTTCTCCTACCTGTTGCTAGCCCTCTGGTCGCTGTCGCTCCTGTACCTGCTGCACATCGCCGTCGTCCGCCTCGACGTCCTGAGGATTCGCTCGCACCTGAGATCACCCTCAAGCCACCGCATCGCCGCGCAGTCGCTCCTCGCCGCCGCACGCGTCAAGGCACTCGCCAACGTCAAGTACTTCTCACCGTAATCGTGCCTTCACGTGTGATCTGTGTATCACTCAACCACCCACTCACTCACCCACTCAACCACCCACTCACTCAACCACTCACCCACTCACCCACTCAACTACTCAACCACTCACCCACTCACCCACTCAACCACTCACTCAACCACCAACTCACCCACTCACCCAGTCACCCACTCAACCACCAACTCACTCAACCACTCACCCACCCACTCAATCACTCACTCACTCAACCACCCACTCAACCACCCACTCACCTCCCTCCTTCACTGGTCGCTTCGCTCCCTCCTCCCTCACCCCCTCCATCACCTCCTCCGTCGGCGTCCTTCACCCAAATCTAATTTTCCACATTTTCCTTCCACCTCCCAAATCGCCTTACCTCAACCCCTCTTCCCCCTTCATCGCTCTCTTTAGCCTCCTCACTTCCCTCACCCTGTCCACCCACCCCCTCGCTGCCTCCTTGGCCTAAAATCGCCTTTTCCCAAAGTCGCCTAAATCGCCTTTAAAATGTGCCATTTCATCTCCTTTAATTTTTATCTAACTTTTTTTCCACTTTCTTCTCTCACCTTAATTGACCTCCCTCCTTGGCCTCCTTCGTCGGCCTCCATCGACTGGTTGATCCAGGTTAAGCATGGGAATGGTAACACAAATGGTCTTAAGAACTTGGCTGATGCTTTGAAAAAGTTGATCGGTGAGGCTATTAATAGTGCCAATACTAGCCTTACTGAACGTCAAAATCACCTTAATTGTCTCGGACATCACTCCTTTGATAACACTCCTAAGTCCCACTGTCAGTCTCTTAACGAGCAAATTGACTCACTTAAAAACTCTGATAAATCCACTGGTAACTCACAAAACGACTCTAAAATTGCCGACCTTAAATCCCAATTGAAAGATCATGTTGCCAAGTATCACTCCCTTTCTGAGTCTGACAGGACTGCCCAGCTTAAGGACATCCAGTCCAGGATGGTGTCTCTTGCTGAGCTCAGTGGGAAGCTTGGCCAATTTATTGGCAAAAGTGAAGCTGTTACCAAAGCAATTAAAAATGCTATTAACACTATTATTGACAGTGATGATGACTTCAAAAGCCTTAAAAACTCTCCGTCTTCGACTGTGCAGTCTCCCGCTGCCGTGTCTGCTGAGCCTATAAATGGTGGTGAGCTTAGCAAGAAAATTAAGCATTATGAAGAGCTTAAAAAGCCTCTTGAAAAACGTCAAAATGACAAAATTTCTCCCCTCTCCTCTGAAGATTCTCGCCTTTTATCCTCTTATGAGTCCAAGTTGGATGCTCTTCAGAGGCTGAAGAGCCTTAATGAGTCATTGAGTTCACTTAGTAATAATAATGATAACTGTAAAAAGCTTTTAGAAAACCTCTGCACAGGCCTCGAAAAATTTCTCGGCTACAGTAATGGTAATTACACCGGCTCCGGCATCGTGTACTCTGACCTTGACAGGCTCTGCGACGGGGTGATGTCTTTCCTCCTTGAATGTCTTAAGGGCAGTGAACCTTTGTTAAAGCATTATTATAGTGATATTACAAATACTATTAGTGACTTGGAAAGTAAAATAGGTAAGGGCCATGGTGTTTCAGGATTTGCCTCTGCCATTGGGATTGTGCAGCGTGGGCTGCAGGGGTATGAGAGTTCTCTAAATAAGAAGATTAATGATGTTGTAGGTGATAAAACAGAACATAATGGGACGTTAAAAGCGCTGAATGACAACATTACAAAGAATATTCATGAAGTGAATAACTTGAAGTCTGCGTCTCTTGACGATGTAGTTGCCGACTTGGCCAAGAGGGTATATGCTGGATTGGAAGCAAAGGTAAATAAAGTTAAGGAGGTCATAAAACAGCTTGATGGAACGTTGCAAGCGAAGCTGAATAATGATTTTGAGAAGATTGACATGGAGGTGAGACACCTTAAAAAGAATGCGCAGGGTGACAGGTGGCGTATGGAGAAGTTGAAGGATAATGTAGATAAAGTGCTTACAGATTTGAAGAGCAGCGTGGATAAGGAGATCAGTCATAGGTTTTCAGCCATGAGAAAGACGTTGAACAGTGCCGTTTTGGATATTCAGGAAAAAGTTCGAGAAATCAACAAGAATCTGCAGCAGTACGTCAAGGAGCTGACGGAGTGGATTGCGGCGGCGGAGAGTATTTTGACGACAGCTTTGCAGAAGATTGAACAGATTTTAGATGGTGTAAAGGATGGGCGTGAGGGCAATAAAGGAGCTGGTCAAAAAACTGTAATCCATGAGAAAGCGGACGGCATGAAGACCAAAGCGGACAGGTTGCACGATGCGTATGAACAGGCTAGGGAGGACGTTGCCGCGCAGGCTTCATTAGCTGTTGGGAAAATTAAGGATTTGGAAAACGTTTATGTAAATAAGCTGAACAGTATGAAACAGAGTATTGATCAGAAGGTGCAGGACGCGACGAGTGCCCTTAGCGGGTTGAGTAGTAAAGTGACTGAGGGGTTGGAGCAGTTGAGAACGGGGCATGTTAATACGGCGATACAGAAAATGGTTCAGAGGCTTCAGCAGGGCATTGAGAGGGCTGGAGGAAGAGATGCTTTCAACGCAGCCGTTGTCATTCAGAATTTTTATGAAGGTCTGGAAAGTAGAGAGGAGGCCCCAAAGTTGCACGCATGGTCGGAACAGGCGATGCGTTCCGGCAGCCTTTTTAATACCATGAAAAATTTTGATAGCATTCCGCGTGCATTCTATACTCTTAAAGATGTTCTAAATCAGCTTAGTAAGCCCCAAAATAACAATGGCACCTTTTTCTCCGTCCTCACCGAAGACCTTCAGAAGAAAGTTGAAGATGCTATAAATAAAGTCAAGAAGTCCGACTTCCAAAATGTCTTCTCCATATTCCATAGAGAGATAACACAGGGCGGCGGTGATACAACAGTCCACGGAAAAATTGAAAAGATTAAGGATCAATTCAAGGATCAATTTGAGGGTGATCCGGGTCAACCTAAAATCAAAGATGAGAGTATGCCGCAACTTTCTGTGCAAAAAGAAGCTCTTTCAACTGAGATCAACAAAACTCATAATGAGGCTTTCCAGGCAGCCGACGGAATGATCTCAGGAGATAACATTCAGAAAGGCTTAACGTTCCGAGACTTACTCAGCGATATCACCGGCGAGCTCACAAGGATCGCTGGGATAGTTGACAATAATGCCGACGGTGACAAACAAGGCCTCAAGCAAATTTTGGAAGACCTAAAAACAAGCAAAATTAAGGGTAATAGTAAGAAGGAACAGCTCACCAAAATTAAACAACAACTTTCTGATCTCCAAAAAACTCAAGTCACCCAACTAGATGCCGCCGTCACCACGCTGCTTTCCAAAACACTCCCAGACGCCTTTCGGGATTGCAAGGAAGCCATTAAGAATCATCTCGGTGCCGAAGTTAGTAAAGCCAAAAAGGCTATCAAAAGTGACGCCTTAAATAGGTACGTTACGTCGAAAATTTTAGACCTTGAAGCTCTACATAAGTTTGTTGATGAAAAGCATGATGCCATCAGGGAGACTATATCTATAGACCTAACCACTGGAATAAAAGGGATGCTGGGGATGATGAAATATTGGTTGAATAAATCTACTATTTCAACAATTTCAACACACACATTATCTCAAGCGACGCAAATGTTTAAGACATTCTATGATGGACTTTGGACTTACATCGCCGGTCAAATCAACAAGCATCCATCCAAAGACAACGCCATGCAGGTCAACACAGAACTCACTGCTCTCCTCGCCAAAATCATATCCGAAAACCATTTCAGTCGTGAGGTCTCCGATTTAATCAAGATTGCATCCACTACCACCGAGACATTCGCACCCTCGAAGTTCACGGACGACGCCAATCCTCTGCTCCAGGTTTTGAAGGAGGGTGTTTTGAGATTTACTACTGAAGTTAACAGGGCATACGTCTCTGCTTATTCCGGCATACACTTTGAAGGTGTTTGGTGGACAACTGAACAGGTTGAAGATCCTGTTTCAAAAGACCCCAAACCTGTTGACAAGTTAAGCACCGAGGGCTGCAACTGCGCCAAGGTCTGCCTGACCATACTGGAGAGAGTGTATTATGATTTGCATACATTGTGGGCGAAGTGTGATATTAACAAATCCGATTGGAGAGATAATTATATCCACTCGGGTCTGCTTGATAAACCAACGCTAAAAAATGGAAAAGTGGTAAAAACAGAAAAAGTAAGAAATCCACTCGGAACATTCTTCGCCGAACGGGGCTACATAGTTGCCACCGATAAGGATAAGCATGATGGCGAATTAAGGAATAAAACGGAGTGCAAGGGTGAAGAAATTTATAAGAAGCTTATCACTGAAGTTCGCGGAGCGAAGAACATTTCGATCCTCGCTGAATGGAAGAATAGTAATGACAAAAACAAATTTCCTAGTAGTGGGTCAAATAATGCCCACATCTCTCTCTACGACATTGCCCATTTCCTTCGCGACTATTTTCGAAAGTACTATAAAGTCTGCCAACATAAGCGTATCGACAAGCCCAAAGCACCATCCAATATATATCAAATGCTTTGCTGGCTCTCTGGGCTCCGATTCAATCCGATGTATAGCAAACTCGGTGAGCACTTTAAGGAACTGTTCGACAAGCCTGAACAAAAGAAAGAAATGTCGTACAAAGAATTGTCCGATACGGAACTGAAACTCGTCGGCACTGCCACAATTACACCTAAGGAACTAAAAGATAAGCTTGACCAGGTTTGTTTGCGCTCGCAACTTGTACTAATCCACATCCTCGGTCACGGCCACGCCGAAGGGCGTTACGCCTGTGACTTCCGCACAAACATAGACAAATTATCCTACCCCTCTAACCCATCTGCGTGCTTCGACATGCTTTTAGATATATTGAATAGGGTGTTCTATCAATCATACTTCCTGTATAGCCAGTGTCGCAACAGCCCTGGTAGTAGCGGTTGGGCCGACTGCCATTACGGCAGGCACGTAGGCGGTTCATCATGGAACTGCAATGAGTTCCAATGTCCCAAGCAGGACTGTGAACATAAGCACAACCAAACATGTAACAAAAGTGGTGACCAAAAGGCCGACCAACACTACATGTGCGGACTGAAATCCCCGCTTCAGTCTTTCCTCGAGGACGGGCTCCAAGGTTTTCTTCCTCATACATTTATCTCACCCGGCTGCAAACTCACGTGCTCTGTGACTAAGCACTCTGGTATACCATGCCTAACACCGATGGGTTTCACGGAAATCGGTATTGTAGCCTCCCATACAAAGAACGGCACATATCTGAAGAACGCACTTTACGAATTCTGCAATCCAGGGTCTCACCTGAATCAGCTATGTAGTTATTTGCAATGTCTACTACGTCGACCGCCTCAGACTCTTTGTGATATGCTAGCGTTCTACTGTCAGTTCCTTAAGAACTGGAATAAGGGCGAACATAAAAAGACGGCATTTGACAAGGCCGTTATAAAGGCCAATTTCTGGAATGAGGAAACAACGCTGAACGTTGTATCTATACAAGGCAGTAAAACCCACTCCGACAAACACGACAAGGGAGACCTCTTCAGTCTCACAGATTGTTATCATAACACGCATTCGGGCCTACCATGTGGCAAATATTTGCAACCCCTCACTCTTGATGTTTATGACATATATTCAAAATATAATTCCAGCCGATATCTTTCCTGGGTGGTGTACACTACCGAGACATTCCTTGGGTTGCTCTACGATTTGTACGAGTCTTGCAAAAAGTGCGAGAAACCAGGCACCAGATGCAGTGATAAAAGCTGTGTTAAAACGTGTAAGGTAAAATACACTAATGAAAATGGAAATGCCGTAACTCCAAAGGATGACACAAAACATCAAGATGGATGCCATTCCATCGTCAAATGTCCGGATATGCATCCAACGCTGTATAAGTATGGATTCACCTTTGGTAGTCCACATAAACTAAGCGGACAAGATAAGGATACGAAGCTGAAAAGAACATGCAAAGATTTCTGCCACGCATTGAAAAGAGTAATAGGTAAAACTTGCGTTCTTGTTGATCTTATCCATGATATAGACAAACTCATTTGGGGAATACGAGAGAAATTCTCCTACCTCTTACTCACCCTCTGGTCGCTTTCGCTCCTGTACCTGCTGCACGTCACCGTCGTCCGTCTCGACGTCCTGAGGATACGCTCCCACCTGCGGTCACCCTCAAGCCACCGCATCGCCGCACAGTCCCTCCTCGCCGCCGCACGCGTCAAGGCACTCGCCAACGTCAAGTACTTCTCACCGTGATGGTGCCTTCACGTGTGATCTGTGTATCACTCACTCAACCACTCACACACTCAACCACTCACCCATTCAACCACTCAACCACTCGCCTAACCACTCACATACTCAACCACCCACTCACCCACCCACTCACCCACTCACTCAACCACTCACCCACTCACTCACCTAATCACTCAACCACCCACTCACTCACCTCCCTCTTTCACTGGTCGCTTCGCTCCCTCTCCTTCACCCTCTCCCCCCATCACCTCCTCCGTCGGCGTCCTTCACCCAAATCCTCATTTTCCACTTTCTCCCTCGACCCCTAAAATCCCCTTTCCTCAACCCATCTTCCTCCCTCATCGCCCTCTCTCGCCTCCTCACTTCACTCGCCCTGTCCACCCACCTCCCTCACTGCCCCTCTGCCTCCTTGACCTAAAATCGCCTTTCTCCAAATTCCCCCAAATCGCCCTGAAAATGTGCCATTTCATCCCCCTTTACTCCTTTTAACCCTCCCTTAATCCTCCCTCAATCCAATTATAATAACCATTACAATGAAGTTCATTACCTTACTCAGGATGCCAGGGATAAGGCTTTGAAGGATATTAAGGAGCGGACAAAGAATCTTGAAGGTCTTGCAAAAAAGTTGAAAGAATTTATTGGTGAAAACAATTCTGATAATCCTTCAAAAGTTATTTTAGAAAATCTCACTGAAGGTTTAGAAAAGTTTGTTGGTTACAATAAAGCGTCAAAAGGCTACGATGGCACTGGCATCGTGTACTCGGACCTTGACAGGCTCTGCGACGGGGTGATGTCTTTCCTTCATGGCGTTCTTGGCGCTGTAAATGACAATCCAAATTTGTCTAAATACAATAGTGTTTTGCCTGGTGTCCTTGATAAAATTACTGACGCTCTCTATAATAGAGAAAAGCATTTTGATAGTAGCATTCGCCAAGTGAGCGATGGGATTAGGCAGTGGGTGAGGGGGGTGGATGAAAGGAATAAAGGAGTGATGAGGCCGTTGGAGAGTCTTCAATTAAGAATAAATGGGCACATGGATGTTGATATGCATGATAATTATATCACCGATCAGTTGTCTACGTGGCAGGGATTTGCTGGCGATTACCTTCAGGAGGCAGAGAGGTCTGAAGAAGCATTGAGTAGAATTGACGATAGGCTTAAAGAACAGTTGTTGGCTAAAATAGAGTTAATTAAATCCGTTGCGCAAAATTTTTGGAATTCTGTAAATGATCCCACCGTCGATGTATCTGTTAAGTCGTTGAAGGAGAAGTTCACCGAAATTCCTCAAAACCTTAATAAGGAAATTGGGGCGAAAATCACAGCAGTGCAGAGCACGTTAAATGAGAAGTTTGAAGGTATCCGTGTAAAGATTGAACACATTAGACAGACGAAGGAGAGACATATTAAGTATATTAAGAATGCCGTGGAAGCGGCGCAGACGTTGGCGCAGAATTTGCTGAGTGACGAGAAGCCGGAGGGATTCAAAAAGGGTTTCAAGGAGAAAATATCTGAGAAGTTCACTGCAATAAAAACAAAAATAGAGACGTTAACTGACAAAAACAGTGTGCTCATGTTGAACTTCTTGAAAGCGGATGAATATGTCAAAGGCCTGGAAGACAAAGTGCGGCATGGGTTGCAGGAGTTATTGAAATCCATTGAAAGTATTGCCACAACTGTGAACGATTTGCAAAGTGGTCTTGTTAAAAATGAGTTGGAGCAGCTTGGAACGGCTAAAGGTATGCTGGATAGAATTGCGGGTCCTCAGGAGTTACATCTCACGGCTGGGGATAATCTCGAAAAAATGTTCAAGAGCGTGATTCAAAAGGAGCTTAGCAATTTGGTCACTGGAGTTGATCAACAGATCAAGGCGCTTTGCAGAACTGTCGGTAATACAAGTGGAACAAAAATTAAGGATTTTGTATCGCATGTAAAGGAAAAGGTCAACAAAATTCTGAACGGTGATCCAAGAACGGATAAAGGTTTGCAGGGGATTGAGACGGCGGTGAGGGAGTATGCGCAGGGGTTTACTGCGGGCGCACAAGGATTTGAGAGGACTTTGGAGACTTGGGTTACGGAGATATTGAAAAGTGAAATGGGGAAGAACAGCAGCGTGTTTAATGCTAAAATTAAGTTGTATGTCATGGACAATAATAATGGTAGGAGTGGCGATAAGTTCAATTCGGAAATTATAGACATCAGCGAAAATAAAATTCTGGATGCAGGAATACCGAAGATTGCAGGTATTATTCAGAAACATATTATGGAGCAGCTTCGCAGCGAGCTTACGTCAGCTCAGGGGAAGATTACAGCAGAGGATGCGAAGCTTGATCAAAACGTTGGTGCTGTAAAAGAAATTTGCACAACGTTTGTTAATGCGCTTGAAGGGAAGATTGTGAGTGCAAACATAACGGCCACTGAGGTAGCCGGTAAGATTGAGACGGAATCCGATGGCATTCGTACCAAGAAAAATAAGACTGGCGATTCAAGGCTTACCGACGCTGTTCAACATATCCTCAACGAGCTCACTGCCAAGGCCAGAAAAGCCGCCACAGAGCTCGAATGGCTCGCCAAAGCGGAGACAGTCGGGACCGAAGATAAATCCTCCATCGCGGCGGAGATCGACGCGGCTAAGGGGGTGGCTACTGAGCTTGATACTAAGCTTGGACAGGCGGTTACTTCTTTTTCCGTCATAACCGGGTTTGCCGGCAATGTTGACTCGGCGATGACGAAAGTGAGGAACAAGGTTGTGGAGCTTCCCGGCATCTTTAATTCCCAGGTCAAACAGCCACTTGATACTGCCGTCAAGCATCTATACGATATCGCCGAAAATCAGATCAAGAATGCAGCAGAGAAAGCGATCGAGGAGGCAGTTGCGGCATTCAAAATGGAGAGTGGCAATACCAACAAAATTGACGTGCCAACAATGATGACGCAATTTGAGGCGTCCAGAAAGGAACTGAATACTGCGGTTGATAATATTCAGGCACAGATCATGGAACTTCAGAAACTCCCCGGTACAGTTGATAGCCACAGCGCAGCGGCCGGTCAGACAATGGAGAATTTGAAACATAAAATAAAAGAGATCTCAGATAAAATTACCGCCAGCCTAACTCCCATCGACAATGCGAACAGAGCTTTTGACACTGCCATTTTACAGCTGCAATCAGCTCTAGAAGGGGCGCGGGGATTTGCAAGTGTCGCCCTGCCCGGTCTCCAACGCAGCCTGCAGAGAGAGGTGAACGGAGCATTCAGTGACATGGAAGAATACGTTCAAGGGATGTTCAACGCGCAGAGGAAAGCTGATTTCCAATCTATGCAAGCGTGCTTTGTAGCCCAAATTCCACAAATTCAGCACATCGTCGACACCGACACCAATACCGGCCTGAAAGGTCTCATGAAAAGGCTGAACGAAACGTTTGACCAACATAACCTGCATCCATCTAATACAAAGTTGCATCTGTTTGGAGAAAAAGTCGAAGCCTTTTTAACAAAATTCCTAGAAGATGTTTCATGGCAAGAAGACGTGAGTTCTCATCGTGACCGTATGACCCCCCTCACCTCCGCCCTGCTCCAAGTCCTCTCCACAATGAACACCAAAGGACACTTCCACCAGGAAGTCTCCGACAAAATCGACGCGCTCGGAAAGCAACTGCACATCTTCACCCCCAAGGAATTCGCCGACGCCTCTCCCCTGCTCAACGTCATAAAGCGCGGCGTCACTCAGCTCCACGAGCAGCTACGCAAGCAGTACGTCAGCAGGTACTCGGGGGAGACGTTCGGTGGTCAACTTGTGGAGACTAAGAGGGACGCTGATGGAAAGCCAACTGCCAAAATAACAGAGTATGGCACTAAGTGTGCTAAGTTATGCTTAACCATCTTACCCTCTGTATATGACCATTTGACCAAGTTGAAGGAAGACTGTGAACACCCTTGGAAGCATAACAAAATGTGTCTCGTTTCCAAACCTAATATACACAATCACCTGGGACATTTCCTGCAAAAGTGCGGTTATGAAGTTACCAAAAAAGAAGATTCCCATGACGGTGAATTGAAATTCCCTTCCACCGGGTGCAACGGTAAGAAGATTCACGAGAAACTTAACGAGCCGATTTCAGAAGCCAACCTAACAAAACACCTTACAACTTGTAGACCAAATAAAAAACGAACAGACTTTAAGGTAACAGACATTCTTAAATGTATTCACAGTCACATTGATGCGTACTACAAACTTGGCCACCTACTCAATTCATCATCCAAGAGACATCCGTGTTCTGTGTATGAGAAACTTATATGGTTGTGTGGACTGCCGTGCAATTCTGTGTTTTTACCTATGTTAGATGAAACCATAAGTGATCTGTTTTCTGATCCACGTAAACAGACAACACACGACGGTATAACTCTCACAGTTATAGACTCCGAATCACTGCCAGCGTATCCACAGCCGATGGAATATGATGATGCACGAAAAGCGGTGACATATGTCTGCTCAACTTCATATGACATTTTGACTGGCATAGTTGGCACAGGCGATGCCAATACCATGTACGGCGTCGACTTCTATGACAACTCCCTGAAATTACACTATCCTCAAAAAGGGGAAGACTGTTTGAATATGCTGCTAGATGTCTTACGTAGACTCTTCCAGCCACTTAAATACCTATATTTGCGGTGCGGATTAAGCGCTGAGCACAACGGCTGGCGTGACTGCCCCTACGGAAAAGACGTGCCTACCGCCAAATCACATTGTGAGAGGCAGTCAACTGTCGAAGCAACGGGCCAAGCAAAGTGCCGACCTACGTGCCAGGCAAAGTGCGAACCAAATTGCCAACCAACTTCACCATTAATGTCTTACTTAAATGACTGTCTGCCTGGTCACTTACCTCACCACCTAAGCAGCGTTGGATGTAAATCCGTATGCAGCACCTGCCCTACTACCTCCAGGCTGGGAATGCCCTGTCTCACTCCGCTTGGCTTCAGAGGTTTCTGTGGGTCTACGAAGAGGGGTTCAGACATGTGGGAACTGCTTGACGGAATGTTCGCCGATGAATATATCCCTTCCCTTTTCTGCCTTGTTGTCAAACCGCCATCCACACTACCGGAACATTTCCAGTTTGCATTGACCTTAGTTGATATGTTGAATAATGGCAACAAATCCGGTACGAATCCAGTCGCGACGGCTTTTGAGACCACAACCAAGGAGCTGTCCATTGAGCTGTGTAAAGATTATAACAAATTCACAAGTGCTTTTACCAATGCGTATAACAGCCACGACATCTCCAACCATCGCAAATCCACAGAAGCCGATCTGTACACCATGTCGACTCCATCGACATGTATGCGCGCTCACGCAGACAAACTTCACTGTGCTCCGTACCTTCAGTCCCTGTACAACGACACATATACTTTCCTCGCTGAGAAGCATTGCCATCTATATCTTTCCTGGGCTGTCTACCTGCCGTGGACGTTCTGCCAGTATCTCAAAAGCCTACTTGATGCCTTCTCCAACATATCCTGCCAGGATTGGGGCTGCGGCAGATGTGTTAACGGTGACAAATGTAAAACTGGGAAGCATGGAATTGAAAACTGCCGGTGCCGGGGACTCGTTGAATGCCGCGGCGTACAGAGCGCGTTATACCAATATGGATTCACGTTTGGCAATCCGCAGAAATTATCGGACAGCAAGGAAAAACGATACTGCCATCATTTCTACATACAACTTTCAAACATTGTTAATTCGACATATTTCCAGAAGCTGTTCGAAGCTTGTGATGAATTCCTGAAAGAAATCAGATGGCCATTTATGCTAACGTTACTAGCCCTCTGGTCGCTGTCGCTCCTGTACCTGCTGCACATCACCGTCGTCCGCCTCGACGTCCTGAGGATACGCTCCCACCTGCGCTCGCCCCAATCGCACCGCATCGCCGCGCAGTCCCTCCTCGCCGCCGCACGCGTCAGGGCACTCGCCAACGTCAAGTACTTCTCACCATAATCGTGCCTTCACTCACTCACCCACTCACCCACCCACCCACTCACTCACCTAATCACCCACTCAACCACTCAACCACTCAACCACTCAACCACTCACCCACCCACTCACCCACTCACCCACTCACTCACTCACTCACTCACCCACCCACTCAACCACTCACTCACCCACTCACTCACCCACCCACTCACTCACCCACTCACATACTCACTCACTCACCCACCTCCCTCTTTCACCCACTCACTCAACCACCCACTCACCCACTCACATACTCACCCACTCACCCACTCAACCACTCACTCACTCACCCACTCAACCACTCACTCAACCACCCACTCACTCAACCACCCACTCACCTCCTCCTTCACTGGTCGCTTCGCTCCCTGCCTTCACCCCTTCCCTCACCTCCTCCGTCGGCGTCCCTCACCCAAATCCTCGTTTTCCAACTTCTCCCTCCACCCCCTAAATCGCCTTACCTCCACCCATCTTCCTCCTCCATCGCCCTCTTTCGCCCCTTCACTTCCCTCGCCCTCTCCACCCACCTCCCTCGCTGCCTCCTTGACCTAAAATCGCCTTTCCCCAAATTCCCCCAAATCGCCCTAAAAATGTGCCTAAAATATTCCTTCAACAACATTATTAAATAACCTCTGCACAGGCCTCGAAAAATTTCTCGGCCTTAGTAATGGTAATTACACCGGCTCCGGCATCGTGTACTCGGACCTTGACAGGCTCTGCGACGGGGTGATGTCTTTCCTTCATGGAGTTCTGCAAAGTGTAAAGGATGATGATAACGTTACAAAATATGATAATGCTCGTGATAAAAATATTACAAACACAATTAAGAAATTAAATGATAGTGTAGGTAAAGGCCGTGAGGCCTTCCCGGAGGCCGTGCATCAGGTAAGTGAGTGGTTGAAATATTATAATGATTATGTTGCAGGTTCCACGCTTAATGTCACAATTGAATTAGGTAAGTTACTTAATGATTTAACATCTCATTCAGGTAAATATGTTACAAGTGTTTCGAGTCAAGCAGAGAAGCCACTCAAGGAGCAACTGGACAACTGGACCAAAACAGTCAACGACATTAATACTCACATTAACGACAACATAATCACTAATGTTGATAAATTAGACCCCGCACTTAGCGATAAGATTAAGCGTAATATTGAGCCCGTGCAGAAGGTGGTGGCGCACTTGGGGGGGGTGGGCAGGGACCCAAACTTCACTGGGCACCCAGAGTTCGTTGATGAACAACTTAGGATTCAGAGGGAGAATGTTGAGAGAGTTGTTAATGTGGAATGTGAAGAACTTCAGCGTAAAGTACAACTCGACTTTGCCAAAATATTCGAGCAAAGTAAACGTCTCAGTCGGAAAAGAGAAGAAGAGTTTGGCTATGTAAGGTATGCTGTAAAGCAGGCTAGGGATGCTTTCATTGAAGATTTTGAAGGAAAATATAAAAGCGAGATTGAGCGTTATTTCATGAAAATAGAAGAGACAATGACGGCGATTGATACTCAAAATACAACTGGTGGAAACTCTCAGCTTCACAAGTTAGCTACTAAAATCAAGGATGCACTTGACGCCCTTGACGGTCAACTTAACAAAGGCGCCAATGCAATCGGTGGTGCCATTGATTTCGCTGTAACTGAAGTCAATATTGCGCTTCGGGATTTGGATGGGAAAGTGATGGAGGATTTGAGACAGCTGGAAAGTGGGATTACTGTGACACTTAATCCACTTGTGGAGAAGTCGGTGTCATTTTTCGCCACCTTTAAAAAAACAAAAAACGCAATTGAGGTGGCAATTGACGCAGTATCGACGGACATTAAGAAGTTTAAGGATCTTACGAATCTCGACACTTTTAAAAACAGCGCTGCACCGCTTCTAAATGCAATTGGTTTAGATGGCAAGAATGCCTTCGAAAAACTTATAGCATATTTCAACGATATTAGTGCTAAGGTTATGACGCCTTTGAAGGATGTGATAGGGCGATTGGTGAGGGCATTAGAGTCGGTGGCATTATGAGAACAGAGCTGCTGAAGACTGCAATTAGGCAGTCTGAAGCGCAGCTTAAAGAGATTCAAAAGCTTGTTGATGGGTCCATTAGTAATCTCGACATCACGGCAATTCCACTCGACGGCAAGGCGATCAAAATCGAAGGCGTCACCAAACTTAGTGAAACTCTCAAATCTCAAATACCCAAGCTCATTGCTACGATTCAGAAAATTACGGGAAGTGGAGGCAGATTAGAAGCGGAAGCGGTGAAGAACCTCCTCAAAGAAATTGCCAAAATACCCCATGCCGTCGCCATGCATTGCCATCTAGTAGTCCAAAAGTCATGGATAAAATTAGAAGTCAAATTAAGCAAGAAATTACCAGTGTGGCTGGAATCGTTGAGGAGAAGGTTACGCAGTGTTCCAATCTTCTTGAGAATAAGGAAGTTAACGGACAAGGCGGCGTTGTGGATAAAATCACCGGCCTTCAGAAACTGGTGAACGAGTTTGATGGTAGAATCAAGCAGGAACTGCAGATTCTAAAATATAAAGTTGATGCAGCTTTTAAGAAAAAGACGACGGGTGTTGGTGTAGATTCGAAAAATATAATCTTGAAACTATAATGCAGGATTATCACAATCACGCTCATGGAAAAGATTCCACCTCCCTTAAGGCCAAAATTGCCGCCATCAAAACACACCTTCAAAATCATTTTCCCACCGGCATAATACCCAGTGGCTCGAAATTCAACCTCACAAACAATGGCCCATTTCACGAATATAAGGGCAATAAGGATGCCGCCCTCGCCTCAATAGAAAGCATCCTCCAGAAAATCAAAGAGCTTGAAAACCTTCCGGACAGTGTTCGGGAAAATAAATACGCGGCAAACGAAATAATGCAAGATTTGAAAACGAAACTGAAAGAGAAAATTAAGTACATTGAGGAAAAAGTCAAGGACGCTGACAACGCATTGGACAGGGCATAGAAGCCGTAGACAAAGTAGTTAATGCAGCCCAAAAATTTACTCAAAATGCAATTGAAGATCACAGAAATGCTATTATTAAAAGAGCACGAGAAGCATTCAAATTCATCACCTCCGCCGTCCACTCCCTCTCCGCCTCCCACGCCGCCGACCTCCAGGCCCTGCGCGCGCTCGTCGACCAGCAACTGCGGGAAGTGCAAAAAATAATCGACACGGACGCAGTCACGGGCGTGAAGGGTCTTTACAAGGTTTGAATGGTATGAGGTTTGGCATAAATAAATATGGCGTACCACAATTTACGACGTCTCCAGACAAGAATCTGCTTCAGCAAATTAAAAAAGAAGCAGAGTCTCATCAGTCAAATACACCAATTAAGGACACTTTCACGAAATTAGCAAAAGCGTTCCACTCATACTTCACTCCAATTCATAGCCATATTGAGCGTCAGATCAAGGAGCAACTTGAAAAGTTGCCTGACGACAAGCGTACCGATGAGAACCTTAATAACCTTAACACTGTTAACTCTAATTTTGACATATTACTTAATCACCTAAAAGCAGAAGTAACATCACCTAGACACTACATTTTCGATTACACTTTTGATGGCCACCTAAATAAGCTCATTTCCTCCCTCACCTCTCTAGCCCCTTCCCAATTCGCAAACCTGCGGCACCGGAACTGCTGGACGCCGTAGGAAAAGGGCTGCAGAGATTTACCGACGAGCTCAAGAAGGCGTACGTGAATACGTATGATGGAGGGAGGAAATCACTTGGCGGAAACAAGGCACTACAGCAACCGTGTACACTACTCATGTCAGCTATAATACTGAGTTGACTGAGGAAAGCCAAAAGGGCGCTAGAGTATTCCTCACCATCCTTAAAATGCTGTGTCGCGATTTACATAAATTGGAAGATGACTGCGGTGGGAAGTGGAAAACAAAACATATATGTGAAGATGAAAATGACGAAAAATCGCTGGGTTCATTCCTCAAGCGTCTCGGATACCAAGTAGCCAAAAATCAAGCTTCCAAGGAAGGCGAATTGAAATTATCGGTGAATGATTATAAAGGTCTGGACGTTCACAAGAAGCTGAAAGAAGAACTTCAGAATGCCGCCAAAAATATTGCACATATTACAGACTGTTTATCACCTAAAAAATCATTTGACGTCTTAGACATCCTTGTATGTCTCACAACTCACCTTAATCAATATTTCCGTGTCGGTCATATCACAATTGTATCCTCACCTAGAAATCCATGCTCTGTGTATGAGATGCTTGTTTGGTGTTCCGGTCTTGAATACAACGCTGTCTATGACAAGCTCACCACGTACTGTAGCGAGTACGACACGAAGAAAGACAGTGATTTAAAACAGCGTGTCTCAGATGCCGTGCATTATGGTTTGCCTAGTTTAGGTAATTGGTCACATAATCTGCTTACCACTATCCTCGGCACAGGTGACGCATCCACATACTACGCCAGCGATTACTATAACAATTCTCTACGCCTCGGATATCCAACCAGCGGCGCGGATTGTTTACGTACACTGGTTGACATATTCCGCAGATTATTCCCTGTTTTCAGGTTTATGTATGGTCAATGTGGTCTCGGTTCCAGGCACCATGGTTGGGCCGGCTGCCAATATGGCAAGAATATCCCTACGACCAAGTGGCCATGTAACGTTCACTCAGCAGACAAATCAAAGTGCCAACCTAAGTGCGAACCAAATAGCCAACCAAATGACCAACCAAACTGCCAACCAACGTCGCCACTTCAGTGCTACTTAACCGATTCTCTAATCGGCCACTTGCCTCACGATGTAACCTCGATTGGTTGCAAAACAGTCTGTAACACTTGCCCCAAATCTATGCCTGGAATGCCGTGTATAACTCCAATGGGCTTTAGAGGTTTCTCTAGTAGTACGCGTAGAGGTAAAGAGCTGTGTAACGTGCTGGGCAAATTCCTGGGTAATGACTACCTCACAGCCTTGTTCTACGTTGCGGCCAAACCGCCGAGTAACTTACCCGAACATTTCGCATTTGTTAGGTCGTTGGTTAGTGGCATTAAGTTGCCATTAGCGCCGAAACGTGATGAAAATAAGACACTTGCAAACATGTTCAATACATCTATGTCCGAACAGTCCATCGATTTATATAAAAATACATCTGACCTTACTGATGCACTTCAAAAGCTTATGGTACCAGTATGGATGATCATCAAGATATGGACCATTTAACCGGACTTGCTAAATTGTCAAGCCTTGCAATGACTACGCCGTGTTCCGGCCAAGACGCAAACTGTGCCCCTTATGTATATACGTTGTGCTCCGATTCATACAGCAATCTTGCAATAATGCACTCCAACCTCTACCTCTCCTGGATTATTTATCTTCCATGGACATTACATAAATACCTTGAATGTCTGCTTGACGCCCTCAAAGCACTATTGTGCCAGGACTGGGGATGTAGCAAATGCCTTAACGGTAATAAATGTAGACGAGGACAACATGGACTTGTCGACGAAAAAACAAAGGCGCCACATTGCCAATGTAACAGCATGGTTCAGTGCAGAGGCGTGATGCCAACCTTGTATATATATGGTTTCATGTTTGGTAATCCATCAATGCTGAACGCTAATGGCAAACCAAAGAAATGCTCCGACTTCTGTACGCAGTTACAAAATGTACTTAAATCAACATATTTTGATAAGCTGTTTAAAGAGTGCGACAATTTCCTGTACATTATCAGATCACCGTTCATGAATACACTATTAGCCCTCTGGTCGCTGTCGCTCCTGTACCTGCTGCACATCGCCGTCGTCCGCCTCGACGTCCTGAGGATACGCTCCCACCTGAGATCACCCTCGTCGCACCGCATCGCCGCGCAGTCCCTCCTCGCCGCCGCACGCGTCAAGGCACTCGCCAACGTCAAGTACTTCTCACCATAATCGTTTTCACGTGTGATCTGTGTATCACCCACTCTTACTCACCCACTCCACATACTTACCAACTTCACCTACCTACCACCACCTAATCACCTACTCAACTACTTCACTCAACCACCTACTCAACTACCCACTAACCACCTACTCAACCACTCACCACCTACCTATCAACTACCTACTTCAACCACTTCACCTATCACTACTTCATCACCTATCTACTACCTACTACTCTACTAACTACCTACTTCAACTCCACTTTAATTCACCTAATTTAATCACTTAATTCCACCTAATTTCAACTACTTCACCTACTTTTATTTGTTTTACTTACTTACTTACTTACTTACCGCATTTCATTTAATTACTTACTTACTCTTACTTCACCCATTTAACTACCTATTCACCCATTTACTTACTCTAATGACATTTAACCCATTTACTTACTCTACTCTATTTAACTATCATTTTCACGACCACGAGCCATTTACTTTCTAATTTTACTTACTTACATATATTTTACTTTCAATCTATTTTACTCTAATGCACTTTACTTCTATTTAACCCATTTACTTAACTAATGCATTTAACTACTTACTTACTTAATTACTGCATTTCACTTACTTACTACTCTGCTTACTTATTATATTTACTTAAATTTATTTACTCTACTTAAATTCACTTACTTACTTACTCTAATGCATTTCTACTTATTATATTTACTTAACCCATTTTACTTATTTAACTTACTTACTTACTTACTTAACTTACTTACTTACTTAATTAACCACTTAATTTACTTACTCTAATGCATTTACTTAATCTTACTCTACTTATATATTTACGAATTTACTTACTTACTTCACCTATTTTAACTATCACTGTAATTATACTCTTAATCTACCACTTACTCAATTCATATATTTCATTTAAATTTACTCTACTTCATTCTTAACGCATTTTAATTACTTCAACTACTTCACTACTTCAACTATACTTCATTGATTTACTTCAATTCACTTCACTTCTCTTCACTTTGAGTTGTTGTTGCCTTTCTCTATCATTTATCACTTTCCTCTGTTGGTGTTCACCTAACTTATTTTTCTAATTTTTCTTCCTTCTACTCTCTAAATGCTTTAACTTTAACCTATCTTTTCCTTCCTCATTTTTTTTGCCTTTCACTCTCTCACTTTGTCCACTCACCTCCTTCACTTAAATCGTTTTCCTAATTTCTAATCGCCTTGAAATGACTTAATTTTTTCAACATTTGTCAATCTTTCATTTTCCCTCTTATTAGTTTGAGTCGTTGTTCCTTTTCTATCTGCTGCACATCGTTTGTCCGCCTTGACGTCCTGAGGATACGTTCCCACTTGAGATCACCTGCCACTGCATCGCTGCATAGCCTGCTGCCACGCGTTAGGTACTTCGCTAGCGTTGCACTTTTCACTATATCAGTTTTCAGGATCTAGATCACCTACCCACCCACTTCAACTACTTCACCCATTTCAACCACCTACTTCAACTACTTCACTTACATTAATTTCATCACTAATTTCACCTACTTTCAACTACTTCACCTTCTTTACTTTGTTGCTTTTGCTCTTCCTTTCACCTCTTCTTTCATCACTCTCCTCCATTTATGTCTCACCAAAACCTCCTATTTTTCTTATTTCTCTTCACTTTGTACCGTTTTATTTCATCCATCTTGTTCCTTGTTGTCTTTCGCTCCTTTTTTTTTATTTCACCTTGTTCCACTCTCCTCCCTCACTCCCCCAGTGCCTCCTTCACCTAAAATCGCCTTTCCCCAAATTCCCCCAAATCGCCCTGAATATGTGCCGTTTCATCCCCCTTTACTTATTTTAACCCTTCCTTAATCCACCTTCAATCCAACTACAATGACCACTATAACGAAGTTCATTACCTTACTCAGGATGCCAGGGGGAAAGCCTTGGGGGATATTGATGCCCGCCGTATCTCTCTTGGTACGCTTGCTGGACAACTTATGGGTTTTATTGGTGGGACTGTAGAAGTTAAAAATGCTATTATAAAGGGTTTGCACAGTAATGTGAATCAGCTTGAAAAGCTTTTAAAAACATCTTGCGGAGGTGAGGGGTGTGATTGTCATAAGCATTATAATAACCTTCAGAAACTTCTTAAAAGTGTTCAAGAAAATTGTAAAAAATATGATGCTCTTCAAACACAAATTGCGCAGAAACTTGCTGAAAATAAGAATTCTCAAGTCAGTGTTTCTGGTGATGTTGACAGCCTTAAACAGCAAGTTGAAGAGCTTCAAAAAGAAATTTTCTCACAAAGTTCCACGCTTACAACGCAAATTAACATTGTAATTTCCGCTGTTCAAAGTAAAATTTCTGAACTTGACAAAAAGAAAAAAGATGTTGATACCCTTCAATCTCAAGTGAATGACCTTAAAAAGAAAATTGATGCTAAGCAAAATAATGATGTACAACTTGAAGACCTTCAAGAAGAGCTTCAAAAGGCACAAGAAAATTTCCCTGAAAAAGATGCAAAATCCCTTGACTCTCATCAGACGTCTATGATGTCTCTCAACAGTCTACAAAGCCTTTGTCAACATTGTAATGAAGTTAGTAAAATGAAGCAAAATAATGAACAGCCTAAAAAGCTTTTAGAGAGTCTTTGTGGAGGCCTCGAAAAATTTCTCGGCTACAGTAATGGTAATTACACCGGAGAGGGAATTGTGTACTCCGACCTTGACAGGCTCTGCGACGGGGTGATGGCGTTCCTTCATGGAGTTCTTGAGAGTGTTAAGGATGATGATAACGTTACAACTTATGATAAAGATGATTTGAAGATTACTAAAGTTATTGACACTCTTAACACTAGTGTAGGCAAAGGCCGTGAGGCCTTCCAGGCCGCCGTGCGTCAGGTAAGTGAGTGGTTGACAAAACATGGTGCGCAGGTGGACAAGGCAACGAGAGGAGTGACTGCGGAATTAGGTAAGTTGATTACTAAATTATCATCTGGTGCAGGTGAAAATAATAATGAGTATTACAAGGAAGTGGAGAATCAAGAGGGTGCTCCACTGTCCGAGCAGCTTAAGGAGTGGACGTCGACGCTTCAGAAGATTGAAGATGAAGTTACACAGATAGAGACACAACACGCAAAACCACTTGATAGCTCACTTAGAGATAATATATTACGTGAAATTAATGTTGTAAAGAAATCCGTGAAAATGTTACATGACTCCTCAAAGGAGAAGCTGATAGTGGAGCAGGCGTTCGAGGTGGACGTTACCTTGGCGCATGAGAGAAAGGAGTTGAAAGAAAAGATTGAGGAGGAGAGTGAGAGGGTTAGGAAGGAGCTAACGCAGCAAGAGGAAAAAGTTAAGAAGGAGATCGACAAGGAAAGCAGGGAGGTTAGAAGAAAGTTGGCGGAGCAATTCGTTATGCTTCGTGGGATCGCTGAGGATTTGAAGGATGCTAAGAACGCACAGTTTAAAAGTATTTACGGAACAATGGATGAGTCGCAGAAAATGCTTAAGGATTTTGATGATGGTTGTGAAAATGATATTTGGCGGTATTTGTATGAAATTAAAATGCGGCTTAATAATTTTGTGGGACAGAATGCAACGCTTTTGACGCTGTGTAGAATTCTAAAAGATGGAGTAGAAGGCCTGGATAAAAAACTTCAGGAGGATTTGAGAACATTGAGGAAAAGCATCGATAAGGGCATATCCGCGTATATTGGTCAAGTAAAAAGAGCTGCATATAATGCGACCCAGAAGCTTTCCACACAGGTAGATCTGAGCAGTATTGCTAATGGGCTTTTTGAAGACAGCAAGTTGCGTAAATGGTTATGGTCTGTGCATCGTGGCAACGTTAGCAGTCATTCTGCAGCACAGCCGCAAGCGGGGGATGTGACAAAAGGTTTGCAATCGCTTACAAAATTTGCGGCTGTTGGTAGTGATACGGCGAACATGTCAGCATTCGAAGCGATTTTACAAGATCTTCAGAAGCATGCTGGCAACGTGTTCCAAAACGCTGACGTTGATGACTTAAGTAAAATCAAAGACGTTATGAATAAGTGTCACGATGCCCGAGTATCGCTTGAAGAGGCGGTTATAAAGGTTCAAGCGGAATTAACATCGCTTGAAAGCCTGCCGGGAATTGTTGATGCAAACAACAACCACATAATGGGACTTCTGAACTCCATAAAAAATGATTTGGACAACAAATTTGCACATATATACGAGCACATTAAAAATTCCGAAGACGCGTTGTCAAGTGCCATCCAAGCCGTTGAATATAACGTGAGAACAGCGCAGGACAAGGCGATGAGCTCCGTCGACGCCCTCAAAGACAGTCTAACAAAGACCGTAATCGACGCCTTCGAAGCGTCCCGCAGATCCGTCTCACAACTCCAAACCACCCTCCTCCAAAAAGTGGTCATGGCATTCGAGGAGATCACCAAGCGAGTAAAAAACCAATTTGCCGCGCAACACAAGTCCGACTTGGAGGCCCTCAAAAAATTAGTAACCGAACAAAGAACTGCAATCACAGCAATAATCGAAAAAGATAAAAGGACAGGAATAAAAGGGCTATTAAAAGGCTTGAGAGGCATGAAAGTAACTGCTACGGCAAAAGGCCCTCCAACATTCGAGTCATCGACGAAATTGCTTGATGACCTCAAGGAAGATGAAATTAAGAATGACTTCATTAAGCTAACAGGAAAGTTCAAAGCATATTCAGAGAACATTCTAATCTATATTGGCAAGCAAATCAACGATGCATTCAAGGAGCCGACTAAAAAGGCGTATTACGATAGCCTTCAGAGCATCTATGACAAGCTTGCCAAATTGCTCGAACACCTCGGCAAAGACGATAGGAAATTCCACTTCGACTCTGAATTCTCCAAATTGCTCGCCGAACTAAAATCTCTTCTCGGCGGATTAAATCCGTCTTCATTTTCTCACCTTTCTCTGCCAGTTGTCCAGGCCATCAAGGATGGTTTGGAGGCGTTCGTCACTCAGCTTGGCTTCGCCTACGTAAATGAGTACTCATCAGCGCCCAAAATTAATTGGGAGGACAAGGTATTTATGGATGGAAACAAATGCGCCAATGTTTGTCTAACTACAATCTTCACGTTGTTCCATCGCCTGCATAAACTCTTTTACAACTGCTCGACACGGTGGAAAGGCATCAACATTGACGGCGTCGGAAGGAAAGATGGCGCTTTAAAACATTTCCTGAGAAACGAAGGCTTCGATTCTGTGAACCTGATTAATAAGGAACACAGTGGCTGGAACGTCGCGTTAAGATTGAGTAAAAAGTTCCGTGATTATGAAGAATTCAATGCATCGCCAAGTACCAACCACATTAATTTTAATACGTATCATGAATCTATAAAGAACTCTATAAAATCTGAAAACGTACTCGGCAGACTTTTTGGTCACCTGGAAAGTTATCTCAGTGTGTGCCACATCTCCACATTTACCGCCACCAGATATCCATGCAGTGTCTTCGAGATGCTTGGTTGGCTGGGTGGTCTTAAGTACAATGCATTCTATTATAAAGTTAGAGACCAATGTAACGCCTCGATCAAAGATGAAAACAATCGCGCACCTAAAAACATATTAGCCGACATAGTTGCACATCATCTACCCTCAATATCAGCGCCAACATATCGTCTCTTAGTTGCTATCACAGGCACCGGTGACTCCCACAGCCATTACGGGTGTGAATACTTAGGTAACCGCCTAGGCCTATATTACCCTAGCAGGGGAGAAGATTGCCTTGATATGCTTCTGACTGTCCTCAGTAGGTTGTGTCCGGTGCTTACATTTTTGCAACTCCAATGTAGCCTAGATAAATTATGGTTCGGCTGGGGAGACTGTAGATTTGGGAAAGGCATCCAGGCATCCGATTGGCAGTGTAATCCACGTTCCGATGTATCAGTGTCATCCACTGTCGACTGTTCCCGCACATCACCATTGCATTTATATATAACTGACGGTCTAAGAGGAATGTTACCTCACCGTCTTACATCTAAGAATGCGAAGCTTGTGTGCCAAACATGCTCTCCTAGTACCATTAATATGCCCTGTCTGACGCCTTTGGGTTTTAGCCGTTTCTCTGGTAGCACAAAAAAAGGCGCCGACTTGTTTTCTCTGCTTGACACCTATTGTCGCAGTAACGGCGAGTTCACCAACCTTTATACATCAGTTACTTGTGTCGTCGGCATGGCTCCTAGAACGCTCCCTGATGTATTCGCGTTTCAATGTGCACTAACGCAGACGTGGGAAGTAATGCCAGATGTGCCCCAAACCAGTGTCCACGAAACTACACAAAAATCGATTTGCGATAACATTATGGACACAGTAGGGTGTGGCTATGAAGACGCCAAAAAGCTTCTCGATCCCTGCCGCGAATTGTATGAGTCAGCCTATCATAAAGATCACAGCCGCAATAACGAGCCTGATTTCCGGTATATCCTCGGCTGCAGAAAAGATGAATGTGGGCATTTCCTTCGGCCACTCAACCGTTCTGCATACTACACGTTGTCCACAATGTACGCAGGCAAATATCTCTCTTGGATTGCCTACACTTCATCCGAAATTGTAGCATTTCTTGATTGCTTGATTGATGCTTTAGCGTCCATTTCCTGTCATGAGCACGCTTGTGTAAATTGCCATCATACAGGCAAATGTAATCCAGGGTCACATGGAACTGAAAGATGCGGATGCAAGTCCGTCGTCCACTGTAGTGGCGTGATGCCTACGTTATACAAATATGGATTGACATTCGGTGACACCTACAAATTGATTACAGGCAAATATAGTAAATGCCATGAATTCAGTGAAACGCTGAAAAAATGCAGAACATCGCAACTAATGGTCAACTGGCTAAAGGCAATTGAAGAATTTTTGTGGAAGATCAGACTACCATTCTCTTCCTTACTCATCACCCTCTGGTCCCTCTCTTTGCTCTACCTGCTGCACATCGCCGTCGTCCGCCTCGACGTCCTGAGGATACGCTCGCACCTGAGATCACCCTCAAGCCACCGCATCGCCGCGCAGTCCCTCCTCGCCGCGCAGTCCCTCCTCGCCGCCGCACGCGTTGGGAAAATAGCCAACGTCAAGTACTTCTCACCATAATCGTGCCTTCACCCACTCAACCACTCACATACTCAACCACCAACTCACTCACCCACTCACTCAACCACCCAACCACCCAACCACCCACTCACTCACATACAACTCACTCACCCACCCACTCAACCACCCACTCACTTCCACCCACTCAACCACTCAACACTCAACTACCTAACTTACCTCCACCTACTCAACTACTCTACTTACTTACATCCATTCCATTTAATGACCATTTACTTACTTACTGCATTTCTTACTTAATTCCATTTATTTACTCTATTTTACTCTTAATTTACATTTACTTACTTAATGCATTTTTATAATCTACTTCCATTTACTTCTAATTTTAATTTTAATTTATTTTCACTTACTGCACTTAATTCATTTCATTTACTCTATTTACTTACTAATTAATCACTTACTTCTACTCTATTTACTTTACTTAATCTTACTTCCACTCATTTATCTATATTTAATTCACTTAACTATATTTAACCGAATTTACATTTACTTGAATTCCATTTACTTAATTACTTACTCCATTTACATATTTACTTTCATTTATTTATTTACTGCATTTTAACTTTACTTAACGCATTTACTCTTTTCATTAGCAGCATTTTTTCATTTTTTCTACCTTCTTCTGTTGAGGTTCACTTAATCCTTTTTTTACTTTCTTTCTTTCCACTTTAAAATCTTTTATTTATTCGATTTTCTTCTTTATTGCTCTTTCGCCTCTTTTTCACTGCCTGCTCTCTTCCACCTTCCCTGCTCTTGACTTGTAACCGTTTTTTTCCCTCTAAAATCTCATCGTTCTCAAATGTGTTTGGCTAATTCAATATTTCTTCTAATTTCATCACTTTCTTCTTAGTTAGTTCTTGGTCGTTGTCACCTTGTACCTGCTGCATATTGCCGTTCAAGTCTTGACGTCCTGAGGATCTGCTCCCACCTTGAGATCGCCTTGCCGTAATTCAGACAGCGTATTAGCTTCCGTTGCACGTTAGGTACTCGCTAACGTTGCATTTCACTATATCAGTTTCATTGTGGATCTAGACACTTCAACTACATATCATACTTACTACTCTACTACACACTACTCTAACTACTTCACTTCCAAACTCACTTAACCACTTCACTAACTACTCACTTCAACTACCTGACTACTTCACCTACTTCAACCACCTACTCCATTTCGTCTACCTACTTTACTTCACTTACTTACTTCAACTACTTAACCATTTAATCTATTTTAACACCATTTCATTTACTTCATTTACTTATTTTAACTACTTCTTAATATTCACCATTTAATTCATTTATTTCATTTACTCTACCATGACTTACTGCATTTACTCACTTCTTACTGCATTTACATAATTTATTTAATTTACTTACTCATTAAGTACTTCCATCACTTTAGTATCTTCCATTTAATTCCATTTAATTCACGAATTCATTTACTCTAATTCCATTTACTGACCATTTACTCACTATATATTTACTTACTCTATTTCATTTACTGCATTTAACCATTCAATTTACTCACTTAACTATTTCTTTCTTTCTTTTCTGGAGCTTTTGTTTTTTTGTTTCTTCTTGACTACCTCCTTGTTGAGGTCCTTCACCCAAATCTTATTTCCATTTTCTTCCTCCCTCCACCTCCGAAACCGCCTTACCTCAACCCATCTTCCCCCTTCATCGCCCTCTTTGGCCCTTCACCTCCCTCACCCTGTCCACCCACCTCCCTCACTGCCTCGCTGCCTCCTCCACCCTAAAATCGCCTTTCTCCAAATTCCCCCAAATCGCCCTTAAAATGTGCCATTTCACCTCCCTTTTACTCCTTTTAACTCCCCCTTAATCCACCTTTAATCCAACTACAATGACCATTATAATGACGTTCATTACCTTACTGAGGACGCCAGGGGAAAAGCCTTGGATGATATTGATGCCCGCCGCGTCTCTCTTGGTACGCTTGCTGGACAGCTGGGTGGATTTATTGGCGGCGGACAGGAAGTTAAAGATGCAATTTTGTATGGTTTGCACAGCAATGTAACTCAGCTTGAAAAGCTTTTGAAAACATCTTGCGGAGATAAGGGGTGTTGTAATTACAATGCTGAAAAAAATAAGCTTAATGATGCCAATGAGACACTTAAAAAACACCTTAATGAGGAAAAAAATCCCTCTAAAAATCTTGATAACATCCTTACTGAGTGCAAGTTAAATGATCTTGATGGTCCCTTAAATCAGCTTAATAAGGAAATTACTGAGAAAATTCAGGAGCTTGAAAAAGACATTGAAGAGCTTAAAAAAGAGCAAAATGATGATAATAAAAGTAAAAATGCCTCTGTAATTGACAAGCTTTCTAAATCTCTTGACTCTCATCAGACGTCTATGAAGTCTCTTGAGACACTGAATAAGCTTTGTGCATTTGCTGAGAAAATTAATGAAAATCATGATAACACTAAAAAGCTTTTAGAAAGCCTTTGCACAGGCCTCGAAAAATTTCTCGGCTACCAGGATGGTAATTACACCGGAGAAGGAATTGTGTACTCGGACCTTGACAGGCTCTGCGACGGGGTGATGTCTTTCCTTCATGGTGTTTTAAATGATGTTCATACAAATGATAATCTTCAAAAATATAATACTCCTTTAACTGTGCCACTTCAAAAAATTACTGAAGCTCTCTATAATAGAAAAAATTTTGATAGTAGTATTCGCGTTGTGAGCGATGGGATTAAGCAGTGGGTGAGGGGGGTGGATGAAAAGCATAGAGAGGTGATGAGGCCGTTGGAAGAGCTTAAGGAATCGTTAAGTGGGCATATGGAGACGGAGATGAATGACATTTCTATTACAGATCAGTTGTTGACTTGGCAGGGATTTGCTGGACTTTACCTCCAAAAGGCTCTGCAATCGGAAAGAGCTTTAAGGGATATTGATGATGGCCTGAGTAGGAAAATAGCGTGTAAAATAGAGTTGTTAAAACAGGTGATGCAGAATTTTTGGGATGCGGTGAATAATGATGACGTGAAAAATTCCGTAAATGAGTTGAGTGAGAAATTTACTCGTCAACGCAGAGAAGTGAATGAGCATATTGCGTTAAAAATAAGTGAAATGCAACAAGCGTTAAAACAGAATTTTGAAGCTATCAGTCAAAAAATCGAAAATGTAAAACAGGAAAAGATAAGCATCTTAAGTATATTACAAGCGCCGTGCAATCGGCCAAGAAGTTGGCTAAGGAATTACTGAGCGAGGAGGCAAATGGATTTACGCAGGGTTACAAGGAGAAAATCACCGAGAAGTTTAGTGAAATTAAAACTAGAATAGAGGAGTTTACAAATGACGGTAACGGCGGCGGCAGTAACAAGTCGGAGCTGTGGACGCAGTTTGAGAGTGTTCAGAGTAAAGTCGGCGAGCTTCAATCTAATGTGCTGGCTGATTTGGATAGTTTGAGAGGGGAGATTGATGAGCTTGACGACACTGTTTACAGCAATCCAGAAGAAAATGAGCTTGTTAAAGAGGCGTTATCTAAGCTTGGGACGGCTAAGAGTACGCTGGATCTGACAACTGGAGACATCACTGCTACATCTACGTCACTTAAAAGTAAATACGAACGTGATTTGAATGGGAAATTCGAGACACTGATAGAGAAGTTCCCGACATTCAAAAATGTCGTTTTCGGTGACGGAGGAACATCCTCCAATCCAGACGAAAATTCTCTCGCTAAGCTGATCACAAAGTTAACGACTGTCATTGGCAATACAGGCGACATCAGTGGTTATGGTCTTGTAGGCGCCGTTAACGCCTTCAACAACGCTGCTAGACTACAGATCCAAAATGCCGCCAAAAAGGCTATTGAGGAGGCAATTGGAAGATTTCAAATGGAAGACAACGGTGATGAACCCAAAATAAAAGTAGCACAATTAATGAAGCTCTTTGAGGCGTCCAGAATGGAACTTAGCGCAGCCGTTCAAAAAATCCAGGTGGAGCTTAATGACCTTAAGAAGCTTCCCGAAGCCGTCAACAGTGAGAAAGAAAGCGCCGGTGCGTACATGGCCGAATTGAAACAGAGGATCGAGAGTATTCAATCCCGAATTCAGGGAATCGACAGGCCTATCGGGACCGCCACTAGTGTCATACAGGCGGCCATCTCACTGCTAGAAATATCAATAAAAGACGCTGAAAGTAATGCCCAGGTTGTCACGTCAGCTCTCCGAATAGATTTGCAAAAACGAGTAGGTCAGGCATTTGACGACTTGGATGAACACGTCCAAAAAATGTTCGATGCCCAGAAGAAAGCTGAATTAAAGGCTCTCTCAACATCTGTGTCATCGCAAATTCCTAAGATCCAAGACTCAATTGACGACGACATGGATGCAGGCCTGAAAGGCCTGATGAACAAGCTGAAAGCTGTATTTCCCAGTCTGACGAATTCGGCCAAAGATCTACAAACCGCTGCCAACAGAGTAAAAAGCTTTTATGACAAATTCCTCAACGCTTTAAATGAGCAGTCCGATTTAACCACTGACGCAAATAGAATCACAACACTGCAAGATGCCCTGCTCCAAGTCCTCTCCACAATGAACACCAAACAACACTTCCACCAGGAAGTCTCCGACAAAATCGACGCGCTCAACACAGCACTGCACAACTTCACCCCAAGGAATTCGCCGACGCCTCTCCCTGCTCAACGTCATAAGGCGCGGCGTCACTCGCCTCCACGAGGAGCTACGCAAGCAGTACGTCAGCAGGTACTCGGGGGAGACGTTCGGTGGTCAACTTGTGGAGACTAAGAGGGACGCTGATGGAAAGCCAACTGCCAAAATAACAGAGTATGGCACTAAGTGTGCTAAGTTATGCTTAACCATCTTACCCTCTGTATATGACCATTTGACCAAGTTGAAGGAAGACTGTGAACACCCTTGGAAGCATAACAAAATGTGTCTCGTTTCCAAACCTAATATACACAATCACCTGGGACATTTCCTGCAAAAGTGCGGTTATGAAGTTACCAAAAAAGAAGATTCCCATGACGGTGAATTGAAATTCCCTTCCACCGGGTGCAACGGTAAGAAGATTCACGAGAAACTTAACGAGCCGATTTCAGAAGCCAACCTAACAAAACACCTTACAACTTGTAGACCAAATAAAAAACGAACAGACTTTAAGGTAACAGACATTCTTAAATGTATTCACAGTCACATTGATGCGTACTACAAACTTGGCCACCTACTCAATTCATCATCCAAGAGACATCCGTGTTCTGTGTATGAGAAACTTATATGGTTGTGTGGACTGCCGTGCAATTCTGTGTTTTTACCTATGTTAGATGAAACCATAAGTGATCTGTTTTCTGATCCACGTAAACAGACAACACACGACGGTATAACTCTCACAGTTATAGACTCCGAATCACTGCCAGCGTATCCACAGCCGATGGAATATGATGATGCACGAAAAGCGGTGACATATGTCTGCTCAACTTCATATGACATTTTGACTGGCATAGTTGGCACAGGCGATGCCAATACCATGTACGGCGTCGACTTCTATGACAACTCCCTGAAATTACACTATCCTCAAAAAGGGGAAGACTGTTTGAATATGCTGCTAGATGTCTTACGTAGACTCTTCCAGCCACTTAAATACCTATATTTGCGGTGCGGATTAAGCGCTGAGCACAACGGCTGGCGTGACTGCCCCTACGGAAAAGACGTGCCTACCGCCAAATCACATTGTGAGAGGCAGTCAACTGTCGAAGCAACGGGCCAAGCAAAGTGCCGACCTACGTGCCAGGCAAAGTGCGAACCAAATTGCCAACCAACTTCACCATTAATGTCTTACTTAAATGACTGTCTGCCTGGTCACTTACCTCACCACCTAAGCAGCGTTGGATGTAAATCCGTATGCAGCACCTGCCCTACTACCTCCAGGCTGGGAATGCCCTGTCTCACTCCGCTTGGCTTCAGAGGTTTCTGTGGGTCTACGAAGAGGGGTTCAGACATGTGGGAACTGCTTGACGGAATGTTCGCCGATGAATATATCCCTTCCCTTTTCTGCCTTGTTGTCAAACCGCCATCCACACTACCGGAACATTTCCAGTTTGCATTGACCTTAGTTGATATGTTGAATAATGGCAACAAATCCGGTACGAATCCAGTCGCGACGGCTTTTGAGACCACAACCAAGGAGCTGTCCATTGAGCTGTGTAAAGATTATAACAAATTCACAAGTGCTTTTACCAATGCGTATAACAGCCACGACATCTCCAACCATCGCAAATCCACAGAAGCCGATCTGTACACCATGTCGACTCCATCGACATGTATGCGCGCTCACGCAGACAAACTTCACTGTGCTCCGTACCTTCAGTCCCTGTACAACGACACATATACTTTCCTCGCTGAGAAGCATTGCCATCTATATCTTTCCTGGGCTGTCTACCTGCCGTGGACGTTCTGCCAGTATCTCAAAAGCCTACTTGATGCCTTCTCCAACATATCCTGCCAGGATTGGGGCTGCGGCAGATGTGTTAACGGTGACAAATGTAAAACTGGGAAGCATGGAATTGAAAACTGCCGGTGCCGGGGACTCGTTGAATGCCGCGGCGTACAGAGCGCGTTATACCAATATGGATTCACGTTTGGCAATCCGCAGAAATTATCGGACAGCAAGGAAAAACGATACTGCCATCATTTCTACATACAACTTTCAAACATTGTTAATTCGACATATTTCCAGAAGCTGTTCGAAGCTTGTGATGAATTCCTGAAAGAAATCAGATGGCCATTTATGCTAACGTTACTAGCCCTCTGGTCGCTGTCGCTCCTGTACCTGCTGCACATCGCCGTCGTCCGCCTCGACGTCCTGAGGATACGCTCCCACCTGAGATCACCCGCAAGCCACCGCATCGCCGCGCAGTCCCTACTCGCCGCCGCACGCGTCAAGGCACTCGCCAACGTCAAGTACTTCTCACCATAATCGTGCCTTCACGTGTGATCTGTGTATCACTCACATACTCACCTACTCACCCACTCACTCACTCACCCACTCAACCACTCAACCACCCACTCACCCACCCACTCATCCACTCAACCACCCACTCAACCACTCACCACTCACCACCTAATCACCCACCACTCAACCACTCACTCACTCAACCCATTAACCATTTACCCACCACTCACTTACTAATCACTTAATTCACTCACTTACTCACTTATATACTTAACTACTCAACCACTCAACCACTCAACCATTCATCACTCACCCATACTCATCCATTTAACCACCCACTCACCCATTTACCCATTCAACCACCACCCTTACGCATACTCAACCCACCACCATCATCACCACTCATTTAACCACTCACTTACCACTCACTCACCCACCACTTACCACTCACTCAACCACTCACTCACCCATTCACCATTTAACCACTCACCCATCACCACTCATTTATGACTCACTACTATCACTTACCACCCATTCAACCATTTCACCCACACTTACTCACTCACCAACATATTTACTCACCATTACTTACTTTTCTTACTACTCACCCATTCACTCATCACTCACTCCCTCCTTCATGGCTTCGCTCCTCCTCCTCCTTCATCACCTCTCCGTCGGGTCCTTCACCCAAATCTCATTTTCCACTTTCCCTCCACCCCTAAAATCTTACCTCAACCCATCATCCTCTCTCGTCGCCCTCTTCGCCCTCCTCTTCCTCACCCTGTCCACCCACCTCCCTCGCTCCTTGACCTAAATCGCCTTTCTCCAAACTCCCCAATCGCCCTGAAAATGTGCCATTTCACCTCCTTTTACTCCTTTTAACCCTTCCTTAATCCACCTTTAATCCAACTACAATGGCCATTACAATGAAGTACATTACCTTACTCAGGATGCCAGGGGAAAAGCGTTGGATGATATTGATGCCCGCCGTATCTCTCTTGGTCAGCTTGCTGGACAGCTTTCCGGTTTTATTGGTGGTGGAGATGAAGTTAAAAATGCTCTTGTGAATGGTTTGCGCAGTAATGTAAATCAGCTTGAAAAGCTTTTAAAAGCATCTTGCGGAGGTAAGGGGTGTGATTGTGATATTAAGAATTTCCGTGTTGGACATCTTAAAAATCTTCAAAAGACATTTGAAAAATATGATGAAATTGCAACAAAAATTAATGGCCTTAATAAAGAAATTGCTGAAAAAAGTAAGGCGCCTGAAGGGGCGCCGCCCGGCGGTGAGTCTGAGATTCAGAAGCTTGATGAGCAAATAAAGCAAAATGAAGAGAAACTTAAACAGCAAAAAAGTCTTCTTGAAGAGCAAATTAAGAAGCTTCAAGATGCTTTAAGTGTGCCTAAAAAGGAAATTGGTGAATACATTCAGAACCGTAATAAAGAAATTGCTGACATCAATAAGAAAATTGAAGCGCATAAAAAGGAAGAAAAGAAGAAAAATAGTCTTATTAAAGATGCAGATATCTCCATTCCCTACAATCTTTCTCATCCTCTTGAAACTGAGCAGGCTAAATTGCAGTCTCATAATGCTTCGTTGGAGTCTCTTGAGAGTCTTGAAAAGCTTATTACATTTCATGAGGAAGTTAGTAAAAATCCTAAAACTGAAGAATGTAAAAACATTTTAACAAATTTGTGCTCTGGCTTGGAGAAGTTCCTTGGATACCAAGAAACTTCCAAAGGCTACTCGGGTGATGGCATCGTGTACTCGGGCCTTGACAGGCTCTGCGACGGGGTGATGTCTTTCCTTCATGGAGTTCTCCAAAGTGTGAAGGAGGATGATAACGTTACAACGTACAATAAACATATTACTCAGAATAATTTAGATAATGTTCTTCGTGATGTATTTTCTAAAATTGGCACTGGGCGTAATGGGCTTTCGGACTCTGTCACCAAGGTGAAGGAGTGGTTGGAGAAATATAATGATGAAGTAGAAAAGAAGACAAGAGGAGTGACCGATGGATTATCTGCACTTATAGGTAAGTTGCGTAGTGATGTTTCATCTGGTGTTGCAGGGAATGAGTATTACAAGAGCGTTGAAGGCGAGGCGACCAAGGATCTCGGGACCCAGTTGGCAAGGTGGAAGGGGACACTGGGGAGCATCGACAGTGATGTTCAAAGTATTGCAAACATACAAATTAATGACTTAGACGACACACTTAAAGCACAACTAACGCACAAATTAGATCCAGTTAAGAAAGTGGTAGAGCACCTGAAAGGTGTTGCCACGAAGATGGCAGAGGGGGGGAAGGTGGCAGAGGTTGATACTGCCATTACTGAGAAGGAAACTCTCGTAAAAGAGCAAATTAAAAAGAAAGCTGACGAGCTTCGACGCACACTAACACAAAAACTTAACACAATAGATGAACGAATTAAGGCATTCGAAACTGAGCATAGTACTAAGTTGGTGCCTTTGGTGGACGCGATAAACGCGTTAGAGACGAATGTTACCGCTGCGGATGAGCGTGCACAGACTTTGCTAACTAAGTATAATGATGAGATTGCTGAGAAGGTGAGCAGCATAAATCAGCAAGTTGGCGCGCTTGACACGGCAAAAATCTCAACTGGACTTCAAGAGGTTTTTGACAATGTTAGTGGGCAGTTGGAGACGCTGCAAAATACGTTACGTGAACTTGGTGAATTTGGAAATACTGTTAGTAGTGGTGTGCAAAATAATCTGCAGTATTTCACGACACCTAGTGATCCAGATATGAATGTGAGTGCGCAGATCACGAAGCTGAAGGAGGAGATTAGAAAGGAAATTACCAATTATGTAAAAAATGGCTTGGGAGATATTATTAGGTTGGCGATTAAAGGAAAAACAGATTTGGTTGCGAATTCGAAGAACCATCCAGATGGTTCCCTGGATCAGATCGTGGAAGGCGTGAAGAATTTTGCGAAGAGTTTCCAGGGCAGATTCACCAAGTCAATTGAAAAGATGGTTGAGAAATTGATAGACGAGGATGCCAGTGCGGTGAGGATGTATGTTGAGAGGTATGTTACAAGAAACAAGCCAAGAATGTCAGTTGATATGAGCGAATACGATCAAAAGCGCGGACAACTTAGAGACGCCATCAAAAGACCATTACCGATAAAATATCGGTGATTATCAAAGCATCGCCTATAACCTACGACGGGCCAGTTGATGCTGCTCTTGAAAGCATCTCCACCTTTCTTACTACATACGCCAAAGCAATATATCCCACGAAAGTTAGTAAAATAGCGGCAGAAGTTATAAATGATGCAACATTGCAAACAACCGAACTTGCGTCTCTTCCTACGAACGATTATCGCTTCCAAAACGCCCTCAGAACTATACTAGCCGCCGTACATAAAAAGGTTGAGGACACCTCAGAGGGGTTTAGCAAATTCATCGGGACTTCCCAGATTGGCAACCTTGAGGCAGCCATAAGAGTTGTCAATACTCTCGGTGACCATCTGGCAGAGGCCATTAAAAATACTGATCATATTCCAGACGGCACCGGCGTCCTAACTCTTGGTAACCAAATTCAAACTAAGCTATGTAGTGATGCCACCAACAGCGAAGTGGACACCAAACTCGGCGAACTCCTCCAACAGGCAGTAAAAAATGGCATCGATAAGCTAAATAAGAAAGTAAAAAACATCGTCGACATTGAACTCCGTGATGTCCACCCTACAATAGATGAACAAATCAACAGGCTGAACAACGCAGGGATTCAGCCCGGCAACATACGAAAGCTAGTCAACGGTCTTGAAGCACAGATCAACGGGCTGAAACCTCTAGTAAGCGGGGTTAATGATGAGGCCGGAGGATTGATCCTACGGCAGGTTGGCGATCTGAGAAGGCGTGTGGGCGAACTTAAAGATAGCATCGCGGAAATTAATTCAGCTATCAAAGAATTTAATAAGTCCTTTTTAGCAGCAATCGAGGCCGCCAAATCAGCCTCTCAACAAGCCCGCAAGGAACTCAGTGAAGGTATCGATGGCCTGCAGACTCACCTCACTCAACAAGTGACTGAAGCCTTCGACGCCGTCCACACCGCCGCGAAACAAATGTTCAACCAAGGGCACAAGGCTGACTTGGAGCAGCTCAAGAAATTGGTCAGCGCGCAAAATAAATTGATTACCGAAATTATAGAGAATGACAAGAAGAAAGGTCTCAAAGGCCTGCTGAAGGAGATGTATAAGGACAGTGGAAGCAAAATAATGGCATTAAAACTGGAAAGAGTCGAAGAGAAAGAACAGTTTAAAACGCTTTCAGAGAGATTTAAAGACTATTTAGAACTCATTTTCACATACATCAAGGGACAACTCAACACTCCAAGTTCGTCGCCACCCAACTCCACAACCAAGGAGCCAACCAAAATGCTGGGTGAAGTGCAAAGTAAACTCGGCAATTTGCTTACTCATCTTGGCACAGCGAAACATTTTGATAGTCTATTCGTATTGCGCTTAGAATCGTTTTCCACTGAACTTGGCAAATTCACGCCGTCTCAATTCGCCGGCCCAAATAACTCTAAGCTGCTCGACTCACTTAGAGATGGGCTGCAGAAATTGTGTGATCAGCTGGACAAGGCGTACGTGTCGGCGTACTCGGGAGACTACTGGAATGGCAATAACAAAACAAGTATGCTAATGTTTTCTGTACTATAATGCATACGTTCCGTAGAGATTTTGATGAGTTGCGTGATGGGTTGTCAGGTGCCATGTATGACAAGTCGATTCATCTAGCCAACAGTAACTCCCTCGGCAGCTTTTTCAAGGGCTGCAATTACAACGTGTCGAAAACCACTGGCAAACAAGGTGGCGAATTGAAAAATGACGTGGATGGTAAAACGATATATGGGCTTCTTGTCTCAGATGATGAAAAGCATGTTTACAAAAAACCTTACAAGGGCCCTGTTATAGATTTGCACCGTCACATAAGAACATACTACACCGCCTGCCATCTTACATTACACGACTCACCTAAATACCCTTGTTCCATCAGAGACATGTTATCCTGGTTGACGGGCCTTCCTTACACTGCAGTCTATCAGGGCATTAAGACACACTGTAACACGATGCTTAAGAAGGAGATCACAGACGCTGAGAAAAAATCGCAGCCTGCGGATCCCGTAATCAGTAAAATCCTTCAGAACACATTACATGATAACCTAAATCACACGATAAAAAATGCATACAACGTACTCACAACTATATGTGGGAACGGACGTGGCTCCGATCATGCTGACTACCCTTATGCGTGCTACTTCCTAAACAATTCCCGCGGTTTCCACTATCCTGGCAGCGTTTCAAGTCTGTTCGATATGTTAAAGGAAATCTGTAGTCGGTTGCTGTGTTCCCTGAACCTATTGTATAGCGTGTGTCGTACTCCCGCCAAATACCGTGGCTGGAATGACTGTCCATACGGGCAGGACGTTTCCGGTTACCAATGGGATTGCCATGATTCATCACACTCCGGTAGGGAGTGTCTTCCAAAATCACGTCTCCAGGCTCATTTAATGGACGGTATGCCCGGTTGTCTACCACATAAATTGACATCTGTCGGTTGTAAATCAGTCTGCTCTACCTGTCCCAAATCATCTGCTGGCGAACAGTGCATCACACCTATGGGCTTTGTGGATTTACCTAACGCGGCGTCCATTAAAGGCACCGGAAATGATATATTTAAAGCTCTCAGCATTTTATGCAAAGATGCTGGCTGTCCGTTGCCTACGTTGCTTCGATGTCTGGCGTCAGTAAATCCATATCCTCCCAGAAGTCTTGGCGATATGTTGTCTCTCTACTGCCAAGTTTTCCAAAAACATGACGGGAAGTATATTCATAACGCCGAAATTAAAAGGCACCTTGAAAACGTTACGATTTCGGACAGCTTCCCAGCCTCCCTCCTTCATGGTGATTATCCAGTGACAAAACTAACCAGTGCACTGCAAAATTGCACTATTCTTCAGGTGATCACCTTATAACTCCTAATGCCAAGGCTACAAACCAATGTCATGCTGATCTGTGGAGCCTATCTACAATGTCTACATGCCAGGCGACAAAATCATGTGCTCCATACCTCCACCCACTCGGAAAGAATGCTTACCACACCCTTCCTAAAAACACGCAGCATTGTATCTTTCATGGTGCTGTTATTTGGCCTGGGAGTTTTGGGACTTGCTGCAACAGTTACTGAATAGTTTCAAAATATCGCTTGCAAATCATTCGGGTGTCCTTGCAAATGTCCACCCGGCAAACATGGAGTCACGGAGGAAAGTTCTACAAAACCAGGCTGCCACTGTGATTCCATCGTTGACTGCACAGGTGTCCTCTCGGTGTTCTACCAATACGGACTCACATTCCGTGTACCTGCTACGTTATATGCACACAATACCAGGCGGACGTGTGATGATTTTGTTAAACAATTACATAAAGTGCTGTACGACGGATACTTCAAGAAGCTGTTTGAAGAAATCGACGAATTCATCTGGGCAATTCGCACACCCTTCTCATACCTCTTATTAGCCCTCTGGTCGCTGTCGCTCCTGTACCTGCTGCACATCGCCGTCGTCCGCCTCGACGTCCTGAGGATACGCTCCCACCTGAGATCGCCCTCAAGCCACCGCATCGCCGCCCAGTCGCTCCTCGCCGCCGCACGGTCAAGGCACTCGCCAACGTCAAGTACTTCTCACCGTAATCGTGCCTTCACGTGATCTGTGTATCACCCACCCACCACTCCTAATCCCCACCCACTCACTCACCACTCAACCACTCAACCACTCAACCACTCACCTAATCACCCACTCACTCACTCAACCACTCACCCACTCACCCACTCACCCACTCAACCACTCAACCACTCAACCACTCACTCAACCACCTCCTCCTTCACTGGTCGCTTCGCTCCCTCCTCCTTCACTTTCCATCTTCTCAGTCGAGGTCTTCACCAAATCTCTTTATTTTCTGCTTCTTTTCCACCTCAAATCTTTATTCCAACCCATCTTCCTCCTTCATCGCCCTCTTTCGCCCTTTCACTCTCACTTTGTCCACTCCACCTCCTCCACTGCCTCCTTGACCTAAAATCGCCTTTCCAAATTTCCCAACCGTCTGAATGTGCCTAAAATAATCCTTCAACATCATTATTAAATAACCTCTGCACAGGCCTCGAAAAATTTCTCGGCTACGAGAATTGTAATTACTCCGGCTCGGGCATCGTGTACTCGGACCTCGACAGGCTGTGCGACGGAGTGATGTCTTTCCTTCATGGTGTTTTACATAGCATTAAGCCTAAATTAGGCTTACATAATCATCACATTAATGAAGCTGTAAGCCTTCTTGAAGCCAATAAACACTCTGGCAAAGAAGGTTTTAACACTGCGATTGACGCAGTGGTCCAGGGGGTGAGGCAGTATAATGAGGAGGTAAAAAAGTCTAATGAAGCTGTGAAAAGTGTTATTACTACATTGCGTGATAGTGTTGGACATACTTTAACAGATAAGTTGAATGCCATAAATGAAAATAATGTTTCTCAGGACGCTGACCTTTCCAGTGCTGTGAAGTCGGCGGAGGCCTTGGTCAAGACGTATGCTTCTAAAGGTACGGATTTCAAAAATGATTTTCGTGATAAAATATATGACGATTCCAGAGACGCTTCGAGTGGTAGACGCGCCGAATACAGAAATGGTCGCCGTGTTAACAGGCCTGTGAAGTATGAAGACAAGGAGGATTTTAAGGACCTGAATGCTGAGTTAAGATTAAAAATAGAGAGGGCGATCGATAATATTGTTCATGAAGGTAAGCGTCTTGGTGAGCTGTCTGCGATGGGAAAAAGTGAGTTGGGGGAAATGATTCAAACGATAGCTGGTAGCTTGAATGGGCTTAACAAATGCGTGAACGATAAAATTAGAATCGATGTTACTGCCCTTGTGAGCAAGGTGGTGAAAAGAGTTGAGGAGATTCTGAAATCGCTTAAGAGCATTAGTGAGACGCTGTGGCAGTATGTTAATGAGTTGGGGAAGTGGATTAATGATGCGGACGTGGATGTAGGTAAAGCAATGAAGGAGACGAAAAAAATAGAAAGCAAAGAGCCTGAGTGGTTAAAACAGGATGCTATCAAGGAAGACGCAGAACAGTTTAGAATTAAAGCTGATTTCGTATACAAAAAATTTGAGGAGGCTAAAACGCAGGTTGGAGAGAAAGTTGGAGCAGCTAAAAAGACAGAAGTCCAAGCATTGGAAACCTGGCAAAAAGCGGCGGACGCTGTGATCGTGAAGGCGCAGGGGAAGTGTGCGGAGATATTGAAGAGGGTGGATGAGAAGACGGAGAGTGGTCAAGATGTTGGAATTAAAATGCAAGCAGAGAAATTAAAAGAAAAGGCCACGGCCCTTTTGGAGGCTTACAGCACGGCGCATACTCAAGTTAACGGTTTGACAAAGAAAGTTACTGACGCCGTTTCACAGTTGGAAACCGGCATGAAAGCGGATTTGGGGAGGCTGCAAACACAGATTGTGAGCAAAATGAAAGAGCATGTTGGTGGGATGCTTAATGATATTAAGGGGCAAGTGGAGCAGATTAAGGGGGAGAAAGATAAAGAAACAGGATTGGAGGGGATAAAGGAGAAAGTGAAGAAATATGTTGAGGAATTTGAGAAGAATTTTGCGAAGGAAAGTGATGCGGATAACAGCATTCTGGGAAAGTGGATTGATGAGATAGCGAAGACGAAACCGGTCAATGATTACATTACTACATATGCAGGTGGTAAGCTGGATGACGTGAAAAACGCTATAGTGAAAGAAATTGCAAATATTGTAAAAAAAGTTGCTGAAAAACCCAATGCCGTCCCGGGACAAATTAAGGAAACTATAGGAAACATAAAGAAATTTCTTGAAGGAGTTGCCAGGGATATCAATGCGAAATTGAAGAATGAAGATGAATTCAGTACGCTGGCATCTACCATTAGAACTTCTGCCAATGTTTCGTCGTTCTATGACAAGGAACATCTCAAGAACGCCGCCAAATTCATATTCCAATACGTCTCCACCGCCGCCAAAAACCTCGCCGCCGAAATCGAGAAACTGCTCCTCCAGGACAAGAGTGGCCAAAACATTGCGGCCATCTTGGACAAGATCACGGGGGATGCTGGGAAGCTTCACAGTAGTCTCGAGGCGGCGACTACCACAGCGATGAATGGCAAAACTGATGATGATCCTCCCTCCGATAAAAATACTCTCGACGACAAGGTCAAGAATATCAAGACGGAAGTCAACAAGGGAATGAAGAAAGACGGTGATGGTAAACTAGATGTTTCTACGGACTTTGAAAAAATCATGACAGCTTATGACGGAAAGAAAAACAATCCAGCAGGTCCACAAGGCAAATATGCCGAATTGACTGAAGCCATACCCAAGGCCATGGACGCTTTTAAATCATATGGACTCAACAATGCCGGTGACGTCGATGGAAGAAAAAGTGAACTTGATCCCCTTGTCTCCACAATCACCGACGAGCTCCAGGCCATCGCCCACTTCGTCGATAAGGGGAAGGACGCGCCGAAACTGCCCGGCCCTAAAGAAAATGGCATCCAAGATTGGTTAAATGAGTTGAGAGACAAGGCTCTTGGTGATGGTACCACAGAGTGGGGAGATGCCTCTAAAAAATCCAAAGGCCTCTTGAAGATCAAGCAGGAAATTACCGACGCGCTCGACGGGATTCAGCAGCGAGTGAACGAAGAGTTTGACTTTGCTAACAAAGATACAGAGAATGGCAAAATATTCGGCACATTATCCGAGCAGATCAAAACAAACCTAGAAACTGTCGTATCGGCGTTCGCTGCCACCGGCCAGAAAATCAACCAACAGCTGACGGAGCTCAAGAAGAGCATCGGCAAGAAGCAGCACGGCGACACAGCCGAGGTTGAACCAAAAACGTTGCAGAAACTTCACGACAATTTGCTCGCCGTTCTAACCGGTCCGGTGTCAAATGTCATCGGCTCGGTAACTGAGCTTCTCAAATTCGCCAACGACGAAAAGCACAAATCCATCCGTATTATGAGTGAATACGTCGACACACAGGTAAGAGAGACCATCGAGAAACTCACCACCCAGGCCAACAGAAATTACGTGACATCAGTCAAAGAGATGCTTAATGCCTTTGCTAGCAGAGTTCAAAAGATACTGCAGCCTCTGCCTGGACTCATCGACACCGACCGCAGGGAGGGCTTCAAGGGTTTTATAAGAACTATGCAAGGTGTCATTTCAAATAACGACACTTCGAGTGTACATATTAATTTGCTCAAGAATCTTGCAGGTCAGAAATCTGATACAGCTGAGCAGAAAGCGGAACTCATCAAAAATATGTCCATCTCTTTCCTTAGCTTCATTACTCACATTTTGCATTACGTTAGGGAACAAGAAAAGGGAGAGAATGGACACGCCGGCGACGTAAAATCCCTTTCATTGCTCTCTCATACATTGTTCCAAGATCTCTACGCTTCGAAACATTTCGATCCTAAATTTTTCGATAATCTAGATAGACTGAAAAATATGATTAGTAAATTTGCACCTAAAACGTTCGGCGAGGGCAAGAGCCCTATGCTGCTAGAGACGCTGAGAGCTGGCTTCCCCGCTTTGGTAACAGAGTTGGGAAAGGCCTACTTAAACGTGTACGAGGATTCTCCGCCAATCACTCAGTGGCTTACTAAGGTCACTGACGCTGACAAGTCGAAGCCCACCGACGCTGTTTCCGAGCCCCCAAAATACAAGCTGACGCCGGACGGTATGAATGGTGCTAAAATCATGCTCACCGTAACTCCCATCGTATGTGACGCGTTAAAAGAGCTAAAAGATGGACTTGACAACGAGGATGGTAAATGGAAAAATTACACAATATACAACAAAAATGAATCTCACCATAGCCTTCACAGACTTTTCTTTAACGATCACGGTTACGATGTTGGCCTTCGCGGAAATGCAGACAGCGGCGAACTGAATCACAGACATGACTTTAATGGTAATAATATTCTTAGTCATCTTGATAGCGACACATATAATTTGTTTGTTACTTCTAAACAACCACTTAATGCACCTGCTTCCCGTGCTCTACCCTCTGATGAGCCGGCGGTGGAGGTTGTCAACGAAGATGGTGTCATCCCAAAACTATATAACTACCTTACAGAATTCTTCCAGGTCGGCCACATAGCCACTTCCTTCTCCATGAAGGCACCATGCTCCGTGTACGAGCAGTTAGTTTGGCTCACCGGGCTCCCGCACAATCCTGTGTACGAAAAGTTGCCTAAACACGTCACATCGCTGTTCGAAGTGCCAGATAAGAATGATCCTTCTACTAAACACGTTGTGCCCATTGATGCCTCTCCTACAAACATTAATAGTGACGACATAGTAACAGCTGTTAAAGAACTTTGTGAAACTTCATACGCCGTGCTGACCACTGTCGTCGGCACCGGCGACGCTGAGTGCGGGTATGCCTGTGAGTTCCCGAGCAATTCGTTGGGTCTACAGTATCCGTCTAATCCAGCGCAGTGCTTTGATACGCTCCTCGACGTGCTCCGTAGATTGTTCCCGCCACTTAAATTCCTGTTCGCTAAATGCGGCACGCCGGCGTCGGAACATGGTTGGTTGAAGTGCCAGTACGGCAGGGATGTCAAGTCAACCAAATCGCAATGCAACGAGCATACCAAACAGGGGACCAAAGAGCCAACCAAATGCCTCCCCAAATCGCCCCTTCAGTCGTACCTCAGTGACTGTTTAATCGGGCATCTTCCACATAATTTAACATCTATCGGCTGCCAAGCGAAATGCACCACCTGCCCTGGCGGTAAACCAGGGATGCCTTGTATAACGCCATTAGGTTTTAGAGGCTTCTCTGGTTCCACCAAAACAGGGGCGTACTTGTCCTCCGTCATTGAGAAGTTCCTGCAAATTGACAATATTAATTGTTTGTTTGCGATTGCACCCAAAGCTCCGAGGACACTACCGGAGCACTTCGACTTTGCATTGTATATCGCTCAGAGTGTTAGCGCTGAAAAGGCCATTGACAGCGGCACAGTAACATTTTCAGACGCATTCATATCATCCATCAATGCGCAATCCATTTATCAATATCCAGATGCCCATGACCTTACCAAATCTGTGGTTATGGCATATGGCTCTGACACTTACAAGCATAGAGATTGCAAAGATTCCCATCTCACGGGACTTACATTTCCCGCCAGCTGTAAGACAAAAGAGCTGGGCACTAACTGCGCTCCTTACCTCTCATCCCTGTGCACCTCTACATATCATCACCTTGCAATCAAGAATTCCAACCTCTACCTGTCGTGGGCAATATACCTACCGTGGGATTTCTGGAACTATCTCAACAGTTTTTGCAATGCGTTCAAGGAAATACTCTGCAAGGATTGGGGGTGTCGTGGCTGCTTGAGAGGCGACAAGTGTAAACCAGGAGAACACGGCGTTGTCGATAAAGAGAAACAACATGCCATTTGTCAGTGTCATTCCGTTGTCGAGTGTAAAGGAGTATCATCAACATTCTACCAGTATGGATTCACCTTTGGTGACACATTCATGCTGAATGGTAAAACATCTCCCAGGAAGTGTTCCGATTTCTGCAGTCAGCTGAAGAAAGTTCTCGACTCAGAATATTTCAGAAACCTCTTCGACAAGTGCGATGAATTCCTGTACATTATAAGATCACCGTTCATGAATACGTTGTTAGCCCTCTGGTCGCTCTCGCTCCTCTACCTGCTGCACATCGCCGTCGTCCGCCTCGACGTGCTGAGGATACGCTCCCACCTGAGATCGCCCTCAAGCCACCGCATCGCCGCACAGTCGCTGCTCGCCGCCGCACGCGTCAAGGCACTCGCCAACGTCAAGTACTTCTCACCGTAATCGTGCCTTCACGTGTGATCTGTGTATCACTCAACCACTCACCCACCTACTCACTCACCCACTCACCCACTCAACCACTCAACCACTCAACCACTCAACCACCAACTCAACCACTCACCAACTCAACCACCCACCTAATCACCCACTCACTCAACCACCCACCCACCCTACCACTTCATCACTCATCACATTTACCTATCACCACTTCACCCTACTCACCACCTTACTATTTACTCACTTTATTATTACCTACATGTATTACACTTTACTTACTTACTTAACTACTTACTTTAATGATTTTAACTACCTATCAATCTTAATCACTTACTAATTTAATTTACTTTCCTCTTCTTCTTATTATTGTTGTTTCTTGTTCTCACTCTTCTCCATTACTCTGTTATGTTCTACTTGAATCTCATTATTCACTTTTCCTCTCCATTCCTAAACTGCCTTCTTGTTAACTCCATTTTCCTTTTTTCCTTTTCACTTTCTTTCTTCACCTTGTTCCACTCAATTCTCTTTCACTGCCTTTTGCTGTTTTCAATTTAAATTGCTTTTTTCCTACTCTCTAAATAGTCTTGCAGTTTAAATAAATTTCAACATTTCAATCTTTTCTCACTTTCATATTCTTCTAGTCGTTGTTTCCTTGTATTTGCTATTTATTGTTGTTGTCTGTCTTGATGTCCTGAGGATTTACTCCTAAGCTTTGCCTTCTTGCTACTGTGAACGCAATGTTTAGTCTCTTTCCTGTTTCATGTAGTTAGTACTGCTAACGTTGCATTTTCACTATAATTGTGTTTTCATGTGGATTTAGCCACCACTTCACTTTATTTACTTCACCCTCATTCTAACACTTACGAACACTCCATTTCACTTAATTACTTACTTACTTACCCACCTTAATACCATTTACTTAATTCCACTCCACTTCATAATTATTTTACCATTTCAATCTATTTACTTACTTAACTAATTCCACGATTTACTCATTTTAATCACTCTATTTCATCATTTATGATTAATCTAATTCATCTTACTTACCCATTTCAACGATTTAACTACTTAATGCATTTATTTCAACTAATTATTAATTTAATTCAATGCATTTAAATTAATGCATTCTTACCATTTACTTATCTTCTTTTCTTATTGTTGCTTTGTCCTTCTCTTCTGACATTTTCTTGTTGGGTCCTTCACTTGAATCTTTATTATTCACTTCTTCTTCTCCACTCTTAAACTGCCTTCGTCAACTCCATTTTCCTTCCCTTCACTTCTTCACCTTGTCCACCTTACCTTTATTGCCTTGCTGCTCTTTTCACTTAACCTTTTTCCTAAATTCTTAAATAGTTCTGAAATGTGTTAAAATAAATTTTCAACATTTCAACTTCTTTTCCTACTCTTATTATTCTCTACGTTGTCGTTCCTGTACCTGTTGCACATCTCGTCGTCTGTCTTGATGTCCTGAGGATATGCTGCCTACCTGAGATCGTTCTCGCTACCGCATCGTTGCTCCACTGCTGCTTCGCTGCCACGCGTTTCAGCACTTCGCTAACGTCATTTCACCATAATCAGTTTTCACTGTGGATCTTGTATCACCTACCCACTCAACTACTCAACCACCTACTCTCAACTACTTCACCTACCACTTCCAACTACACTCAACTACTCAACCACCTTACCTTTAATCAACCACTTCACCTACTCACTTCAACCATTTAACTACTTACCTACTTTACTTTACTTAACACTTACATTCAACTACTTCAACTCATTTCTTCCTTCCCTTTCACTATCGTTTCTCTCCATCTTCCATTCTCCTGTCGGCGTCCTCACCCAAATCTCATTTTCCACTTTTCCTCTCTTTAATTTTCCTTTCAATCCATCTCCCCCTCCATCGCCCTCCTTCGCCCCTTCACCTCCCTCACCTTGTCCACCCACCTCCCTCACTCCCTCACTGCCTCCTTGACCTAAAATCGCCTTTCCCCAAATTCCCCCAAATCGCCCTGAAAATGTGCCTAAAATAGTCCTTCAACAACATTATTAAATAACCTTTGCACAGGCCTCGAAAATTTTCTCGGCTACAGTAATGGTAATTACACCGGAGAGGGAATTGTGTACTCGGACCTTGACAGGCTCTGCGACGGGGTGATGTCTTTCCTTCATGGTGTTTTGCATAACATTCAGCCTAAATTAGGCTTACATAAAGAGCTTATAAAGTCTGCGATAGAGTCTCTTAACACCAATAAACACTCTGGCAAAGAGGGTTTTAATACTGCGATTAGCGCAGTGGTCCAGGGGGTGAAGGGGTATAATGAGGGTGTGAGGAGATCCAATCTGCAAGTTAAAGATGTTGTCACAGATCTCCAAAATTATACTGCAAATTCAAGTGAGTTACGTGTATATCTTAATGCTTTGCAGGTTCCCGAGAATTCTTCATATCATCAAGCGGAAGCTGCCAAGAAGCAAGTGGACGCCAGGCTGGAAGAATGCCAACGAAAGGCTTCGGCCTTTTGTAATCACCTAGCCACTAAGAACAACACATTTGGAAATAGCGACACAATTAAACAATTTAATGATAAGTTGCGTGATAGAGTGTTACATGTTCGTGGCACGATAGAGTATGAGAAGGAGCGGCTTCAAAAGTTGCATAAGCAGCGGGGGGAGGAGTTGAAGCAGACGACGGAGAAGATTAAGAGCGTGTTGAAAGAGCGTGAGACGGAGGTAAATGCGCACATTTGTAGAGAAGTAACTGCGGTTGTGCGGGAGGTGAAGAAATACGTGCAGTCGATTTTAGAGCAGCTTACGAAAATTAATAGCAGTCTCCAGGAGTATGCTAGAAAATTGCAGGAATGGATTGAGCAGTCCGATAAATTAATTGACGACACGCAGGGGAGTGTTAAAAATATAATTGGCAAGACTACGGATAATGTCACGGGTATGACGTATCGTTTTGAAGAGGATGCGAAAGAGGTGGATAAAAGGAAAAAAGATCTTGAAGGTCTCATAAGACATGTGAAGGAGCAACTTAAAAAGAAAGTCACCGAAGCCCTCGAGGCCGTGAAAGCGATGGACGGCGAGCTGAAGCAGGATTTGTTTGGGGTGAGGGAGGCGATAAAAAGTAAGGTGGAGGGGATTAAGGAGAAGATTAAGAAGCTTGGGGAGAATTTTGGTAGTGATATTGCCACCTCGGCGTCGGGAAACCGTGGTAAAGAAATCGTACAAATTGTTTTCGAGAAATTTAGAGATACGTTTGGTGAAATTAAGGGGACAACGCACAAACCAGGTCTCGAAAAAGTTGAAGCTGGAGTGAGGGGTTACGCTTGGGAGTTCAAAGAGGGTGATACATTTACGAAAATAGTGCAGGGCTGGTTAGAAGATAATATTTTGGGCAAACATAAGCTCGTGGAGAAGTGCCTTAAAAATTATGTGGATGGTAAGGGTGCCGCGAAACCAACTGCGTACAACGCAGCAAGTGAGATGTATGAGCCGATTAGAACAGCCTTTGCGACAACGCTTAAAGCAGACGCGAATCAAATTATTAAGAAGGCCGTTGATGCGTTTACTACTGCCAAAGTTGAGACCGAAGACGGCGATATAACCCAAAATATTAAAAAGGTCCAGAATGTATGCAAACAATTCGCACAGGAGCTTGATAATGCTCGTGCAAACGAAGTTGGAGATATTGTCCAGGAGATTGAGCGCATTCTCACGGAACAGAACAAACTCAACAAGTCTCCCGCCAATTTCTATAGGTATCATCTCAATGATGCCGTCGAAGCAATTTTGGTCGCGCTCAGCACTACCGCAAGGGAAGCGGCGAAAACGCTTGAGCAATTCGCCCTCACGGTCAGGCCGTCAGGCACCGGCAGCATCGCAGCCAAAATAGATGCTGTTAACAAGAAAGCTGACGATCTATTCAATAAGCTTAAAACAGCGCTAGGCCGACCACCTACCGGCGGCCAGACGGAAAACCACGCCCAAGCCGTCGACGCAGCGATCCAGCAGGTGGGCACAGAGCTCGACGCGCAGTTGCCTGCCGAAAAATCTGATAAGGCAGAGACACATGTAAAACTTAAGGATGTTGCAAACTTTAACCAATATAATGATCACGTCAAACAAGAAAACATTGACAGCATCACGGAGAGTAACATCGAACAGCTTGCAGGCGCCCTACCAAACGCGATCAAGGGGATTGGCACCGAAGCTGCGGGTATCTACGCCGATCACATAACAACCGGTCTGCAAACTGTTTCTAGCAATATCACACAGCACCTCGAAGAACTCAAAGAAGCCATAACACAAACCACCAACGCTGTGCAGCGCCAACTGACTGATCTGAGAGACACGAAGATCAGCATGAAACAGGTCAAGGATGATAGCCTTCAAAGGCTTCAACAGCTATTCAGCAATGTTCAAAAGGAACTCCAGGAAGGACCCCTCAAGGAGGCCAAAAGATATCTTTCGCACGTAGATCACTCCGGTACTGCTACAATCAACCTGCTGGGAACCCATGTCAAAAAAGAGTTAGAAACCGCGCGGGAAGCTCTTACAACCCATGCGACGAGACAGTACGTTAACGCCTTAAAAACGCTGCTCACCGAGTTCGCCGATAAGGCTGAGAAGGAGTTGGACAAATTGCCTCAAGAAATTACAGACGATTTGGACGTCGGTTACAAGGGATTTATGAAGAAGATGCAAGAGCACTTTATGGGTAGAGTGGAACAAATTAAAACAATAAATCCTGATGAGTTTACAACTGAAAATTCGCCACTCAGCCAAGCATCTAAGACATTAAAGGGCGCGTTGAATTTGTTTGTCATCAAGTTGCAAGGTCAAGAAAACTTCAAGGCAGACTTCAGCCAAATTAGGCCTTCGTATACCTCTCTGACCAACTTACTCACCAACCTCGAGACATCCAAGCACTTCGACCACACGTTCTCTCAAAATTTAGAGTCACTCCACAGTGCTCTCGGCAAATTCAAACCCTCCACATACGGCAAAGCCAAGAGCCCTTTGCTACTAAACGCGCTGAAAAAAGGCTTTTCCTCCCTGGCCTCCGAACTCCAGAATGCGTACGTCTCGACATACTCCCAGAAGACTATTAAGTGGGATGACATCAGTCAGCCAGAGAAAGAAAAGTATGCTAAAATATGTCTCACTGTAACACCAATCTTACATAACACGTTGGAGGAGCTCAAACAAGAGCTTGAGAATTCCGAAAAGTCGTGGAAATCACATGTTATATACAATCCTAATAATGTAGATTCTAGCTTACATAAATTATTCTTCCGTGACCACGGTTACGATCCAAATCTTCCAGATGATACAGCACACGGCGAGTTGAACCACAAGCCAGAGTGCAACGGTTCCCGTATACTTAGCCATCTCACCAAACAAGCGCCTGCGCTGTTTGCTGCCGGGGAGGCCGCTGACGCCTCGGCTCTCCGTACTGCAGATTCTCCTGAGTTGACCGTAGAGACTGTCACGGAGGACGGTGTAATTCAAACCCTTTACTCATGTTTGCACGATTACTTCGAAGTCTGCCACCATATACATATTGACTCACCCAGAGTTCCATGTTCCATCTACGAAATGCTTGCGTGGTGTACCGGTTTCCAGTTCAATCCTGTATTTGACAAATTTAAGAAGCACATTGAGTCTGAGTTCACGGTGGCAGATAAAACTAATCCGTCCATCAAAACCGTGGTAGCCATTGAAGCGTATCCGTCAGACGTGACTGCACCTATAACAGTAAAAGCCTTGACAGACGTGTGTGAGAAGGCGTATCCCGTGCTCACCTCGATACTGGGTAATGGGCACGCAGGCGGTGTCTACGCCGTTGAGTTCTCGAACAATTCACTGAAGCTGTACTACCCTAGTTCCATGGTACAATTGCTGTGTATGTTGTTTGATGTTATCAAACGCCTCCACGAACAGCTTCACTTTCTATATCGGCAATGTTGGTATAGAGCTGACCACAGTGGCTGGCGCGATTGTCATTACGGGAAGCACATTGCAGGTTCCAGTTGGCAGTGCAACAGCTTACAGTGTGCCAACCAAGTAGGCAACCAAATGGGTAACCAAACCTGTACCCAAACGTGCAACCAACACCCTATGTGCGGACTCAAATCGCCACTCCAATCGTTCCTCGAGGACGGCCTGGTAGGCTTCTTGCCGCACACCTTGACTTCATCAAACGGCAAGCTCAACTGCTTAGTCAAATCCCATACCAACGTGCCGTGCAGAACGCCAATGGGCTTTGCTGATATCAGCCAAATAGCGTCGCATATAAAAACTGGCAAATATCTGAGAGACACTCTCGCCGATTTCTGCGGTGATTCAACTGCGTGTCTCACTCAACTATGTTGCCTACTCAACTGTTTGCTTCCCAGCGCTCCCCAAACTCTGGGTCAGATGTTTGGTTTCTTCTATAATTTGTTTGATGACTGGGGCCACAGCGGTGAGGAACTTAAGAAGCACAGGGAAACCGCATTTGCCGACGCCGTGAATGACGCGTATTTCAAGGACACGTATGATCTCCGTGAAGTTGCGAATATGTTTGGATCTACACAACACGTGAATCACTATTCATCAACGCAACGTGATTCAAGTCACGACTCCGGTGACCTATATTCCTTAGTGAGCTTTGACGAAGCATGTTACACAAAGGACCATAAATGCGGAGCGTATATGCGATCAGTGTACCATGACATGTACGGGACGTTTGCATCTAAGCATAAGGCACTGTACCTAAGGTGGGTGCTTTACCTAACTGAAGCATTTTATCAGTTGCTCAAAAAATTGTTGGAAGAATGTGAGCAACAATGCGGCTCGGGAAATTCTAAATGCCGTGTAACTGGTTGCACCGAAAAAATATGCGACGTAGCCAAAGCGTCATATAAGGGAGCCAAACAACACAATGGACTGTGTCAGTCTGTCGTACAGTGTCCAAAGACACTATCAACATTATATACCAGCGGTCTCACCTTTGACTATCGCAAATATTTGAATGGATACATTGGAGAGCATTATGTTCCGAAAAAAACGTGTAAGGATTTAGTTGCGCAACTAAGCAAAGTATGCCATGGCAAGTCGATTCTTTCCAAATTGGTCAATATCACAATTCCTGAATTCTTGTTCAAAATTCGTGAACCTTTCATCTGGACATTACTAGGGCTATGGGCATTTTCTTTGCTCTACCTGCTGCACATCGCCGTCGTCCGCCTCGACGTCCTGAGGATACGCTCCCACCTAAAATCACCCTCAAGCCACCGCATCGCCGCGCAGTCCCTCCTCGCCGCCGCACGCGTCAAGGCACTCGCCAACGTCAAGTACTTCTCACCATAATCGTGCCTTCACGTGTGATCTGTGTATCACCCACTCACTCACCCACTCAACCACTCACCCACTCAACCACTCACATACTCACCCACTCACCCACTCAACCACCCACTCAACCACTCACCCAACCACCCACTCACCCACCCACTCACCCAGTCACATACTCACCCACATACTCACTCACCCACTCACCCAACCACCCACTCACCCAACCACTCACTCACCCAACCACCCACTCACCCAACCACTCACTCACCCAACCACTCACCTAATCACTCACCTACTCAACCACCCACTCAACCACCCACCCACTCAACCACCCACTCACCTACTCACCCACTCACTCAACCACCCACTCACCCAACCACCCACTCACCCAACCACTCACTCACCCAACCACTCACCTAATCACTCACCTACTCAACCACCCACTCAACCACCCACCCACTCAACCACCCACTCACCTACTCACCCACTCACATACTCACTCACTCAACCACCTAATCACCCCAACCACCCACCCACTCACTCAACCACTCAACCACTCACTCACTCACCCTCTCACCCACTCACTCACTCACCTAACCACTCACCAACTCACTCACTCACTCAACTACTCACCCACTCACTCACCCACTCACTCACTCACCTAACCACTCACCAACTCACCTAATCACTCACCTAATCACCCACTCAACCACCCACCCACTCACCCACTCACCCACTCACTCAACTACTCACTCACCCACTCACCCACCCACTCACCCACTCACCCACCCACTCACCCACTCAACCACCTAATCACTCACCTTCCACTGGTCGCTTCGCTCCCTCCCTTACCCCTTCACCTCCTCCGTCGGCGTCCTTCACCCAAATCCTCATTTCCCACCTTCCCCCTCAACATCCGATATCGCCTCCTCTCAACCCATCTTCCTCCTTCACCGCCCTCCTTCGCCCCTTCACCTCCCTCACCCTGTCCACCCGCCTCCCTCGCTCCCTCGCTGCCTCCTTGAACTAAAATCGCCTTTCCCCAAATTCATCCAAATCGCCCTAAAATGTGCCTAATAATTCCCATAATTTACTTACTAACCTGTGCTCCGGCTTGGAGAAGTTCCTTGGTTACCAAGAAACTTCCAAAGGCTACGACGGCACTGGCATCGTGTACTCGGACCTTGACAGGCTGTGCGACGGGGTGATGGCGTTTTTGGGTGGAGTTCTTAGTGGAGTGAGAAATCATCCAAGCGTTTCCACATACTATAACATTAACAAAACTCTTACTAATATCTTAGATAAATTGCATACTGGGCGTGATGGTTTCCATGATTTCGTGGTGTCTGTACAGTCTATGCTTAGCCATTATGGGTTGGCCGTTACGGCGCGAACAAATGATGTAGTAGACGGACTTAGCGCACTTAGTAGCGACTTAGCACGTAGGCACAAAACATCTGTAGATACTAATAAATCTATGGCACTTGAAAGGCAGTTGACCTCTTGGAGGGATACTGTGGATGGCATATCCACTGCTGTAGAAAACATTGAAACTCAGTATGATTAATTTTATTAGATAATCACTTGCGATAAAATTATGCATGACTTTGTGCGTGTTAAGAGTGTAGTGGAACATATGAGAAGTGTTAGTGTTAACGATGATTGGCCAGAGAGGGCACGGGCGGTTTGATCATCATTTGGGCGAAACAGAAGGAGAA